TACCAAAGTGAAACACATATGTATGATGTGTATCAATTAGCTGTAACGGAAATACACGGATTTACGGAAGTGAATACACGAAAATCGAACGGTAATATAGACATGTATAGGTTGGTACGTGTTTCTATACAGAATTGGCCGCGTTGTTATAATATTGGCGGTTTTTATTGTCGATTGGTGTTGACGATACACAATAATATTATCTTGTATAAAACATCACGTGCAATAGCCACGTGATTGTATAATCGCCGACAACAAAGAATCGCGTCCATAACCTGTCGTGCCGACTACCGTGGTGTGTTTTCTCGACGCATCGTGCGAATAAATGCGCGGTCGGAGATCACGAGTATGAACATTGGGAGCACTCGAATCGCCTCTCATTTGATCCTCCCGTGGTGTAATCAGGATTTGATGGAGGTAGGTTAAATACTTTTCAAAAACGGTATTTAGAAAACAAACATTGATAAAAAAAAAAAAAAAAAAACTTGATAACGAAATGAGAATATAACAATGTGTATAATATCTTAATATATATTGCAATTATACTTATTACACCCCTCTGACAGCTCCACCTTCCTAAGATAGTTTTGAGCCAAGGCAGTGGTTTCAACGATTTCATTAATGACTTTGTTTTAAAACATTTATTAGGTAGTTATTTATGTAAACCGTGTCTGACACATTGGGTCTGTTTTCTGACATAGTATTCCTCCTTAAATATGTTTTTATACAATGTAATACTGCAATAAACGTTTTTTCAGGAGTGAAAGAATTAACTGGAAACGTAGTCTATACTCAAATCATAATATAGTATAAAATATACATATAACCTGATTACAGCCCTTGGGAGGTTATATGATTCCTTTAACGCTCCTCTCGCCTGGCTACGCCACTATAACTATCAAATTACTCGTCAATTTTTTCTTCGGAAAAAAGAATCGCTTCTTGATTATATAAAAGATATTCACAGGAATTATTGCCTCCAACGATCGCTATTACTCGAATCGCCTCCGATAGATTTCATGATACTCATATACTAAAAGATGTACGGACAGACATTTTATCAAACGAAAATAAATCTTAAAAACAATATAATACAAAAAGTAATTAAATATACATCATGTATTCATGTGTATAAAAATAGCAATCATAGGTATCAAGCAACAAAATATACCTATTACTTTTATTATAGTTTGAAATTGTTTTTATCATTAAAATACATCCACTGTGGCCTAGAGGCTAAGAGAATACAACATACAGTGTTAAGCTTAAATTACATTAAGATTTTATATAAATATATTGGATATTTTGAGGCATTTGAATAGGGTTAATAATAGCAGTAGGGACTGGAATGAGGATTACTTGAAGGTGAGTAAAGGAGAGGGTTTCTTCTCGTTCTTGCTGAAAATTACGGCTTTGGTTAGTATGCATCTTACACCGTATTCCTATCTCTTAACTATACGTTACAGGTGTTGCAGGTGCTAGAATCCATCCTTGACATAAGATGATTGACCTTTTGTTTCGTTCAGTTTGGTGGATAGTTTTAACCATTTATTTTGTCAGGACTCTAGAGTAAAGGTTTTTTTTTTATAAGTTTTTTAACGTCTAGCTACGAGAAACTTAGTATAGATATACCCGTGGGGGAATAATAAGCGAGTTTTGCCAATTGGTTAGCTTTATTATTGCTAACAAGCGACAATATTGCTGTTTTCTGGAAATTCACATATAAGAGATGTATTTGCCATTTGAGCTATGTAACAGTTGTAATATAATGAATATTTTTTTTTATATCTTTTTTAGTTTTCTTCTCTTCCTCTTTTCTCCTACGTCTATTTTCATTACAATTCGTACTGCTACTGGTTCGTCTCTCTTCATAGCATGCCCAAATCATCTTAGTCTATACTCTATAGATCTCAGTCCATATATTGGTTTTATTAGGGCCGGATTAATGAAATTACTGGCCCAAGACTAGCTTGTTCTCGAGAGTTCCAAATTTTACTAAAAATTAAAAATAATTTTCTTTAATACCTATTATACCACATATTTTTATATATATTTAATCGTTTTTAAATATTGTAGGTATTTATGTTAGGTTTTTAATAAATATTATTATAATATATTTTTTTGACTGTAAACAACATTTTTACCAGAAAACGTTTAAACGTGTCCGGTTTTCAAGTGTGACATTTATTTAAAAAGAACATTTTGTCTATTTGATGCAAAAAGGAGTAGACTTTAGACTTCCCTTATTTTCTTAATTATTGGGAAAAACTAGAAAAAACGCAAGTTAAATGGAAAGTTAACGCGTTAATACCAATTTCATTATTTTCGATTTTGTTTTTGTTGATATTCAGTTAAATATAATTATAGAAACATGAAATTTTTTGACTTTTTTGGGACATGGTAAAATTTTTTAAACTTTAAGTAACTTTTGGGTTATTTATAGACATTTTAATTTGACAAGTTTTGTACGTAATTTTTATTTGGTAGGTATTCTGTGGATAAAATTGTTAGACAATATAGAAATGCTTGGAAATTTGACAAGAGGTTCATTAGCCTATCAACCTATCGTACTTACAATAAAACTTTTATAATTATTTTTTTTATAAGAATTTTAAAATCAAATTTTTAAAAAGTCGTAAATATTACAGTCTTTTAAAAATGTAAAATCGAACTTCACTTCGAATCGATTTTCATTAGGAATAGTTTATCATTGCTTACAGGTATAAATAAAATAATTATGTATCTATCCTACCTTCCCACTTAGTTACAACAGCAGCACGAGTATCAGCTTTTTTTTTACTACTAAGTAGGACTTATTAAGTAGAACCTCCTGTTAAATTTGTAAGCATTTCTGTTTAGTCTAACAATTTTATCCACCCAGTAAATATTAAAATATTTTTAATATTTTAACACATCTAGAAAAGGCAAATATAAGTATTCTATCCAAATGTCAAATCTCTACAAATATTTTAAACTAAATTACAATGAAAAAACAAAATCGATAACAGTACATTTCGTACATTTTCCTGTTTTCCATACGTTTTATCCCGGGTTTTCCCAATTATTATGAAAACTCCTTGGGAAACCAAAAAATATCAAAATACTATCAAGTTAAAATTTTCTTCTAGAGAAGGTGATATATTTGAAAATCGGAGCAAGATTTCTAGTGAAAAAGTCACTAACGCTCCGGATCTAAAAACTAAACATACAACTTATAAATTTACAGTAAACAAGTTACATAATGAGAGTACCTATATGCGATTTCTTTTTCTCTTATCGGAAACTTCAAATGTAAATAAATTGTCGGCACCTATTCTGACGTACGTGCCTATTTACAAACGGGAAACATTAAAAAGTTTCCATTTGGAAGTCGAAAAAAGCGATTTTCGTAGCGTCCAGCTACTCTTACAAAAAAAAAAAAAAAAAAAAAGTAACACGTAGGGAACTATGTTTTTTGTTTTTTTCTTGTTGGACACGTATACGCCGGACTGTATCGAACCGCGCATTATACACTGAAACTACACTATATTAAAGCGATTTCCAACCGCTGAGGAAAGGACGCGATTGACAATGACCGTTTACCCGGTCATAGGCCGGGTACGTTTAACCATAAGACTATTATAGTGTACCGCGAAAACAATAACGACGAGAAATTACGCGCGAAAATACGGCGGCCGAGTGTCGCGCGTTAAAAAAAAAAATGCACACACATCCTTGTCCGCCGCGAACCCGCCCGCACGGCGACGACGACGCGGTGTGCACTGGGCCAAGTTCATTGCGATAACGCGGCGCGGCGCGACACACACGGGACGCGGCCGTCGTCGCGGCACGCCCGGTCCGCGCTTGTCGAGCCGCAAAAGGAAGGCGAACGAAAAAAAAAAAAAAAATCGGCCGATCTACACGCGGATACTGCACGGTCCCGCGTAGTTAAGGATAACGTTTATTTTTTTTTTTTCTACGCTCCTCTACCGTACCGTAATATATCATGTTACAATGTTACCGCGCGCGCGCTATTACGATATTATGGCGGCCGGCGACCGCGCGCGGAGAAATATTAAAAACAACCCGGTACTGCGTTGTGTATGGGTACACGCAACAACAATTATGAGAAACGGTCGGAGCGGACGTGAAAATTTTTAGGCGCCGAAGACCGGTCCCCGCGGTGGCCCGTCGTCGCGCCGCCGCGGCCGCGCGTTTATCACGAAAAATAACGCGAGAATTATTACCGGCTCTTACGACCGCCGCCGCCGCCGCCGCCGCCACGGTGCGTGTAAGTACGCGGGGGGACCCGTCGAAAGTGAAACTCTGACCGGCGGGGTGGTGCCCGCGTACACCTCGGCGCGCTGAAACTCCGGGCGCCCCGGTCGCGTATACTGTAATATTGTAATAACAACACGCGCGGCCGCGGTCGCGTTTATACCTCCCGTAATATCGCCGCGCTCTTAAATAACGCGCGTATTATAGTGGTCGTCCTTCGCACGGCGGCGGCTGACCGGGTATTACGCGGCCGGGTACACCGCCGCCGCCGCCGCCGTAATAATAATAATGTTACAGAGCTTGCCTATACGAATAATAGGTATGACCGCCCGGCTCCTTCTCCCGGAACGGCGGACACAACATACGCCCTTACGATACGCACATTGGCCGCCGCCGTACCCACGCTATGTACGACGTATACTATGATAGCTTTACAGTATAACGTACCGTACGAGAAAAAAAAAAAAAAATGCTGCCATTGACGACGTTCGTCCGCGTATTGTGCCGCGTGCGATCGCGCCCACTGTCGCGGCCGCGCGTGTCCTCTCCCCCACCCGCGGCCGCGTTTAAGGGGGTGATCGCGGCCGCGGACATAGCGCACCGCCCGCGAACGGTAAACGCAGTCGCGTGTCCCACCCCCTCCCCGAGGGCCGCGCCGCGTGTGACGTTACGCGTGTAGGTGGGTATATATTATTGTTTACCCGCGTGTGCATTTGTTCATATTTACGTCATTTATTGTGCGGCGAGCATCTAATTAGCCACACTGTACGCCTGCGTATCCGCGCCGCAGAGACGTTCGCGACGTTTGCAGAGCACAAGCGCAGCGCACTCGCGCAGACACCACGCTCGCACGCATACACGGACACGGTCGCCGCCACCGCCGCCGTATACACGCCGCGTAGACGACGCACGATCACAAGAGAACGCGTTGCATTATTTCGCGGACGCGCGCCGCCGCAGACCGTCAAACCCGTCACCGCCGCCCCGCGTACACGACCGCGCGTTCCGTACCCATTATTGATAATATTATTACATTCGTCGTTGCGCGCTGCTCGAGGAGATGAACTGCGAGTCCTCCTGACGAGTCCTCCGTCGCCGCACAACAACGCTTGGCGTCGCGCGCAGTATACGATCCGCAACAATATCGTCGTCGTCTCCGTCTTCGCCGTCGTCTCCATCGGTGTAAATCATACCGACGTTAATTAATTGTTGATATTACACGCGGGCTCCCGCACCACGCGATATAATATCCCACACCCGGACCCGCGGTCAACTTGGTCCGCATCACCGTACGTCCACCAGCAGCCGTTTATAGAGCTTATATACAAATCGTATATATAAATAAGTGAGTACCCGTATGCTTCTTGCATACGACTTGTATTTTATTGTTTTAAGCTTTTTATTTTTATTTTTTCTACCCTTGCGACGATGTGCACGCGCGATCATAATGTATAATTTATTATTCGTATTGTTTACTTCCATAAACAACAATTTATTATGGTATTGTGACATCAGATGCTTTTTTTTTTTTCCTTTTGCCGTGTCAGTTTCGCGGTAAATACAATTTAACGCGCAACAATACGCATACGTACATACTCGTATTATTATCGGTATTATTGTATAGTCGCGTGTAACCGTAATTACGCACATCTATTAGTAATATTATTGTTTTTTTATTTTTTTTTTTTTTTTTTTNATCGGTATTATTGTATAGTCGCGTGTAACCGTAATTACGCACATCTATTAGTAATATTATTGTTTTTTTTTTTTTTTTTTTTTTTTTTGCGATTCCGGGGCTAGCACTTGTACAACCGCAACGTTCGCTCACGGGTACGTATAGTACCGCGGTATAACGTCTGCAGCGGCCCGGTGAAGGTGTGTGTGATGTGCGCGTTTTGGCTTTCCCTCTTATTATAGAAAGCGGAAGGCGCAAAACTTTTACGTGTCTATCGCCCGTCGATCGTACCTATATGTATATATATATATATATATAATTTAATACATAATAATATATAATAGCACGTGCATCACGAGAACGATTTGAGAAAACCGAAAATTCCGCGGTCCGTCTTACCGAAATTTTATTGGCATAGGTGTATAGCCGACCCGCAGCAGAGATAGCCTATAGGTATTGCTGCTGGTAGGTGGGTAAAGAAATATAATTTTTTTTCTTTCTTTCTTTCTTTCTTGCGCCCGTCCAACACGACTCTCGCGATTGGCCGGTTACGTCACGTATTAATATTAAAATATCGCCCGGAGACTTGAACGCCGGCCGCCGCCGCCGCCGACGACGATATAATATAATATTACAGGTGCACACGGATTTTACCCGGGCCGCGCGGTTTCAATCGATCGTTTTAAAACGTGGTAAAATCGCGTTTTTAAATATTTTATTGTGTTCTATTTTATGTGTATAAATATATATATATATATACAGTATGTGTGTATACTATACCGTTATAATATTAATTCGTAATGCGCGCGCCGCGCGATTGCGAAGCGTATATTACACCTATTTAGACACATTGCCGTGGTTTCCGGCCCGAGGAAATCACTATAGGTATATATCGGTTCCGTGTACTGCGTGCATGTGTACGCGCGAACGTTATATTCTTGTTACAATATAATATATATATATTATACGCAGGCATATAAACATAACGGGAAATTTCCCATACAACAAAAATAATGCATATTTTTTGAAATTCGTGAATTCGGAATGTCATTTACGCAGGTATACCTATTATTATTATACACACACACACACACACACATATTGTAATGTACGCGTATATTGTATACACGCAGTATTATAATATGTATATTGTACACACACACACACACACACACTACCCGTATACATATTATTATATATTATGCCGCATTGCCGCGTATACATTCGGTGACATAACTATATATATATATACAATATTTTTATAAGTGATAGACAATAATTCCGGTTTTATATTCGCTTACATTTTTTCATTTTTTTTTTTTTCTTTTTTACTCAACATATAACCACCGGTCAAACACGTGGATTCGTTTTTTCCCCCTATAAATTGCGAAACGACCGTGACTGCTGCCGCCGTTTGACCGGTAACCAAAGAAGGTGATGCGCAACTTATTATTCGTCGTCTGACGATGAATATAAGTACTTCGTGCGGCGGGGAAAAATTTAGTTTGTTTTTTATTTTATTTTTTTCTTTCCACTTGTCATTAAATAATATAATATATTATTATGATCTGTTAATCTTGTTTTTTTTTTTTTTTCTGCGGAGTCGAACAAAGGACGTAGGTATACGCGCGATGTCAATAATAATAATGACGATGATAATAATAGTTGTAGGTATACGAATATAGAAAACAACGAACGCGCGTGTTATCGACGACATCGAAAGTGTATACCGCTATTGCGTCATCCATTGAGATCATTGATTTTGTTTTCGACATCTGCGAGCCGGGGACGGGGACATACATAATAATATTTAGTTACATATTATATAGGCGCGAATAGTCCGAATATTTTTTTCGGGGGGGGGGAGGGCCTTAACATTGATAATGTATATATATACTTGATTTGGGTTCAGATGGGTTTTGGAGAGATTAAGTGCTCCCTAGCCTCCCTCTTTATTTGCACATATTAATACAAAGTCGTATTTGCAGTGTAATTATATTTTACGAATTAACAAGTATACGCGTCTTCACTTGACAACTATACATTATTCGTAACTTTTTATTGTTAATATTGAATTTCGAGTATATAATTGCTGTAGGTCCTGTATATAATACATACGTTCGCGATCAGTAAAGTATAGTTACATAATATTCAAACGAATGTTTAGGAAAAAAAAAACTGTTTGTAAGCAGCTATATAAGTAATGCCTCTAGATGACATAATAAATTATATTGTTACACTAAATATTATAATAAGTATAACAAAAATCGATAAGCATATTTTATAACAACCGTAGCCACGGCGTTGCTGAGGCCGGATTTACATTATTGATTTCTCTAAAATCTTAATTAAAAAAAAAAATATATATATATATATATATATTACATATTTATGTATCAAAATGTAGCTGTCATTATTATTCTAAATATTCACTATGCGCCTAGCTATTCTTTTTATACGAATACAAATATACCCGATTATTATTATGTAAAAAAAAAAAAGTAATAGTATTTTTATTTGTATATATAATATAGGTACAATCCTTATAGTATAATTACTTTCATTTTTAATTCACTATTGCAATAGTTGTGGTATTATATTTTATCAATGGTAAATCGATATCCGTAAAATATGTAAATCGCATAAATGTTACACCGCGTAAATTATTTATTCATATGACGTGTAATTTAAATTCTGCAGTATTTTACGCGTCATCATATTATACGTATTTATAACATCAAAACGATAACGCACATACAGAAAACAATTCGAAGGTGGGATAGGAGAGAGGGGTTAATCGAAAATAAAAAATTAAACATTTCGATATTAATAATGCATTATAGAAGTATTGAATTTTTCAAATTTCAGTGGGGGAAGTTGTGAATAATCCCTTACCTACCCACTATTGTACGTTTTTGTACTATTAAATATTATTATAGTTTATTTATAAATATATACTGTACGATGAGTATTATTATTTATTACAATATACGTGTATTATAGAGTAGCCCAAGCGGCTATTTTTGTGTGCACTACGACACACTTTGTACACTACGAAATCCTAAAAGTATACTTATTACAAGAAATTAAAATGTGTTCCTACCACCTTCGTTTTATTTTTTAGTCGAGTCACAAAGTTTCGCAGATGTAAGGAAAACATTAGTGATAATGTTTGAATTTTTAATTTTAATTTACTTTTAAATTCATACTCATGTAAATGTATGTGTACTACGGAGACTTAAAAAAAAGCCACTGAAAATGGGTATGGGGTGTATTCAATGTATTTATAGTTTCTGTAAATTATGGGGTAATGTTTACTGTAATTACTGCATACAAAAATATTAATATACTATGGAATATTTGGGAAATATTATTGAAAAAAAAAAATATCTGTATTACAATTTTTATAATTTTACTTTCACTTTGTACGTATAAAGTGAACTCTTACCTAAATTATATTGAATCATTAATGATTATAATATAATTTAATATTTCGGCTATGTTTTACGAATTGCATTATCATAATATATTTTTGGTTCAAGAGAAGAAAGGACAATTAAATCAATTTTATATAGTTGTTAATACAAAAGTTAATTCGATTTTAAAACTACGTACATTTGCATTAGGGACACACACTAATTACACTCATACACTCGAGTAATTTTGACTAAAACATATAAGGAAAAAAAGTTGCTGAAATTGACTTAAGCCATTATTCTCTGGGATTAAAGATCTATTATAGAGTAAAACTGTCAAAGTAATTATTGTTATAATTGTCTATAAATGTTTATATAGGTATATCAATTCGTTATATTTAACTATAGGATATTCGGTTTTTGGTTATTATTTAGAAACCATGATTATATAGTATATAGTATTATAATAATCTATATTTTCATTTGAAATATTATTCATTATTTAAAAAGTATGAAGCAGTTGAATTAGGAACCGTTTTTTTTATAAAATTTTCTTTTGGAAGCATACTCGTATATTATCGTCGCCACCATGCAAAAAGTGACCAAATTATTTAAATTTGTAAACATAGAATTTAGATTTAAATTGTATTCAACTTTGATTTTAATCAAGAATTATGTGTTAAATGATTCCTAAAACCATCGGCATTCCCAGTAATTTTTCTAAAGGAGGGGGAAGGTGTATCGTGTAAATACTAATAATTTATTGGCATGTGAGCACTCAAACTACGATAAAATAAAATAATCCAGTTATTATTAAAGAGAGCTTTATTATATTTATCAAAACTTAGTATTCTAAGTATTCTATGTCTACTAAATTGGCGCGTAACAGATAATGCTTGGGAAAACAAATTTAAAGTTTTTGGGATGAGGGACAAGTGCCCCATCTCGCCCCCTGGGAAGGCGAATGCCCTAAACTATTTATAAAATCACTTGGGGTAATTTGTTCGTACATTGTACACACACACACACATATATATAGGGATGAAATAAGCCATTTAAACGAGTTTTTACACTTGGTCACTTATTGCATGACACGACGAAATATGTTGTTGCCTATTAGCATCGTCACCTATCACCTATCGCATCTTGTAATAATTGAAGAGTTATCCAATACCTATAAAATTTTTAAATGATATAACACTGACCATCTTCATATACCTAATAATTCACATAACGACGTCTAGGTATACAGTCTTGTAGTTAAAGTATAGGTAGACATTAAAGTAAATGTAAAAAAAAAAAAAAAACACTGCTTGCTGAATCACTGACATTCGCTGTTATAATCGCCGTGTGACGCCATTATTATTATTATTATTGTGAACGATATTTCGAGACGAACATACAAACACACACATTCATACTGTTGGTATGCGAGTTAATCCCGAAAATGCACTTTCTAGTCTGAGTTATTTGCATTCGACTTGTCGAGCTGCTTTTAAATTGTCATTAATCACGTGGTTATAGTGTTATGTTTGTAAGAGCACAATAATGTTGTGAGCAATGTAATAATATTACATACCGGATGCAAGGTCCAAAATCCTGCACCAATGCGTCTGCCGGACGATATGCTCATAAAGCCCAGCAGCAACTTACCTATACGTATATACAGGAGAGAAATCCGCAGGGGTCAAATTGTTAACATTATATAGGTACCTACGTATAATACGCGTATATGCGCGTAAGTACGAACACATTTCATCGTATAATAGTGTGTGTGGTGGTGAAGAGAAAATAAGACTCCCACGGATTGAAAATTTACGAGCGATGCATCTGCGGCAGTACATATTTTTCTATATTATACTAATATAATATATTATTGTGATTCACGAAAAAAAATAATAATATTTAATCAAATAATAAACAATGCTCTGCGAATGACGAACCCACGTTGTTTTTTTTTTTTTTTTTGTGTGTGTGAATTTACGGCTCGTACCTATTTTCCATTCGATTCGAAAATATCAAAGAACTATACGTATACACAATGACGACAGTTTATATATTACATGCGAGTATATTATAATAATAACAATATGTGACCGCGACACCACGTGCTGTTGTCGCGGTTAACGCCTCCGCTGTGTATTATATATATATGTATAAGTTAATATGGACGAGAAACACAAATATACTTTGTTTTGTTGTACATAATAGTATTTAAACTTCTTCTTTTTTTTTTTTAATATTTTACATACCTATAATAATAATAGTCATTAATCGTTCGGTATATTATGTATTGTATCCGCGTGGAGCCGCATTGTATACACTGCGTCACTGCAAGTCGAATTCGCGCTCGCGCAGAGCTATACACAGACGAAAGTAAAAATTAATTTTTTTTGATTTATGATCTAGAATGTATTAATAATAAGATCGCGAGAATAAGATATTGTCGAAACATTTTCGCTCGAAAGATATTTGATTTACTGTGTGAATATATACGGCATCAATATAATATTTATATATATATATAGGTATAGGTATGTAGATATTCCTACTATAATATATACGAAGGATTGACAAATTCCCGATTTTTTACGTTCCAATAACTTCATTAATTCAATTATTTACTGTACTGTCTGATTATTACTATGGTTAGGAAAATGACTGCATTAAAAATATATACAATAAATGGACAATAAAAAAAAAACCGATCGATTAATATCTACAGAAAAAAAAAAATGCTTTTAAATTATGAAAATGCATTTATTATCGAAAATCGTAATAAAAAACAAATACAACTTCAATTTTTTTTTGAACTCTGCATAGACGAATCATTTCGTTTTTGATAAGTTATGGCTCTATGAGCTAAACCTGCACTAAGACAAAAAAGCACAATATGCAAATACTACAGATTCCGAGTTCTGCGCATTACAACCATTATGATACCTGCAGGAATCCAACAGTAGGAATTATAAATTTGTGTATAATTTAATATATATATATATTTTTTTTTTGTTCGCCTTTCCATTATTAATAAAATATTCGCAAAAACGTCGGTTGTATTTATATTTCTCCCGCGATGAATATAATAATGAGTGTATACGTATCGTTGCTTCGAGCCAAAAAATTAATATTTATTTCATGAAACGCGCGTGCTATTCGTATAAAATAATACGATGACTAGCACCGGGTCACCGGCCCTGACTATCGGCCATTAACACCTATATATACGCACGTATAGCCGATGCGACGATATTCTTATGCATTTTATAAATTGTGATTCGAAATGATTTCCGAAAACCAGTAGCGTATATTATTAATAAAATATAGCAAATAAAAAAAAAAACCCGTGTCGGTTGTCCGTATACATTAAGACGATATTTGGTTAACTCCCGACGGATCAACGCGGCGTAAAACGGTAGGGGGTGAACACAATAATAGTAATAACTAGATGGCGTTTAGTCGGTATTACAAAATAGTACCTATTTATAGTTTAATTTTTCGTTTTCATTGAGTGTATATATTAAATACATAATTAGTGGCGTAATTAAAACTTCTTACAAACTTCTTACTTCAACATACTCTAGACTAACCGAATAAGGGGAAGTGCAAAATCTTAGTTGAATCCCAATTTTTACGGATTGGAGTAAAAAAAAAAAGTCTTTACCAATTTTCATATATCTGTCCGTTCATTCATATTACTTAATAAGCAAAAAAAAGCCATTACCTGTTTTTTATTTACCTGTCCGTCTACTCAAAATAATTTCTTGGGCCCTGATTTTGGGTCCCGTAATGTCACGTTTCCGTGGCTTATTGCCCGTCAAGCTACCTTATTGGTACGTCACACAACTTGATATTACTAATATCAGATAATAATAGTATAGTTTTTTTTTTTAATTGTTTTGTGATGGGTATCATAATGCGTACTGACGGATTTAGGGGCATTGTTTCGGTTAATGCAATAATATTTTCTAGGCTGGACAAATTATTTTTTTACAAAACTTTGGACGCCTCTTATAATATTACATATGTACAGGTTTACCTACAACAGTCGGTTTACAACTCTGTGAACTTGTTGCAGACTGCAGTGCGTAAATACATCATACGTACGGCTATAGGCGCCGCCGTAAGCGTATAATAATAAGAGTATATACACTTGAGGTATTACGTATTTTTTTTTTCTCGCGCCTTAACAATCCGGTTGACCTTTAAATTCCGAATTTCCGATTAACCAGATTGTCAACTTTTCACAATTTACCTACACCCGGCATTCCCCGGGTACCTATATAACATACGATATTATATTATATATTATTATAAAACAAAAATAATATTATTATATAGGTATACCTACGAGTGACGCTGTACAATTCCTATACCTATATGTAATCATACATATATACAGGTATATATTATGCATATATTATATATTACGAGAAAGAGGATAATATAATATTATACTTAAAGAAAAAAAAAAACTATCACTTTCTATACGTATATGTATAATGTATCGTTTAACCGCGACACGAAATACGGTTTTTTTTTTTTGACTATTTTATTATTATTTATTATAACGAATTTTTTTTTTTCGGTATGCGACATTCCTGTAATTTTGAACATTAATAACCCTTCCCGCATTTAGAATAATATTATTATACCTACATACCTACCTATATATAACGCATTGTGTGTAGTTTATGAGCGAACGTGTAAAAATATAAGGCGCTTAATGGATTATAATGCGTATGGCCAATACATAATAATATTATGTATATTCCGACATTCGGATTTCATTTTCGTTGTCTAACAATGCAAATTCCGTTTTTACCGACTGTGAATTTATTGTTCGTCTTTTTATTGTCGGCGACCGTGAATCGCGGGTTACCATCATTATCTAAAATCGAAAAAAAAAAATTTAAAAAACCCGTTAACCCCGTTGAATCGAGTGAAATGTTTAAAAGCTTTTTTGCGTTTCGGATTTGAATTTTTCTTAGAACTCGATTGATTTATATTACCGACCTTTGTCTCACCATCAATAATACTTGAAAATGTGCCTTTTTTTACATGACTGTTTAAATGTACTCGCATGTCGTGTCCTCTCGACCGCTCATTTACAGACCTTATCCAATTTTCGCCCAAGCGGTGTGTACAAATACGCAACAAGTTGCGGTTTTTTTTCGACCAGAGGCGTAGCTAGAAATATTTTTTTATATAGGCAAAATAATATTATGTAAACGTTTTGATAAGAAGAGTACTACTAATTTATATTTTTCATTTTAAAATTTTATTAATTTTCGGAGAAATTTTTTGAGTTTTCTTAGGACACACTATAACTTGTTTCTCGGAGCCGTAACAGGTTTGAGCCAACGGATAGGTGAAATTTTTCCATTGTTTCCCTTCTGCTTTATCTACAAACCCGTAGTGGTTTTTTTTTATCGATCTAGTAGTAGGTTTAAGGTTTATAGTTGGGGTCATTATAACTTTTTCGGTAGCAGTACCAGGTCTGTACCGACAATTGTAGATAGGTTTATGTTTTGTAAAACTCAACTCCTAAAACCAATGTGGTTACGTTTGCGCGCTTAAGACGAACTCGGATATATAGGGTCTGTATTTCCCCGCCTACTCCCATCCCCTTTAATCGGGGCTTGTATAGGAACAGCGGGGGGGGGGACATCGGCCGATTCGATTGCGTAGGGCGAAAAAAATCGCTTTAACGATATTAATGGCCCCGTAGGCCAAAATATATATAGGTATCGAATATTATTCGGAAGATCGGAGGTGCGCGCGTGTCCGTTATTGTACGATCGCGGTCAATGACGCCACATCGTCGCGCCGCCGCCGTTGACTCGATAGAAAAATCCGAGTGCCTTATAATAATATATAATGATAATATTATACATACGCAATATGGTTTTATTGTTTGTATTTTTCCATTATATATCGCGGTATACCTATATAACTCGTTTACCCGTCAGCCCCCACAGAATACGAATGTTTCGTATTCATAGCGGCAGACAGCCGCGCGAGCGCAATGAACCAACAGCTGATATTATATAGGTATTACCTAGGTTTGAAAAATAATAATATTATATTCAAAAATATTGCGGCCGCCGCGTTGTCACTGCGCAACATGTATATATTTTTAAAATTCGTCGAAAAAAATAAAAAAAATAATAATGATTTATCACGTTTGACAACGATCGAAATTATTTCGAAATTCGCGAGCTGCAGACAGTCTATGTAGACAAATAATATCTAGATTTCGTTCTTATAACAACTGTATAAACTACCATGTTACAGTATTGTAGCCAGTATATTGGTAGGTAGATACGCGTACCTGTGCAGACTTTTACCGCACATGCGATATTATATTGTGTACGTGTACGCAACGTTTTGAACGCGATTGATTTGTATTTATATACACGCATAATATAATATAATATACCTAACCTACCTAACTGTATAGCCATCGATCGGATGTCAAAATAATAATAATTGTTATACGTGCACTTGTGGCTCGCATACCCATTGTAAACATTTAGGAAACGCGCTTTCGTTACATGTAGGTTATACCTATCCATACCTATAATAAACCTACTCAAACCCATAGGGGATAAAAAATATTATACATATATATATATATATAGGTACCTACTATGCGAATGCTATATGAATATTGTTGTAGGCGTCGTGTGTATCCTGCTATATAATACCAGCGGGTTGTGCAATTATTATGCTCGTATTTTAACTGCGTGTGTGCAGATATTGTTCGCGGCATATTATACCTGGGTATATCGATGCCATTGTACGGTTTGTTACCTAACAATAACATACCTCATACTCCTAATATAATATAGATAGGTACATATATTATAGCGATTGGGAATTAGATGGGCTGAAGTCTGGGCCTTTTTATGATATTGAGGTCGTCGCGCAGAGAACATCACAATAAATATTCGATTGTACCTACTGTGCGGAGTTTTGTTTTTGATGGAATCGCATAGCAATTATAGCCTTACACCCATATCCATGTGTCTCGTCGTTCCATTTGCTCCTTTATTCGATTGCCAACAATATTCGTTTTGTTATTTTCAAATTTACATATATAGGTACTGTTAGTATGTAGTGTATTTATAGAATACCATATAAGCTCTTTTTTTCAGACAATTTATATCCAAATTTTACTTTTATTTATATATGATATATAGTAACCTACATAGTAAATTATACTTCAAACCGTAGATTTTTTTCGATTTTTTTTCACAACGTGTGAAAATCGTAAGTTTGAAATGTATGATATGTGCGTATGTGTCGACATAGTATACGCGTCGTATTATATGAATTATAAGATGTACCTACCTTATTTTATTGCTACACGACGTGCAGACTTAAAATCGTTTGTATTGAATCGATGTACCTATATAGAAAGCTTAAAGTGAAAGGATTGAATCAATGATGGATTGATCATGATGGTATACAGCCTCGTCTCTAATCATATATATAATGATGATATTAAAATAAAAATGTACAAAAAACACGAAACGGGTCAAAGTTTAGGCATGACGCGAACAATATACGTTCAACTTCTAATAGTGTGTACGCGTGTAACAGTATTGCGTATAATATCTTATCAAGGGTTAGATATGTGTAATGCGAATGGTACACGCGAAATGAATTTTTTTTTCACAAAGGTTCTTTGTAAATGCATGCGTCATGCATCAAATTCGAGAAGACGTCGTTTACGTTTATGTGTCCGTGTAATAATTATTGTTTAGGATTTTATAAATTCCGATTTACCGAATTTTAAGTATTCAGGTGAATGCGATCTTTTGCGATGATCGCATAAAGGTCATCATAAATATTAATAATTTATCGATCGGCCACTTATACTTACGAATAATATACGAAACCAAAATATGTACTAATATATATTATATAACATGCAGTCCAAAAATGATTAATATGATTATTATTGATTATATATTATGAAAGAAAAAAAATGTATAATAAATTCTTTTAAAATAAATTCCTAATAAAATATAAAAAAATAAAACGAAAGTCAGGAAGCGCCTTGAACTAAGTTCTACAATCCAATAATAAACCTTGAAACAATATAATATAATAATTATATTTTATTAATTGTAACATATTATATCGTTATATATTTTTTTTTTACTTTATTACTTCCATGTTATTAAACAAATTCAAATTCAAATTTGATCATAACTACCTATATATAATATTATATAACGATATAGACAAGATAATGATATAGGTACGTATATTATCCAGTGTTTTTTTCGAATAATGTGTATATGGACTTGATAATAAAACATTTTGCGGATTTGCGTGTGTAATAATATTGTCAAATATTTACGTGATCAAAAACATAGACATTGAAATATATTTAAATGACACATTACTTTTAACGTTGCGTCTAAAATCTACATGTTTTTTTTTCAATAAATTTGAAAAATATAAATATAATATTCACTAGGTACCTATAATATTTGAGTTGAATTTAAATTAAAAACAGGAATTTATAACCTATTTTTTGTATAGGAAGTAAAAAGTCATATTTTATTCAATCAATTATAGTAGGTAGCATACTTTTATCATACTTTTTGGTTTTCTTCTCATCAATTTTCTATAAATTATATTAAACGGATGTGATCTTAAAAGGGAATATTTTAACACTGTATAACTTTACAACTTTTATTTATACTGAAATATTAAATTGGTATATTTTATTGTATTAAAAATTATTTAAAATTTCAATACTAAATACATTTTTCACTACTTGTATATAGTTTATATTAGGTATATTCTCATCGTGTTTTATGTCTGAACGTAAATTATTCTGCAGTCCCCTAATTATAATTTATTGTCTTTGTCATTGCGGCAAAATATAAAGGTAATAATATATACCTACTCAATATTACGTTTAAATAAACTAATAATGTTATATGCATTAGGTGTAAAGTGAAGAAACTTGGTAAATATCCAAAAATATTACGTATTTTGTTATGCCGGTATATTATTACACCGTGATTAAAATTTTAAACAGTGTCCAATTACATTGTTTTTTTTTTCACTTTTATTAAAATATAGATCGTACCTATATATATATATTTGTTTTGCCATTGTTGAATAAATTATAAACTATTGCGTTTTTATTTACGAAAGCTTTTTTGATCAATATTCAATAATGCATTATATGTTGAATTATATCATATCTATAAATATTGACAGAGTGACTTGGCTTTGGATTACAAATATATACAATAAATTACGACTATTATTATATGAGAATGAGAAAATAATATAATATTTATTCGATACTATATTAAAAACTTTCACTATTATAGAAGTTAGGAGATTTGACTGTATGCCTATTATTATCTGAATAAACCTGAATGTTTCCGGTGTTTTTTATTTCATTATTACACTTCAAATCAACCAGACATAAATATTCCTAAATAATCAATTTCGAGTGTAAAAAAAGATGCCAAAAATATAATAATTTATCATTTATAATTTGTCTTTATGTCTTCAACCGTCGTGAGTTTCGCATTATAGAAACCCGGGGAAGGAGGGCTTGAATCGATGTTTGGAATTTTTTTTTTTAAATCTTATGTAAATGTTTCCCTTCTTTTTTTGGTCTAAATGTCATTAGTAGTTATTCCATTATGTTACTTAGAAATATTCAAAATTTAATTTGCTTCTGCTGAAAACTATACAAAAATGTATTTAAGTCCTTCTTAAACCCAAAGAAATAATTTCATATATTCTCAATAAAACTCCAAATTACAATAGTCTATAATTTTCAAACTATAATACATCGTTTATTATTAAATGCTATTATATTATCAGATCTTGTATTTATAATATGCGTATGACTATATTGAATATCAAAAAAAAAAAAAAAAAAAAAAAAAATTAATAACAGTACATCGTCCGACCAGTGTTTTTTTTAAAGAAACGCCTTCATATATAGAATTACGAGTATACCCGAAGGTGGAATATATTCGGGCATTGACATTGAAGATATTATGACAGTAAACAAGTAGGTGCTGATGCTGTATATTATACATAGTACCTGTATTATAGTAGGTATCACTTGTACAGTAGTTACATTGGGATTAAAACTAGAACAGATCATATTTTCCAAAACAAGTTGTATATCATCATCATATATAATTAATAAATCGTTTTTACTATAATTACTTTTGAAGGGTGAAGGACAGTAAATAATATAATATATATTAAATTATAGGTACGTATTTTATGGTATGAGAAATATTTGTGAGAAGTATATACTGCATATAAAATATATTAGACCTAGGTATTAAAATACGATTTTGTATCTTTTATGTTTGCCGCACTAATGCGTAAATCTAATTTTTTCGAGTAGTTAGTGATAACTTATTACAGTATTAATTATTATAATATGTATAGGTGACATACGTCGGTGCCATAATCGATTGTGTCTTTTATTTTTTTTTTTCTATGTGCATATTACGAAGGTAAAACACTTTCGATATTTCATATTTATTTACAATTACGTTTTCAATTAATGTCAATTAAATTTTGTTTGGCATACTATTTTTTTTTGATATATTAAAAATACTATAAATAATAAATATTAACTAATATAGTTCATAACTTATCATAACTTATTATGGCATTTTCAATGTCTAACCCTAGACAATGAGAATTCAAAAACCAAATCAAAAAAATCCAATTTCTGTTTAATATATCAAGCTTTTATTCTTAATCTTGACTGGCATGCTTGGCTTTTACATTTTTACATTCTAAACAAATAAATATACGAATATATGTATAATTTTCAGAAAAAATTAACGATAAATACTAATAGTTATTGGATTTGTAAACCAATGGGAGAGGGGGAATAAACTCTAAATCAATTCCCCCTGCGCACGCCACTATTTATTTATTTTTATGGTTTTGTATAGAATATTATCATAATTTAGAATATAAAATATAATATAAGGTAGGTTACTACTTTATTATAATATATTATATAATTGCTAGCCACAAAAAAAATCATTCAATAAATACATTAATTTTTTATGTTATTTATTGTTTTATCAACAATATGTGATGAATAATTAAAATTATATTTTAAAAATAATATATTTAAGTTGAAAAAGTACATTTCAAAATTTGTGAACTCTGAACTCTGACAAGCAAAAAAAATGATCAACCGTCTAGTAGTTCCACTTTCATTTCACTGGACATTTTGGTACAATGAATTATGCGTGAAAGACGTGGATTGGGTAATGAACATCCAAAAATTATTTGAAGTGACGACGGCCGCCGAATTTCTTGAGGCCTATAGTAAAATGAAACTACCCTCTACTTTGCCGCAAGGTGCCAGTTACTATTTTTTCAAAAAAGGAATACGGCCCATTTGGGAAGAAGAACCGAATAAAGGCGCGGGTGCCTGGGAAATGATAATTGACATCCGTCCGAATCATGACCTGAACTTAGTTTGGTCGGATTTGTTATTTTCAGTCATCAGTGACGGACTCAACGAACTATTAATGTATTTATGTGGTATCACATGTAACGTAAGACGAGGTTTCCTCAAAATTGCAATTTGGACAGTTAAGATTACGCCGAAAAATCACGGGTATATCATACAAATCGGAAAAATTCTCCAAAATATACAAAAAGTGTATGGAATAAAATCAATAAAGTATAAAATTCACGAACGTTCATCCTACAATGGAATTAACTGAGCATCAAAATAATTTTCAAAATTTCTTATAAAAGTTAAATTATGCAATCATGACTTGATGTAAGTTATTTAAATATTTATTCGTTGTTTTTGTGAATAGGCCACACTAGCACAGTATTCCACTCCTCCTGCCAAACAATTTAAATAATACTATATATTCTTGATACTGTTTCCTCATCTAATTTTTTTAATATTTCTCCATGAATCCCATCTTCTCCGGGAGATTTTTGGTTTTTTAACCTTAATATTTGTTGTCTCATTTCATTGATAGTAGGGGGTAGGCATTCGCAATCGTTGGTTTCTACTAGTGTCCATTCAAAAGTTTCTTCTGGATTTTCGCAGTTGAGCAGTTGGCCAAAATATTGTCTCCATTTTTCCAACNCCTGTCCTGTTGTCAGTGAACCATCTTCATTTTTCAAGAACTTGTTATGTTTTCTGAATCCTCCTCTTATACTGTTTATTTTTTGGTACAACTGTCTCGTTCTATTCATTCTAGAATCTACTTCTGCTTCTTCCAATAATTTCCGAGTATATTTTCGTTGTTCATTTCTGAATACACTACTTGCACTCTTCTGACATACTTTATACGCAATTTCTTTTTCTATATTATGTTGGTCATTAAGCCACTGGTTTCTAGCTTCTTTTCTCCGATTTAGAGCATCTTCACACATGTCGTTAAACCATGGTTTTCTTACAGCTTTTACTTTTCCGATTTCTGACTCTGTCACAATCTTTATTTTATCTTTAATTTTTTTTCATTTTACATCAATTGAGTCATTTATACCTGCATCTATCTTCCTGATTTTTTCCGACATCTGATACTTGAATCTGTCACATGTATTCACATTGTTTAGTTTAGCTGTGTCATATTTGTCTACCACTATTCCTTTTTTCCGAGTAACCTTTTTTATTTTGACTTTCATTTTTCCTTTCACCAGATAGTGATCCGAATCACCATCGGCTCCTCTCATCGTTCTTATGTCTTGAATACAGTTTTTGAATCTTGTGCTCACTAGAATATGGTCGATCTGGTTGACACACCTTCCATCTGGTGACATCCATGTTCCCTTATAAATATTTTTATGAGGGAACATTGTGCTTTTCACTACAAGGCCATTTCTACATGCAAAATCAATAAGTCTTAATCCATTATCATTTGTAACCTCGTGCAGGCTGTGACTACCAATTATTGGTCTGAATACAGCCTCTTTACCAACTTTTGCGTTTAGGTCACCTAAGACTATTTTAATTCTGTATTGAGGTAATGCATTTAATGTTAAATCCAAGCACTCATAGAAGTCATCCTTCTCTTCCTNCAATTAAATTTCAAAGTCAATAGCCACCACACTCGTAACAACCATTTGTTTTATATTTCTCATTCATCTAAAAAGTTTACGTCATACGACCCCATAAATATTTTAATGTCTTCGGGAAATAGTTAATTATTTTATTAAACATTGAATGTATTTTTATTATTATATTCATTATTATTATTATTATTATCATTATCATTATTGTTATTACTATTATTCGATGTATTAATCTTTACATTTTTTATTATGTTATATTTTATTATTGTAAATTGTATTATATTATTGTTATCTATACAAATATATTGTGAATTGGACTTTTGTCCGTATTAATAAATAAATAAATAAATAAATAACATAATGTGTATTTATGTAAAAATTTAAAAATAACAATTTTATTCAATAACAAGTATTTACTCAGTAATACTTATAAGTATAATAATATCGTACCTACTGGTAGTTAGTAAAAAAAATGCGCAATTTAAATATATTTTTACATTGAAAGTTTACCGTATGTGCAACGTTTAGCTAACTTATAATTAAAAAAAAAAAAAACGTAATCATTATAATATGATTCTGATGTTTATCTGTAATTTTGTGTAGTAATTAAGTCTGTGTTGATATGTTTAAAATTAACTATTTAGCGTATACTGTACCCATATACTAATTTACCATGTATTAATTAAAATTAACACGTTACGTCTTGTAATATCTATTAAAATTAGAACCACGATTTTACTCAAAATAAATTAGTATAATAAAAAATATAAATAGGTACACATATCGTACCTACATATATAATACATTCATACCATTTTATTTATCAGTATAAAACTAGGTACATTTATAAGAATACAACAATAGTAATGATAAGTTATTAACATAGGTATGTAAACCTACGAGTAGATGTTTTCCTTTCATCAGATACATTTTCAGATGCATCAAAATAATAATAGATATTAAAACAAAACAAAAAATACAAAGAAATGTACACATAATAATACATACTAGGTATTATAATTATAATACAATTATTAGAATAATACTTTACCATGGATTTAACAATCTAGGTACCTTCCTATTATACTCGTAACATGTCATATTTAAATTATACAATTTAAATATTAACATAATGTATAGTATATTTTATGTACTTGTAATATATTCTATAGATGCATTGTATGGATTTATATTGTAAAAACCAGAAGTATGTCGAAAAAAAAAAATGTTTACGTACCTAATACAGATTATTAGATCTAGAACTTATAAAGGGTTGATATCATCCATAAAATCTAATGAAATTGGAATTAAATGTGGCCTGCGCGTTTTTTTGCTCAAAAACATGACTTACGGGAAAAACTTTTATCCTGGTCCAATTTTGAAGAATATTTTTTTGTTGGAAAAAGAACGATTTTCTAGCATTTACCTCCATTTTTCAATATTTTTATCTCAAACTTTACAATATGTCTATGAATAAATGTCAATTTTAAAATTTTTTTGTACCTACTGACTTTTTTTATACCTTTATTTAATATCAAATAAAAAAATCGAAGTTCAACATGGGCTGTAGAATATTATCGTTTATGAATTTGAAAAGTTAAAACAAATTTAACAATGAAAATGAGTTATCTCTATATTCCCGTTAAGTTATATTGACCCATAAAACGGCATTAATTTTTTCCCTTAAATGGCCGGTATAAGGCAGGGAGAGCCTGATTAACCAATAGGCTGAAAAGATTTCAGCTTAGGATGCCTTTAAATGGTAGGAGGTGCAATAAAACAATTTTTTTTAAATCGAGTTTTTTCAAACTTGTATCTCCTATTTTGGGGTATACGGAAGAATTTTTAGGGAGAGTACCGAGGATTAGGTGGGTGATGAGCAAAAAAAAAAAACAAAAGGTCATCGCCAAATCAATCCCAGCCTACTGATGAAAAATCCATTAACCAGGCCCTGCAGGCCGAAGATTAAAAGGACAGTTCTTATAACTATAAGATGCCATTAAAATGTTAAAAATAATTTTCAAATTTTAAATATTCAGATATATATTCTTTTAGCTAATGTACATTTTTTCTAGTCATCTACTTTTACAAGTAGCCAGTTATTAGAATTTAAAAATTGTATTACGAAATAAATACCTTCATTAGATATTTGTAAAAGAAAATATAATCATTATAATATACAAAATGTATACATTGTATATATGTCAAAATTGTTAAATCGAAGAACATTCCAATATATAGGTTAGGTTAAATACTAGGTCTTAAATACTTAGGTATTCTTATTATGATTTATGATAATGACTATTATTATTATTGATCTAAGGACTAAGCTAATCTTAAAATAATGATTGGATAATCAAAACTAATATAGTTGATTGTTGTTTTATTTTTTTACATAGATTTGCTGCACAAACAATCAGAATGCACAAAAATCATTTGATATTTCCACTTCTCAGTCTTTTAGTTGTTACTTATGCAGCACCAGAAGACAGAAAGAAATTTGTTCGAGTCATCACTGAACCGAAACCCGGAGAAGAATATGTTAGTATACAAACCGGAAAACCTTCATCAGGCGTTCAAACGAAATCTTCAGGTATAGAATTATTGATTTTTGTAATCAAAATAGGTAGGTACAAAGATAAATTTTAGACCCTATTTCGTTTACAGACAGCGATATCCATGTGAATATCCAAGACGAAGGACAAATAGGAATAAAAGAAGTCACTGGTTCAATCCCGGCAGAAGAAAAAATTTACGTGGTACGCGATATGCTTATAAATAAATTGTGAACACTTACTGCTGGATATAAAATAATTATTACACCCACACCAAGGGTCAACGTTTAGATAATAATGATAATAATAATAATAATAATAATGAAAAATAGGTATTCACCGTAATGGCGTAATAATTTTATGTAAGGCATAATTATTGCGCGTAAACTAATTTTACATTAATGCACTCACAATATAATAGAATACCTGTCTTCTCCGGAGATAATAGTTTGAAAAAATACCTATATAAATGCGCCGGGCACCCATCATTATAACGTTATTATATTATGATACTCGTGAATATCTATAGATATAAGTACTTATAGGTACGTAGGTACTTATATTATTTTCGTAACATTATTTTGACTAGCGTAAAATTTTTTTAGTGTATTACCTAAGTCAACTTCGTGTATAATACAGTTAGTAAGTATAGGTATTACCGTACCGGTAGTAAAATTAACCGAGTATCTACTATATATAAATATTTATTCCTACAATGGTATACTAGATAATTATTTATTAAACACCATTTGATTAACTATATTGTTCCTAGTAGATAGGTAAAATAAATAAATATTAAAAACAAGTCCATCGCCATTAACCATATTTAAACTGTATTCTAACCAAAATATTATATGGAATTAATTCCAAGGGCCAGTATATAATACCAGATATACAGACTGTCCAGCGAAGATATATCCCTTGAATATCTCCGGAGATGATAAAGATAATCAAATTTTGATTTATTTTATATTGCTCACAGGGGTGAGGACTACAAACATTTATTTTTAAATTGATTTGTTTTTTTTTTTTATTAAAAAAAATTAAAAAAATAACTTTTTATTTTATTATTTTTGGACAATTTTAAGATTGCCATGCGATAGAGTTTATTTTTCTGAAAATTTTAATGCATCACACATTTATATCCGATGAATAGTTTCTAAGTAACTGTCGTTTTAAATTCTACTAATCCGTGTGAAAATCAATGTTATTTAGGAAATAACATAACCGCGTTACGCGATAACATCAGTTTTCACACGGATTAGTAAAATTTAAAACGACAGTTACTTAGAAACTATTCATCGGATATAAATGTGTGATACAATACAAATTAAAAAAAAAATAAACTCTACAGAATAGTTATCTTAAAATTTTCCGAAAATAATAAAATAAAGTTATTTTTTAATTTTTTAATTAAAAAAAAAAATGATTCAAAAATAAATATTTGTAGTCCTCATCCCTGTGAGTAATATATAAAAAAAAAAAAAAAAAAAAAAATCAAAATTTGATTATCTTTATTATCTCCGAAGATATTCAAGGGGTATACCTTCTAGGGACAGCCTGTATATAGGTATATATATAAAATAGTTCACCTTTATATTAAATTTGTTCGGAAGATAATTGATACCCACCTATTTGTTTATGATTGTTTATTTCTTTTTTAGCATAAAAAATTATACCCATCTAACGAAGATGGACCCAGACGATTAAAGCAGGAAAAAAAATTCTCTCAAGTTAGTTCAGATGAAATTGTTCCTGACAGTTTTGCGATTAAGCCGATTAACAAACAAAAGTAGGTTGAGACAATTTATAAGATAAACCTAGTCAACATTATTCACTAAAATACTTTATTAGGATTAAGCGAGATGGGGAAATCACAACTCATAAACCTTTAAAAGTCCATGACAAATCAAGTAACAGTAAAGACGATGAGGGCTTATATGATTTTGTGGATTCTCCATTTGGAGGCCAACTTGTAGCTTCTGCTTCTTCTCAAGCATCCAGAGTGAATATTAAAAAAGCACCAAATGGTCAAGAATATGAATATGAATACGTCTATTACTATTACGATGAGGACGAAGAACATAATGGAAAACCTGGTTCTAAAAGTAAATTTATCTAATTATGTCGATAGGTATACCTATGCAATTACATCTAATGTTGTAAACGACTTTTTAAAATCTTAGCTAGTCAAAGTTCGTCAAATACTCCCCCAGCTTCTCAACAAACGAATTCAAGATCTAAAGAAAACAACAAATCCAAAAAACCAGCTGTGGCACAAGAAGAAAACAAATTTATTCAAAGTACAAATAAGGGCAGGTTAGTAATATTTAATTATTTAATTATTAACAACACCCATGTGGCTAGTGGCTATCTAACACAAATCTAATTGGTGGCGTATTTTCAATTTTTTTTTTTTTGGACGGGGGTTCCAACAAGTTTTTGAATTTCAATATGATATGCATAGGTACTAATATTAGAAAATAGTTATAAATAGATTATATGAATAAGAAATGATTATTAATAGATATTAAAAATAGCTCTAGGTCTGATTTTAACAAAATTAAAAATGTCATCACCGAAATGTATTTAAATTAAAACTTCATCTATTTATGGAGTTTATTAGTTACCTACCTCTATGGTTTATTTTGTTTCTATACATATTTTATTTCTTTACAACCCATGTGAGTCCTTCCAATGATCTGTGTCCTCTATTACCAACCTCTGATTCATTAATCCTTATTAAATCCTTCACCCTGTCCATCCAATGTTGCTATCTTTTTCTCATCTGGATTACTGATTAGGACTTTATTTATCAGATCATGTTTTGCACGCAATGCATGCATGTCCGAGCCATACAATTGTTTTGGATCCCACGAAATGATGGATGTTTGGCCTGCCGAACAGGATTCCATGTTTGAGTTTTCCCTTTTCTCATACCTGTTCTTCGCTATTTGGATTTCTTATGGGTTCACAGATACTTCTCAGGACTTTTCTTTCAAACCTCAGCGATTTTTCTTCGTCACTCTTTGTCATTGACCATGTTTCGCACCTATACATGGGATGAAGGTGTGTGGTATAGTTTTATTCTGGACTCTTTGGATAATACCTAGTCTTGACTTAAACATCCTATTCAAGACAAAGTAATCATGATTTTCTACAATTATTTTGAGATTTATCTCACTGTGCATATTGTTTATTATATAGGTTACTAGATATTTGAAAATCAAAATAAGAGTGAAGTCATTTTTTCAAAAATAAGTAGGTATTCCATAGACCATAATATATATTATATATTTATCTTTTCCCCTATACTTTAAGACTCTTTTAGCGGCACCTTCCAGACAAAATGAAATCAAATTTGGAATTTTTTTATAAAAAGATGTGAATAAAAAATATTGGATTGAATTTCAATATGTTGTTACAGGATGAGGGTATTTTTGAACTTTTTAAAACCACCTAAGGAACAATCATTTGTATATGTGTGGTGTTATTATCAAAGATGCACCTTTTAGAAATTTAAACTTACTAACACAATTTTTATTTGGAACTTATAAAGTTTCATAGTTATAGCATATTACAGTAAATTATATTATCCAGATATTTATTGTTTTTGCAAAAGATATGGGGGGAAATTTAAATTTAGTAAGGAGCTTTAATGATCACAGGTGCTTTTCTCATAAAATACTTATTGAGTTAGTAAAAATGCTCACATTTAGTCATTTTATACCTAACCTACCATAAGAGATTCAAATTTTTCACTCTATTTTATTTTAAATAAAATGTATAATTTCGCACAGTATTTTTTAAATTAACAATAAACATTAATACATAGGTTTTATTATTTGTGATTTATAGATTACTTTGGCTACAAGGAAATAAACACGGCTAATAATACTACTTTAATAAGAATTTTTTTTTTTATTTCAATAATTTATCATTGATTTTAATATAGAAATTAAATTGCCCTATTTACTACACCTTTCAAAATTCAAACTTCTCATCTATTACAATGGCCTACCCATGATGTATATCCAGCTTTTTAATAATACTAAGTAGATAGGTATTTATGAATATAAAAGAAAATACATACCAGTTTTCATTAACAGTAATTATTTGAACGTTATTCGCATTTTAACATTATGACATTATGATTATTAGATAAATTTATTTAAAAATACTATAGTAGCTAATAGCTCTAGTGGAAAGTGAGTCTGTGTTAAGTACTGCCGTGTTAATACTTCTCATGATAAGAACAATAGAATATATAATATTTTATTATTATTGTTTTGTAATATAAATAATATTTTAAATCAATTACAGATAATGTATTTGAAATTTTTTGGAAATAAGTTTTGAAATATAATTTAATTACTTTCTTAAAATGTAATTGCAATATTTTTCCACTTTTTTAGAAGACTATCAAATTGCAAAATAATAGTATGCCTAGGTAATGTTTATAATTATTAATTACTATTGTATAGTGTATACAATGTTAGTTACAATAATAACTCAATAAAACTAGTTTTGAACATATTAAGTATTAAGGTTGATAAAATTAGAATTAATGGTAAAAAAAAACTTTCTACTCTTAATACAAATAATTTATAAACTATATAATTAATAAAAATGTTCAGATATTTTTAATTAATGACAATTTTAATTTGATTTGTATCATAATTTATGGACAACATAACTATAATGTATTTAATATTTGTATAGATTTACTCCAGTGGAACACACTACAACTGATGAATCAGAGGGGCACACTAACTTTGCAATTAATGATATTACTGAACACAATAATAAAATAAAGTAAGTGATTTCATTACAAAATTTACAAAACGATGCAGTAATGTGTATATAAATTAATTTAAAAATTTCTTCTTAACCCTGCAGTAAGATCAAATAATTTAGGGTAACAAATTTCTCCATTTTTATCTAATGTATAGTGAAACCATTTTCCTTTGACTTTTAATGGTATATGTCGTCCACGAGCAGTTCTTCCAACTGTACAACTAACCTGAAACAATTTTATGAACAATGTATTTTTTAAAGTAAAACATCAAATAAACGTTCAATAGTGTAGTATAATATTCTTATATAATATTAAAAAAAAATTACTTACCGATTCCAAAGGTAAAGATGTTGTTATATTTCTGTTTAAAAAACCGTATGACGTTATTCTTAAATGTTCACCTCCTTTACATAAAACTAGGATTTTTACAGATTTCATAGTGTAGACAACACATATTGCAATTAGTGTTGTACCTTTAAATAATACAATAGGTATTTGAATTGTACAGTTATACAAAATTTAACTACCTACCTATTTTTAAATAGTTTTAAATGAATAACTTACCCATGCATAAACAAGCAATTGGAATACCAAGTGTTATAATTTTTCCTTTCGATTTTAATTTTTCCATCCATTGTAATGCATGTGAATCATCCTTAGGTATTTTGTTTAATAAGACGTTATACGAATCTGCGACTGTAAGCCAAAATCCAAATTGAATAATCGAAAATACGCTTATTATTTTGAATGTTTTATCACTAGACGATTGGTATAAAACTACATCTTTAGGGACGTTTGTATTTAAATTAAATATTGATTGTTCATTGAAATTTCTTTTACTAAAACATTTAAATTTATCCAACCGATTTTTGTACAAACTATTAAACGTGTTGAACGAATTCATATTAAACGCTCGATTAGACACGATACATTGATAACAAGGTACACGATTAAGAAGCCGTTGAAAATTCATTATAATAAATAAAAAGTTAATGTCAAATTAGTAAAATAGTTCAAAATAAAATATTAGTACAATAAATTATGGATTACGGTGTTTGAGAAATTGAAATTCCAAATGATAACGATAAGCGACTTATCACTATTGCATCACTGAGATTTAGACAAGTAGGACAAGTACATTTTGTACGGTTAACCAGTTTATCCAACGACCGACAATCCATAATATAATACCTGAAGGTCGTTCAGTTTCGTTTAGCGTTGGCCATTAGGAATGACGTTAGGTACCCACACTATAGAGATCTTCTCAACGACATGATATTACGACAGATAATATCATAATGTTATCGTGGTATTACCTAGTAAAAATTAGTTTTTCAATTGGATACGTAACTTCAAAAATAAAGGCGGTTAAGTACAAAAGTATAGATACTTACTTAAAGCAAATAAATAAAAATGATCCATTTAAAAAGTAACTAAATTTATAATAAAAATATTACTATAGTTTATTATTTAGATCTATAAAAGATGATGCGTTGAAGAGGTGCAAAATAACTAATACGAGTAAAATTTATCACTAGTAGAACTTTAGGACAGCTAATTTTAAGATACCTATCTAACAAATAATTTTATAGGTATAGAACTAACCTAAACATGACTAAATTATATTTTTTATCATGATAGGTAGGTACCGATATTTATTTTAGACGTGCGTTTTCTAAATGGACGTACGTATCCCAATATAGATCGAAAATTATTGAATAATTTGATTTACTATTTTTAGATGTATTTAGGATTGTGGACGCTTTGATATAGGGGAGCTTGAGCCCAAGACATTTTTTTTTTTATCATTTATTTAATAGAAATGATCGAATTAAAATAGTTTTTATTTATAAGTGATGAATGATTCCTAGGTAGGTAATACGTAAATACTTATACTTACATATAATTCGTATGAATACTTTCACTAAATAGCCATTAAAATAAAGTAGATACCTAGCTGACAGTATATAACTGACAGTTATTAGAATCTGAACAGTAAAATACCTATGTAATATTATCAACTTCAAATGTTGGTCATGATTAATATAAGCAAATACCTACTATAAAATATTTTAATCAATCGCTATTCTCTATAATTCTTGAAGAAGTTTGTTACTGATTCAAATTTTTTTACAAAAATACTTTCGTTTTTAAATAAAATATCTAATTTAAATAGAATTGAAATCACTTTTTGTTCGTCATGAATTATTATTGTAGGTAGGTACATAGGCAGTGCTTAACTTGTGGAAGGGAGGTGAAGTACGTCAGTTAATTTTTCAGAGATTTTAGCGTACCTCTACTTACTATTTTTTTTCAGTAAGACGTGTAGGACGGTACATAACTTTGCATTTTCACACAAATTTGAATTTTAAACCTTTGTTAAAAAAAATTAATACACTACACTAAACTATTTTTTCTTACCACTAATTACAACGGACTGTAAACTGTAAAAAAAAATAAAATCGAATATAACAGAAACCGTTATATTATATGAATATTCCAGTTTTCTCGATTTTTTTTTTTTATTTTTAAGAAAACTCTAAAGAAAATAAAAAGCAAATAACCATCTTATTGCACTAACTAAACAACACCCCTCAAGTTGATGATCGGAAATTCGAAGCAAGATTTCTGTGCAACAAATATAGTAAAACCGATACACATCTAAGCAAAAACTTAGCCTGCAATAGTGTTATTTTTTAAATGATACTAAATTCGTTTACTTCATTAAAGTAAATCAAGCTATACGATTTAAACAATACATTTTCTGTATAAATTTATTTGTATCATATTTTATTAAATAATATACTTTGTAATATTAAGCATTATACATATAACTAATATATTATGATTTATTTTTTTAGAGAATCTGCACGTAATCTAGAAGAAGCTTTATCAGTTCCATCATCTTCTCAGGCTGTATCCGAAGAACGTCTTCCGCCGAATCCTAGATTCCCTGCTCGGTCTCGTGGCAACACTAAACCTGCTCAGGAATTTGCAACTACTATTTTGCCTGCTACAGATACTCCAATTACTCGTATACGGTCAAATCATGGTACATAATGATAACGCATAATTTGTATTGAAATGTTTAATATTGCAATTTTCAGCAATATTAATTATTTTGTTTCAGGCGCAACGCACCAGCCAGGTTTGGATTTAGTAGACAGCAGTGCATTTAGAACTCACTCTAGTAATGGACAACATACGGCTACTTCACCGAGACACGAAAGTAACAGAGGTATTAAATATATATTTACCTACTATGAACTAATACTAATAATAATTATTGAAATATGTGTTTTGAAAAGAAATTTATTTTGTAAATACGTAGATTGCTATGTTGTCGCTGTATTATCTAGGTTATAGTACAAGCGTAAACATTAATATCGTTTAAAGTTTAATTTAGTGGATTAAGGGTTAATAATTGACCAAAAAAATAATTCACTTATTACCTATGTTATGTTTAATGATATTTATTATAGGTACTTAACAATAATTATAAATGATAAATGGACAATCCGTTATACTGTTTTAGTGCATATATGGGTGCGATTGTAAAACTAATATTATCTATCTACTATATTTTGTACAGACCAAAAATTATATTTTAATTATTAATTTACTATTATAATATACATATACGGGTACATTTAATGGACGTGTATGGATAATAATATAGAAGGCCAGTATAAGGACACGCCAAGACGAGGCTGTGTGAGGTTAAAACTGGCGAAAATAAATATTTTCAGATGCTGTGGTACAAACGACGCCAGCAGATCAAGTAGCAACTATTAATAACGCTTATAACACTCAGCTGACAGAAACAGTAGCGTCAGTAACAGAAACTGTTAGCTTAGATCGGAATCAAGACAATACCGATGTGGATACTAAGGGGTTACCATTGACGACAACATTAACCCCCGACGAGGTCGTTACTGTCACCCATCGTTATAGCCCAGGTTCGCGACGGACATATGCTAATATAAGCTAACAATACTGACATTTTACAGCTTTTTAATCACATTTCTGAAAATGTTGCTTCATTTTTCTAGCTTTTTAACTTGCTAAAGTTAACAACTTATTGAATATGTCTTATATTAACATAAGTTTTGTGTTTCAAGTTACTTGAAAATCTTTACATATAAAAATGCTGTAGATAGGTACTTAATTGTAACTATACACTATACCTATTGAATAATATCAAAATAAAAATTTAATTATGACTAAATAAACTAATAATATCATACAGTTTTCAACAGTGTTTCCCAACTTATTTTACTTACGGAACCTTTTCAGGAACTTGAATATTTGGCGGGACCCTCATTTTTTTTCATAACCACATAACGCAGACATATTTTTTAGATACTCAAATGAGTGGGTAATTCGAGACGTCTGGAAAAATGGAATACATTTTCATAGCATTTTATAGAACTTCTCAATTTTAATTATAAGAAATAATCAAATTAAAATATTGTTTACTAATATATTTTTGCCAAAATTCCTCACATCACCTTTGGCGCTGGTTCAAGGAACCACTGGGTTCCGTGGAACATCAGTTGGGAAACACTGGTATACAATATGCATGGTTTAATATTACATTTAAAATACGTAATAATTATTTAATTTTTAGATGAAAAAACAATTGGTTGAATAATTATGAAATTATACATTAAATATTTATACACCATGTTCGATGGAATTTTCTAGACCTGTTAACATTCAATTTTAAACTCGAATCGTAGCGAGGAATATTGGTTGTATAATGATGTTTATTATTTTATCTGTGAACAACTTTTAGCCAGAAATCTTGCTCTGATTTTCAAGTGTAGTACCTTTTCTGAAAGGAAATTTCATCTGGGTGATATATTAGACAAACGATTTTCATAATAATTGGGAAAAATGTAAAAAAAAACTAGAAAATTTAAGAACAAAGAACATATAAAATAAACTTCGCTTTTGTTAACAATGGTTTATCATTACGAACACATATAAATTAAATTCCCCTCTATATTCTAATTTCCCAATTTTTCATCTACAACAGTGGCTCACCCACTATGCGAAATATATCTGTCTATCTTTAGATTTGTTTTTCTTTCAGGGGATATCTATTTAGAGAAAAATTAGATTTATGTTTTTATTTAAATGGCTTACAATGGTATACAACATGTTGTAAGGTGATTAAATTAAAAGTTTTTTTTTTTTTGAAAGAAACTAAATTAGGGGATGAAAATAAAATTTTAGTTTTTCCATAAACATATGTCTTGTTTAAAGAAAACCAGATTGAAAAAAAAAATGAATTTTAGTAGTTTAAGAAAATCCGTTGTACACCCTATATGCTGATAAATTCTTTAGATATTTTTTTAGAAAATGTATATAATAATTAAAATATATCTATTCTCTACATAATACTTCATGATAATTTATTTTCCAATTTTTATTTAAACTTTAATTATTATTATACATTAGTTCGAGTCTGTGCTAGAAAAATTAATAATGGAATCAATTATTTTGTGTAAGATAATGGGAGAATTTGAGAGAAACAATAATAATGTTAAGATAGATGTTCAGGGAACTTGGTACCTATGTTGAGAGAAGAACAATAATAAGATAGTCATAAAGATAATTGAGTTAAGTGTAGAGGGCAACTGCTGGAGAAGAAGTAGACTAAAAATTTAGCTAAGTATTAATAAAAGAGATATGACAACATGTGAAGTGGAGAGTAGATGGATAAATGGTAATGGATAGGGAAATATGAAAACGAAAATAAAAGTAGTTCTAGAAGAGTATGTAGAATATTTACATTTACCAAGGAATTATAGGCATTATCCATTAATATTTCAATCTGCTAAATAAAATATTTAAAAAGAGTTATTAGTAACCGGTAACAAGTAGGTTATTACCTACTTTATATTGGAGAACACTAATATTTACATTATTTAGAACAAAACAAATATTAACTTTAATAATAATATCATTTCTTTTTTAGTTTATTTTTTGTATAGATACATTTTACATTATAAATGAAATTAGTTTTTTATCATTTAAAATACCATTTAGCTTTTTATAATTTATACAATTAAGTTTATAAATTTAAAAAAAAAATTGAGTTGGGAATTATTTCTTGTTTACAACTTTCATTAACCATCATCAATCATTAAAATTAAGAGAGTGTCACTTTATAACTTTTTGTTTTAATTTTTACAAGTTTAATATAATAAGTCAGATTTGTTTTATTATATAAGATTATAATTACAATAGGTTTTGAAGTAATGTTACAGATTATAATATTAATATAATATAGGCACCTACAAAATAATTATACATAAATCCATAATTTCCATATTCAATTTTTGTATATGAATAATAACTAATAAGACAAAAAATTAATTTAAATGTCACTGTTTTGATTTTATGAAACAAAATGTTTTGTTTAATGTGTTAAATATACAAGATAATATAATGATTGCAATAATGAATATGTTAATGTGACATCCTCTTAATAATAACATACATTTGATATATCTTTTATCAAATTCGGGTAGGTAATTCGCATATTACAGCATCATTTTTTTTATAAAAATATTTGAATTTGTTAGGATCAACTGACAAAGGGGCAGTAGACTTGTACGCCATTTTGCAGCAAACTCGTAGCGAAGAAACAGGAAACACTATATCGTCATCAAGTGAACATTCTACTAGATTTGAAGACAGTGAAACACAATTCCCAACTACTTTACGGCTAGCTCCGACTACAACCACAACAACCACAACGACAACAACTACTACTCCGGCGCCAACAACGACCACGACCACTACTACAACCGCAGCACCAACACGTCAATCACCTGGTTCTGGATCAGTGCGTAATCGTTATCGAGGTAATGCAGGAACCAGGAATGCATTGACATCATCAACTACTACTACAACTACTACTGAACTACCTGCATTGTCTGAAGAAGTTACAGAAAAACGCAAATTCAAACCTACTAGAGAACGAAACACTCAAGTAATGTCGTCATTTATATTAATAATTTTAAATTGGTAGTATTGAAATGTTGTTACCTAACAGATATTTCAGTAAATATCTTAAAATATTGAATAATCAATTACATATTATTTTTTTGAAGTTTTATAAATATTTTCTAAAAATAGTATTATACAAATTAATATTGTTACGCAGAACTAACAATATTAAACTGGTAATACATATTATAAGGTACCTAGCCTGAAATTTTAATTTATATACATGAAATTATAATGATTTTAACTCTGTTTTATTTTATATTATATAGGGATCTGTCTATAGCAAGAGATATCAATCTTCTACAGCTGCTCTTGAAAAAGAATCTTCAACCACTGAAAGCGAAGTATCAACTAGAGCACAAAGTAATTTATTTACATTTCACATAGAACCAAAACTAATAATTATTAAGTATATTTATAGTTTAGGTCTGATAGCAATTATTATTGTGTTCAGAAAATTAATGTTTCAAAATACTATACTGTAGGTAATTTATAAATTATACAATTAATGAAGAAACAAAAAAATAATTGCCATTCAATTGTTTAATTCCTTTAAATATTTAATTTATAAAAACTATAATAATTTAAAAGTAATTGAAATAATTTCACTTTGACAATTCAGAAGGAATATAATTATTTTTGTAAAACAATATAATCAAACAATTAAATTTAAAATTGTAAATTATCAATTACACTTATAATATTTTAGAACCTTCATTTGGTGGACGACAAAGAACACGTGCAAGCAAACCTGTATCAAGCACAGTATCAATAGATGAAAATGTAGAAGTTACATCAGCTGCACCGAAACCCAACTTTGCTGAAAGGTATACAAATTAATATAATATTATAAGTACATTTTTTATTTTACTCAAAGTTAAGTCAGTAATATTAAGTTGAGATTACATACATTAAAATTTGAAGGTCTAATTTGAGAAGACAAAATAGTAGAAATAAGTTCACAACTACTGGTTCTACAACAATAACAACAACAACCTCTACAGCAGCACCACATATCACAGAAGAGGAAGAAAGTAATGTTTCAGAACATGAAGTTACAGAACCAACATCTACAACTCCTAAAGCAGTTGGGTATGTGTTGGAATTTACAAAAATTAAATTATTATTATTAATGATTTTATTGATATATTATTTTAAATTATTATAGAGGCAGACTGAGACCAAATATTAGACCATTGAGACCTGGATTAAGGTTAAACTTTGGAGGAAAAGGATCATCGACAACAGCTATTCCAGTACCAACACCGACAACACAAGCATCTGTTGCAGAAAGTTCTCCAGATGAAGTAGAAGAAAAAGTTAGTGCCAACAAATTATTATTTTTTATATATTTTATTATCTTATTATATTCATCAGGAAGTGGTACAAGAGACTAGTCCAACACCAGCACCTGATTCTCTTTCAAGGCTTAAGAACAAATCTAGATTCAGGATACCAGAAAAACAAGCTTCAGCTGTACCAAAACAACAAACCCTAACACCTCCTGCAACTGGACAAAATAGAAAGCATTTATTATCAAATTTGCTACCCAAAAAGAAGTCAATTCAAACTGAAGAGCCACCAGTAGTCGAGGAAGTAAAACCAGTCTTAGAAAATGAACAAGAAAATGATCAACCCCAAGAAGTGCAAAATGAAGAAGACTTGGATCGACAACAACCATCTTCTACTGTAACAAGTACGACTGAGGCTCCAACATCGTCTACAAACCGATTATCATCTTTGTTAGCCAAAAGAAGGCCATTGCAAAGAAGACCAGCTGATCTATCTAGCAAACAATCAAATCAAGAAGAATAATAATCAAAATTATATTTAAAAATGAATTGGATAAAATATGTATATGATCCAAACAGTAGGTATACTAATTTTTAACTAATAAATTTTAGTATCCAATTCAGCTAATTATTTTAAGTTATAATTTTGTTCCACTGAGTATATCATTATTATAAATTAATTAATTATGTACTGTAATTTATATTTTTTTAAGAAAAAAAAAATATTTTTTGTAAAAGACTCCGACCAAAACAATTGTATGTAACATTTGATATTGTTCTACATACTAATGGTTGGTAAAATATAATTATCATAAATTGGTAGTGACTACTTATTTATATAAATGAAAAAAAAAAAAAATGAAAAAAATATTGTTGAACAAATTAATTACAATCAATTATCCAGTTGTTATAACACATTTATCAACCTTTCATTGAATGTAATAATCTTATATCAAACCATCATATTTTGTCATTAATATAAGAATATTACTTGTCTGATAAATTTATTCTGTGTTGTGTCTATTTAATAATAAAAATGTATGTAAATATATAATAGGTATATTATTTTTAAAATCATAAAATATAAATTGTTAAAGTAAAACAATGACATGCCCTAAGTTCAATCATACTTTATTCTCACATTAGAAATTTAAAACAATATATACACTTAAAATAAAAAAAATTATCGTTGATTTGTTGGTCTAGTTTTCAATTTTGTTCCTAACATTTTTTTTTTAACCATATTTGTTTAAAATAATATTATACATTTAGACATAAAAGACTGACATGCTCTTTGTATCATGGATACCTAAATCATTATAGTGGGAAGCAAGTTGGGAAGGTTCATACTAAATTTATATGTAGGGTTGTATATGGTAATTTAGTTTATATGTGTATGCAAATCACAAAGAAATTATTGCAAATGAAAAACGATTATAATCAAAGTCCAGTTAAATGTGTTAGTATTCGTTTGGTGTGTGACCACATAAAACCAAATAAAAACTAAAAGAAACCCAAGGTGTCAAATAAATATAAATAACTAACAAAATGTCAAAATGGTGGTGTACCACCAAACATTGTATAACGGTGCAGGCAGTATTAGACAAATTTGGCCTCAAGCTGTGTTGGTACCTATAACCTACTCATTGGTATTCAATCCATGATTGAACAATGATAGACAACAGTATTAATAATGAAAAATACAATCAGACAGGACCCAGGAAGTACCTAAGACAACACTACCGTCTACCAATAGCCAACAAAGAAGCAGGTACCTACTCATTAAATCAGGCAAAGTCAATTATTATTGTGCCATACATAGGGATAATAAGTCATATGTATTTTAATGCGACGCCTACGGTACTTATAGGTAAGTACAGTTATAGATCTCCTATATGGCTATTTATATATATATATAGCTAATTAGTTTTATTATTAATTTATTGTTTAAACTTTAAACAATGTGTCTATAAAATAAAAATTCATACTTACCTATATTATACGTTATTATCGATTATTCCGGAGGGCCGTGAGTAGCATAATACGGCACCTAGCCTCAAAGTATAGGTAATGTCATCTATGAGAATAGGAAGTCGTGAACACACGCATAGAAATCAAAATAAGTACCGCACTGAGTAAGTACTTATTAATTATTATACAAGTTATACTGGAACACTAATTGTATTTTCAATATAGTTTCTTTCTTTCATATTCAATACTCAAAATTTCACAATATGGTAAAAGGTACACTAATCCCAATTTTATTTTGAGTGTTCCGAACAAAAAATCATTTTAAGGAATAGGTTATTCATCAATTTGTCTAACCAAAAAAATGGTGAATGGAAAGTAAATTATTAATAAACCAAAAAATATGTATGGATTTTGAAGTTTCTACGATGGGAAACTTAAATATTTTACTAGAATCGCAGAAGCAGTCAGTCAGTTGATGGTGATGAATGGTGATAACTAATTTCCTATTTATTTCCTTGTTATTTTGACGAACCAAAATTAAAATATTGTAGGAATCATTGGGTGGCCATCGAATAGCTACCTAATTATTCATAATATATATATATATAAGATATTCATAATATCTGGGAAAAACCGGGAAAAAATGTCGGAAAAACAGAAAATGTACGATATGTAGTATTAGTAAAAAAATATTATGGCCTTTTTTTCTGTGTACAACTTTTTTACCAGCAATTTTGCTCCGATTTAAAATTATAACACTTTTTCTGAAAGGAAATCTGACTGAGAAGGGTAATTTTTCGATTTTCCCAGGAGTTTTCCTAATAAATGGGAAAAATCTGTGCAATATTAAACAAATATTATTAAAGAAAATATATAATGCCTATTTAATTATTTTTCCATAATATGAAATATATTGTTGAAAAAGCATCACTATATTTACTGAACTCCACTCAGAATCCCTTTTTCGTTAGCAATATTTTATCGTTGCTTATAAATCTATATCCTACATTCCCAACTTTTCACCAACAGTCGCTGCGAATCGTGCGAAGTATTTCCGTCTTTTTATCGGCCTTATTATGTTATACTCTTATTTTCACAATTCCTGTAATTGGTATAATGTCAATATAATGACCTCGGTCAACCGCCCATAACCCGTTGACATTTATTGGGAAGAAATTAAATTTTTAAATCTTATTCATATACCTATGTACATTCAATATTATATATAAAATAATATAGGTATATATTTGCATACCTAAGTGAAATCTTGGTAATCAAGTTATTCAAAATACAGCCGTAAAAAAAAAAAAAAAAACAAATAAGTAGGTTAGTGATGTATAATTTTATTTAGGTATGTACTATGTAGGTAAGTAGGTATACGTATATATACGTATATAGTGGCGTGGCGAACATTTATTTGATCATTTTTAATGATATGAGGAGGTGATGTTATTTAATTTATATCTGATACAATAATCGAATAGTTATACAAATTATTATAAATTATAAAATTATTCATTATTGTTAAGTAATGACGACAACAATAATAAATAATATGTGTTCATTTCGCTGTTCAGTGTGTTTATTATTTAAACTATACACGTAGTTTGAGGTGGCCATATAAATAAAACAATTCATGATGAGACTATTATTTTTGACTGAGACAGTGGGACGTGAACATTTTACTAATTTTCGGGGGTTTATTCCCGGGTTTATACCCTCTCGAATATGTATATGGATTCAGAAAGGCGATAATTTATTTAGGGGACTATTTATCGGATATAAATGTGTGTTTTCTTAAAATTTCCAGAAAATAATAAGATAAATAGTTAATTTTTTTAATTTTTTTACTAAGAAAATAATTAATTCAAATATAAGTATTTATAGTCCTCATCCTTGTGAGTAATATTAAAAAAACAGAATTTAATTATCTTTATTATCTCCGGATATATTCAAAGGGTATATCTTTGTCGGACAACCTGTATTTATATTCAATAAGTACTGCCTAAACAGTTTAGTACCCGTGCGTGAGCCCGCGACACAAACTAGAATTTGATAACGTGTATGATGGTCACAGATATTTATATTCTACAGATATAATAATATTAAGAGGTATTAGGTACCTAATTAATAATATTTTACAGGTACCTACCAGGGGCGTGCTCACGAGGGGGGGATGAGGGTGCCATATCCCCCCATAAACTTTTTTTTTTTATGCATTTGTTTGAAGTTCCCTGGTAGTTTCGGTTTTCAAGGAAAAACAAAAGGTAGTGTACAGTTGGTTTTAATTTTTAGTCATACCTATTAATTATTATCATACATATAAATTATGTTTAGTAGATACTATAGCAATAGTAATTATCTATAGATAATGCATACATATTATTGAAAAAAGGTACCGATGGACTATCATAATATTTCAGTCCATTATATTTCGATATCTGTGTTATAAAACACGACCATTGGCATATTAATATATTAATATAGGTTTAGCTATGCTATGATAACAATGTTATAGTAATACACATGCCTAATTGTTTAAATATTTTTAATAATTTCATTTAAGACTGAAAGTATGTATGTAAACAATATAAGCATATTTGTGGACTGTATATTATTAGATGCTGATAAATTTAGTGTAAATTTAGAAGTATAGACTTTATTTCAGATAAAAAAAAAAAATCAGTTCTTACTACCTAGTGTACATAACTTTTGTCTTTTACTGTTTAAGCACTTAAAAATATATGGATACCATTGCTCACATTTAAGTTCCTACTTTTAAATGAAAAAATTGAAAAAAGAGGTTTGAAATATTAGTACAAAAAAGCTGTCCTAGGATAATGGAGTTGGGTGCAGCCACTGTTATAGTTATCTAATTTTATGTATACTTGTAAGCATCGATAATTCATTACTAACGAAAAAACGATTCTGAGCAGAGTTTAGTAGATAGTGTTGCTTTGTCAACAATATATATGTCATAGTATAGTAAAATAAACAGGCATTATATATTTTCTTTAATAATATTTGTTTAATGTATCAATTTTCCCATTTTTCCTAAGTTTTTCCCGGTTTTGCCATGTTTTTACCTGGTTTTTCACATTTGCTAGGAAAACTCTTGAGAAAATCTAAAAATGGCCTCCCTAGAGTACCTTCCCAGTTAGATTTCCTTTCAGAAAAAGTTCTATCGTTGTAAATCGGAACAAAATTACTAATAGAAAAATTGTTCACAGAAGAAAAAAATCGTAATATTTTACTAATATATTTCGTACATTTTCCCATTTTTCCTCTGTTATTTTTCGTTTTTTCACATTTTTTGATAAAAATTCTGGGAAAATCAAAAAATGACCTCCTTAAAGTATCTCTAACTACTGATTTCTTTTCAAAAAAAACGTTACACTTAAAAATCGGTGCAAGACCTCTGATGGAAAAGTTGTCCACAGAAAAAAGAATAAACGCTTCTTCGCTCCACTAATAATCTAAAATATAACATATATTTATATATATTAGCATTTTAATTTATATCTAACAACTTATTCCTAAAATATCAATGTATTTACCAATAAGTATACATATTGTAAATTTATGTATTATAGATATGACTATCAAAAAAACAAAATACAGTTTATCCCCCTCGTAAGAAAAAGCTGAGTACGCCGCTGGTACCTACCAACCAATAATGTAAATAACTGTGATAGTGGCCAGAAATGTTTCGGCTGTCTATGCAACGCGCCTAATGTTTTAACTTGAAACCTAATTGTTTCGATAATGACGTTTTCATAGTTCTGTGCCAAAGTCGTAGAAAATAATCAATTGTATAGGTTTGGGACCAAAGTTATTGAACCCAAATATTTAGTGAAACAGTTGAGGTCTTGATGGAGAAAATTAGTAGAAATACAAAAATAATAAAGTAGGTGGGTACAGACGTTAAAGTTTAGAACTTAACTGTGCATCTAGTGAATTCAGATTAGTTTAGACTTATACCTTGGATTCTGTATTATGATCGAAGATTTTCTAATTTCTAAGACCAGTAAGACCGGGGTCATGATTATTTTGAATTTTAATGTTAATAAATGATAAAACGATATCATTGATAACAGTTATGATATCAATGAAAAATCAAAACATTAAAAAAAGTAAACAAATAAAAAGTTATGAATTTAAAAATGAGTGTTAAAATGAAAAGAAATGACTATTAACAACAAATATGGATTATAAAAAAGATGCGATTTACACGTATTGGGTACAATACACAACAAAGGTATTCGTCTTTTCAATATTCTTTTATACAATTTGAATTGTTAAGTTAATTTTTTAGTGTTAATTATTAATTGGAAAAATAGATACAATTGAAACTAGTTTTATTATTCTAACAGAACTTGATTTCCGTAATTGTTTTAACATTGTATTTGCCAATCAATTTTGTATAAATTAAAATATGGGCATTTTGTATTAGCATGTATCTAACAGCTGTTTATATTAAATTCTTAAAAGAAATGGACTATGTATATATTTAAAGAAAAACTATTATCTTGTTATGAAGTAGGTATGTAATTATTAATACACATCTATTTTTCCACAAAAATAAGTTGAGAATTATAATCTATGAATTTTTTTAAATATTTATTTATATTAATGAATTAATTGAATGTTGATTAAAATCATTGATTTCATTATTGAATCAGTTATTATTAATGCCAAAAATTGCAATTTATACAAATTTGTTATAAAAAATAACTTTAAATTTATACTATGACGACAGACTTAAATCAATAACAATCATGTTTCTTGATTTATATAAAATGCAGTTTTATTAATAAGTAATTAGTATATTATTAGGTATAGGTACCTAGGTTCTATATATAAACTTGTATATATAGGTACCTAATATTTTGTATGGAACTCAGGATTTTCTAAATTATACTGATTTTCCTAGGTTTATGATATAAACCAGAAAAGTATATCCTAGAAATGTTGATTATAACTTTTTAATGCAATTTTTTTTTTTTAGAATGAAGAAGCCTCTTTCAGGCAATTTATTTGTGGGTTTGTTGCTATATGGGAGACAAAATTAAATTTAAAATGGATTAATACTGATATTTGTTTACCATCTACTATTGACCCTGAAGCAGGACCTTCATTATCAAGATTACCCGATGAACTATTACCAGCAATTGCAAAATTTTTGTATATTGCTAAAGATAACACAGAAAAAGTAATTATCAATACGCATGTATAATAGTATTATGAACTAAATAATATATATGTATTGAATATTGTTTTAAAATAGTTTCCATATTTTTTCATTTTCAGAATGAATTGTCAGAACAAAATATTATTGAAGCCGAGTATTTAATACGTTGTTTAATTGTGATTAGCAGAAATTTTTATAACATTCCATTGTTAACATCTTGTGATTATATTAAAGAAAGTACATCTGTAGCTATTAACTTTATACATAAAGTAAGTGAATAATACATATTAAATAATATGAATTAATTAAGAATTGAATAAACTATATTATAATATTTATTTTTGTATAATATTGTGCATTGTAGCTCACTTCTATTAACCAACAATGTGATGAAACTACAAAGTCTTCATTATTATCATTTTGTTATTCACTTTGTCATTTTCTGGAATGTTTATATGATCCATATCAAATATGGCGTTGTTTTGATTCATCTCAAATGAAAGATTTAGATATGTCAAAACTTCAGTATTCTCCTTCTATGCTACATGTAGAAGTTGTACCATTTATTTTTGGTACGTTTGATTTTAATATTAATACTATTATGTTTTTGTGGATATTGATGGTTTCTCTTTTGTTTTTAGATTGTTTTGAAACAAATTTAGCAATTAAATATCCTCTATTAGCTGCAGAGCTTTTAAATGTGTTTGGAGCAATTGTCTGTGGGTCGCAGGTAAATATTTAAACAATTTAAACTCTTATACAAATTCTAGTTATTATGTGTATTTAGCTTGGGATATTAATACTTATTTAATGTGAATGTTTATTTGTAGCTCTATTTTAAAATTTTATTTTTGTATTTATTTTTAACGTGTGTTGGTATTAGTTACTTCTTCTACAGACATTTGGAATGGACAATGTTATGTTGTTCGTAGTAATGTGCTGGTGAGTGTGGCTTTGGTGATACAAATTCATTGAGCAATTCATAACAATGAACGTATACACTATTTATTAATAACATTGCTTAAAAACATAAAACTATTTTATTTTTATAATTTATTTTTTCAAGTGTATTAACTGCCTGGTTACTAATTTTGACAATTAATTTAAAATCGATAAAAATAAAATAAATTAATTTTAAATTATAATTGATATAATTATGTTAAATGTTAAATTTTAATTTATTACTATGCATATTATAGTTTAATATCACATAGTGTAACTAATCTAGCATTCATATTATTATTTCTTAAACTGAATAAGTAAATACAATTAATTATTAATTTGAAAGTACTATATTTAACATTTTTTAAATGGTTTTTTGTAATCATAAAATAAATATTTATTTATGAAATTAAAAGTAATAATATATTTTATGATAACCTTTATTAATGTGGAACATTTTTTCCAAAGTTTGGCTCTATCCTTTCTTCTTGATATTAAGTTACAAGTCATTCATAAGAAAATATATAAATATTGAAAATCCATAATCACAATTTCTATAATTTGCCTTTGAAATTAACATTTTTTCAAAAAACTGACAATTCGATAATAAAAAACTGTTAATTATTTTAAAGTTAAAAATGAATACAGTTTTCAGTTTTATATAAAAAATATATTTTACTGAGCACCATTCAGATTAGTTTTTATTTTATCCTCAATGATTTATCATTACTTTTAGTTTACAGGGTGATCAATCTATTGTAAGACATTCATTATCTCGGAAAGTATTTACTTTTTTTGGAATTTATTTTGTAGAATATTAAAGAAACGAACAGCTTAACAATTTAATATTTATATTAATATTTTATTTTCGTCACTCTTATTTTTGAGAATAAAAAGAAACTACCTACTTTTGATTTTTTAGATGAAGTATTAGTTAATATAAATTTAGATGTTGAAATTTTTGATTTATGTCAATCCATTGACAAGATATTCTATTTTTAAGTTTGGTTCAGGGGCGAGTAGTGGTGTATTATTAAAATGTCTTAAGTTGTGCTGGCACACAAATGATGCTCCATTACTCTTCCGGATCCAAACTTAAAAGTAGAATATCTCCTCAATGGATTGACGGAAATTAAAAATGTCAGCATTAAAACTTATTTTAATTAATACTTCATCTATTAATGAAATTTCTAATATAGGTTGCCATTTCAAAAACTAAAAGTAGGTAGTGTTTTTACCTCAAAAAATAAGGGTGTCAAAAAATAAAATAAATACTTTCTGAGATAATGGGTGTCTTATGATAACTTTCCATCTACTAAAATGGTAATCTATGATGGAAATATGCTTGGCTTTTTACTTAATGTTTGACATATTGATTATATAGATTGCAATTTTGTCTTTTTTTCTAATATATATATAAATATTTTAATTGCACGTTTTTGTAAATGTTATTCATCACATTTTTAAATACCTAACATATAACATTTGAATATTTATATTTTAGATTATTAATAATACAAACCAGTCTGGATATGGATATTCATTTTATTTAGTTATTGTAAGCTAGTCTTGTATGTTGCATTTGGTTTTATATAAAAACAAATTATTTAATAATTCAATCATACCTATTATAATTCATTTTTTGTTTTAAATTATAAATTTAATAAATTCATTTGTAAAGATTAATCAGAATTATTAAACATTTAATTTTTTTTTATTACTAAACATTATTTAGTTATCTTTATTTATTTAATTTTAAACTGTTTTATTATACAAACAAATTATAATATATAGGTATATAAGTATATTATACCTACATTTATTTTGTTCTGTATGTTTTAATTCTCTGCATTTAATTTTATATACATACAGATATAAATTTTATAATATAGGTATAGATACAGATTTGAATAATATTTATTATTTGCAAAATAGTGAGCACATTTAGTGATTACATCTTAAGTATGAATTAATAGAAAAATAGATTATACATAATTAATTATTTCAAAAAAATATTCATTTTGCGTTTATATTACTTTTTTAAAAAATTATTTTCTTAGTGTTTTTTTTTTGAAAATGATTTTGATGAATACTTACATACAATTAACATGTATAATTTTGTATTTTAGCATAATGCACTTCGTGGTGTAAGTCCTCCAACTTGTACTTTAATTATGAAAGTTATATCAGATAAAAACATTCCATTAGTGGTAAAAACAACAGCTTTAAGATGCTTTGTAACTATCACTCAAGTAATGATACAATTTCCTCCACATCAAGTAATATATTTTTTTTTAAAATTAATAATATTGTGTTTAATTGTATATATATATATATTTAAAAAGAATACGGTACATTGGTGTGTTTATTTTATATATTAGTGTCAATTAGATGTGTATACTCAAATAGAATGTTTAAGAGATACATTGAAAGAATGTACAGCTTTTGAAATAAATACACCATTGGTTTTAAGTGTGATTAAAGCAATTGGACAATCTATAGAGTTATCAGGATCGAATGCTGAAAAAATTAGAAATTTTGTTGTTGAATGTAAATTGTTGGAAATCATTTTAAATATATTAAATAAATTGGAGGTAGTTCATTTTTTTTTTTTAAATTTTATTTTGTGTCTGTATATTATTTCTATTAAATATTAATATTTGATTTGAATGATTACTTTAAAAGGCTGATATTGAAATAGATGATGTAGTATTATGTGTTGAAACGGTTTCTTTGATTCTTCGAATGTCAAATGAAGCAAAAAAGCAAATGTTAAATATAAATGGCTATGAGAAAATTTTTGAATTTGTGGGCAAACAATCAAATAAAAGTCAACCATTATTAAAAGCTATAATTTCTATTGCTACAGAAAATACAGATAAAACACTGGATCAAAATTTAGAGGTTAAATTTGTTAATGAATAATATAGGTATGTTACTGACATATGTTATTTTTTTTTTAAATAGAATGCACAAATGATTGTACCATTAATTGAATGGTTACCAAGTCTTGATGAAATAGACCAAGTTTGGCTAGCAAGTGTAATATTTAATTTGTGTACAACAAATTTGCAAAGGTAATATTATAGTTTGTTTTACAAAGATAACTTTAAAATAAATTACTTATGTTTATAATAATCTAATTTATAACAGATTTGTTTAATTGTTTAAAAATATTATTAGGGTTTTGGATATTTTCTCTTTTATTATTTAGTATTATGTATCATTGTATGAAATCGTTAACACAATTATCCAATTTATAAATAATTTTTTTTAGTAAATGCCAATCATCAGCTTGTAAAGTTATAGATTCTGTTTGTAAATGCTTGGAAAATAGTAATCATTTGTATACAAAAACTGTTCATCAACTTTTGAAACTTATTGAAAACTTGGCTTCACATTCTATTTCAACGTCCGAACTTAAAAAGATATTTTTATTAATAAGAAATAAGGATGAGCCCGTAAGTTCTTTAAGCGTTATTTTTTAAATGTTATTTTAATACATATTTTTTATTTCAGTTTCCATACACCACACAAATACTCAGAACATTATCTGAAGTTGCTTATAATACATATGATAATAGTTGTAAAGTGTTTTTTGATATTCAAAAAGATAAAGGTATAAAACTATATTATGTTTATTTTCTAAGGATATGCAATAGTTGTTAGAGTAATACTTATTATAAAGTTAAAATCTAAATTTTTTTTTGTATCTCCTATTTATTTGAGTCAGTCACCTTGATCTTAACTGTCCTCTCTAAAAATAATTGGTTAAATAATTATTTTAACCTATAATGTGCTTTGGGAAAAAAAATAATCACACCAAATCTTCAAAGATACTTTCACTCAATTCAATTATACAAAACAAGTAGAAATGGCATTCAATTAGACAGGGTTCATATATATATGTTTAATGAGTTATAGTAGAAATCATTAGGTATATTGTTTTATAATTTTTTAAACTCTATACATTTGGTTAATACAAGTATAATTTTTAATATATATGGAGTGTTTTAATAAGGTTTTTATTATTTTAAACTTTTCTTGTGATAAAATTGATTATTTAGTGTACAAAATTTAAAAATTGATTAGTTGTACAAACATAAAATTCTGGACATGAAAGTATATTTTAAAAATTATTTTATGTATGGAACTGTAGAAATATCATTATTTATCTAATGAATTGTGAAGGAATTTAATAATTTTTTCATCACATACTAATATATTAAATTTTTTTCATAAATAGAAGGTCTTACAATTGACGAACTAAAAAAGTGGCCTGGGCCAATGAATGGATTAACTTTTCATTGTTGGTTACGTTTAGATAATGTCAGTTTTCATCATTGTTCTAGTACATTTGGTCTAGCTTCTTATAGAAGGCAACTATTACAGTACGATAATATTTATTATTAATATTATAATTAATAAAATTGTCTATAAGCCAATTGATACATTTCTTATTGTATATTGTTTTAGTTTGCTAACTAATTCAAATACAGGATTAGAAATTTTTATTGGATCGGATTGGACTCTTGTTGTTGGAATGAATACGAAAAAAGAATTTTTTACTGTTACTGCACGAGATTTTAGATTTGTAGAAAACCGTTGGTATTGTATTGATGTTTGTTATAGTCCACCAAAGTAAGATAATTATAATTTGCTTTATTCGTAAACTATATTAAAATTCATGTTTTATTTTAGGAGACCTTTTGGACATAATCAAGTATCAATTTTTATTGATGGTGTGCAAAACATAAGTGCACCAGCCAAATTTACGCCATTAATTGATGTAAGTAATATTATATATATATATATATATATATATATGTATTGAAATTTAATATAATTATGTTTTAATTTAATTAATCTATTCTTATTATTGAAATATTGTATGTATTAACATGTAGCAATTTCAAAAATGTTCTATTGGAACTTTCCTTGCCCATGTGCCAAAATCTATTGATATTCAACCTCAAGGGGATCGAGGAATATTACCATCATTTATAACTCAAGTAAAGTTTTGTACAGTTTTATTTATAATTATTGTTTTTTTTAAATTTAAAAGTTATGAATGCATTTCAATTTATTTAAATCATGTATTCATTTAATAATTTAAAATTGTTATTTAGGTACCAAATTATTTACTTATGAGAGGATCAGGTGCTATGGACCCATATGTGAAAGAATTTCCTTCTGGTATGCAAGATACTTTATATGGTCGTCCCATGTGTCTTAAAGGTCAATTAGGTCTAATTTGTTTGTTTCCTGAACATTTTTCAATGCAACAGATTAAATCTATTTATGATTTAGGTAAATTAAAAAAAAAAATAAAATATATATTTGTTTTTATTTAATGAAAATTATTTTAGGCCCAAATTATTCGTCACTTAGTACAATGGATGATTCAACGTGTGTTATATTAGGACTGTTTAATAGATCAGTATTTTATTTTAGTCCTACAGCAGCTTCTAGCCGTGATACTGCTCTAGATTTAAGTCAAAAAAATAAAATCAATGCCTGTCTTACAGCAACTGTTCACAAATGTTCACCTATACAAGTACTTATTAAACCAATATGTTAAACTTAATAAAATAAAACTATAAAAATACTATGTATTTTAGGATGTAATTAATATGATAGGAGGTCTATACGTCTTATTTCCAATACTGGAAAGTCAAGTTTTAAATGAAAATGAACATTTAGGTTTGTTGTCATTAGATTATACAAATACAGACTTATCTGTAGATTTAGAAGATATGTCATCAATTCGTTCCTTTTCTTTGGGTATGTGTTCAAATTAAATTAAATTAAATATGTTTGTGTTAAATTTTTCTATTATAATATTGTATATTATCTAGATGAAAAACTTGAACTACATCCAATAGGATTGTTATTGATTTTAACAAAAAATCTTATGAAAGGAAATATTGTTGGTCAAGAACAACTTTTAAGAAAAAATGGCATACCAATTTTAGGAGAATTGCTTACAAAAGTAAATATAAATCATATTTATTATAAATACCTATTAATAGTATTTAAATATATGCTATTCTTATATTTAGGTACCTTCTGATAAAATTGATTTACAAATGCTAGAAGCAATGCAGTTATTTATGGAATCTCTACAAGAACTTTCTAATATTCAATTATTAAGAGCATTTTATCAGCACATACTTTTTAATTTTTCTATTTGGTCTAGATGCTCTTTTAATGTGCAAATTGGTAATATTCTTTTGCATGGCAATTAATATGCAATTTTATAATTATAATTTTTTTTTCAGTTGTAGTAAAGATAATATATTTGTTGATAAAAAATGATCGCAAATCATTTCGAAAACGATTTGGTGTACAATATTTTTTAGATACAATACGATTTTATTACACAACATGTGATGTATTGTCAGTCAACCACATAACAATACTGAGAGCTTCATTGTTGGACGTTGTTCGATTTTATATTTTAAAGGAAGTTAATATTTCTGATGTAGATATAATTGTACGATATCTTATAACATGTAGATCTGAAACAATGGTAAATAGTATTTATTTATTTAAAACGAATTATAGTAATATTTGCAAACATTTCTTTTTCATGAAAATGTAAAAATGGCTTTAAATAAAAATGTAAATTTTTTTTAGATTATTGAATTATTAGATATACTGATCAAACATCTAGAAACTGATTCATGCAAAGATCAATTATATTTATTGATGTATGAACCTCAAACTGCTGATATTCTATACTGCATTTTAATTGAAAAATCAATTAGTATGTTGGCAAAATATAAAGTTTTAAAGGTATTGTTTCCATTAATAACATTTTTATTTAAACATATTACATTGATTTTCGGTTTTCAGCTGTTATCGTTATTACTAAGAACGAAATATGTATATGAGCGACAGAAAAGTAATTTACGATTACAAAACTCTAATTGTGGTTTGTACCCAGGTCTAATATCATTGTTACCAGATTTTCAAAATTTATCAATGGAAGTAACATTAATAATGTTTGATCAAGTTCTATTAACTGGTATCGTAATTATTTGAATCATAGTTGGTCCTCACTAATCTAAAATATAGTTCCTCTAAGGGAAATCAGAAAAGAATAGTCAGACTGTGTGGGTTTGTCAGGTTACTAAAAATCAATTTTTATATTGTTATAAACTAGTACATCTGACACCATACCAACACTTAGCTATTCAGATGTCTGATTAGTGGGGTCCTAATTTTATTTACAGTATTTCATGATTATATTTTTTTCATTTTTTATTTGTCTAGATTCTATATGTACTTATCCAGCAATTTTATCAATTCTTCATCGTTTGGCATATGAAGATATTGACATAAAACTGGAAGTTGCCCGAAAGTTATTAGCAATGATTTACATGAATCCCAATGCAGCTAAAGCATTTGCAAAGCAATCTGGCTGGCAGGATTGTGTAACAAGACTTTTAGTACACCGGTTAGCAGAAGGAAAAACATCACACAACAAAGATCTTATGAGTTTTGAAGATCATGATGTTCAAAAAGTTCAAACAAATATATTAAAATGGAGGTCATATCCCAACATTTTAAAAACTAAGCAATCATCTTTAAAAAAATGGAGTTCTATGTTTGAGTTTGAAGAAGAATTTACCCATAATGTTATAAATGAGAGTTCAGTAACAGCAGAAAAACATTTTACAGATGCTGCTAGTTTTTTTGAAAATGAAATAAAAGGTTAACAAATATTTTGCACATAAATATTTATTATTTATTTTTGTTAGTAAAACATTATATGTAATGTATATAAATAATTGTTTAGGTGTTGCTGGTTCTGTATCAGCAGTTGTTGTAGACAATCTTCAGTATGCTACTGAAAATTTAAGTTCAGCTGTGAATACAGTTGGCTTAGTTGTTAGTGATAATATTCAAATAGCATCTGACAATTTAGCAATTGCAATGAATACTGTTAGTGGTAATATTCACTCAGCCACTAGTAATTTATCATTAGCTGTGACTTCTGCATATTCAATGTTTAAACAAAAAACAACCGAGATACAAGTAAAATTATTAAATAATTTAAATTGTATATTATATTTGTAAACTAATTAATTAATTATATTTGATTAGGAAATTGGAGAAAGTGCAAAAGAACGAATAAAGAAATATGCCATGTATCCACCTCAATCTGATAGAAATGTTATTGATGAGGACAAAGCTCAATTAATGACAAAACAATTATTGGCAGAGTTGGGTCTTGATATAGACACTTATAGTATCAGCAATAAGTACATATATTGGTTTAATATATTATTTTTTGAAAAAAAGTTTATATTTTAGGTTTTAATCAAGTTATTTATTGTATCCAAAATGATTAAATGTATAATTTCAATTAAATATTATTTTTGTTTATATAATATTCCTTTTTTCAGTGTTTTTATGATCAGTGATACATATTATATATTTTTTTAGATCTATGTCTAGTAGCCTTGAAGATATTTCATCAATAAAATCTTCTATCGCACCTGATAATCGTTCAATAAGTTCTGGAATAGCCATGTCTGATAATGTATCAACAGTTTGTGAGGATGTTGATAGTAGTGATCATAATGATTTTGACAATATAAAGTAAATGTTGTTTAATTTTAATTTTATTATAAGTATAATAATATCCTTATAATACAATTTTAATGATAGTTAAAATTCTAATAATTAATTATTTAAAAATGTATAATATATTTTATATTTTCATAGCCCGTGGCAAGAATTTACTGATGGAAAAACTGAAAATAAGGAAAAAGATTTGTGCTCTTTGGTGGAAAATATTCTTTTCGTTGTTATGTGGCGAGGAGTCAATATTCACAATAAAAACTGTTGGAAGGTAAAAAAAAAACTTAATAATATTATGTTAATGTCACAATTTTGTAATAAATTTATAATTTTTAGGAACGTGGTCAAGTTATGGCTTGCATTAATATGTTGAGTTTAAACAATATGTTGTATTGTTCTCATTTAGAACTTAAACTACATATTTTAGAAAAAGCTGTTGAAGCTGTATTAAGTGATCTTCATGATGCTGGTTCAACTGTTGAATGTGATTATGCTAAAATGGAAAACATTGGTCAGTTAATAGGTTTGGTGTACGATTTAGTTGTATTGGACCCAAGTCCAAATTTTGATAAAAAGTGTTCAGTAAAGCTGCTTGACGAATGTATAAAATTAATTGAACAATTAGCTATATTTGGAGATAATCAAGAACAGTACAATAAAGATATTGCAATGAAAACATTTGGTAAAATTTGTTATCATTAACAAATATTACAATATTTATTTATTTTTTTATTTAAAGGACTCTTATTGAGCTGCTCTTCAAGCCCTAATATGGAAATTTGTGCAATGGCAACAGTTAAATTACACACAATATTACAAACAAGTAATAATTGTGTTGTAGAAGTTGAATGCTACTTATTACGCTCAGCCAACAGCATTTTACAAAAAGCTCTTAAAGGTATGTGCAATTCAATATTTCTATACTTTTTTTTAATAAATAGAATGAGGTAAATAAAAATTAAACATGTTTTAGATGATAACATGGAGCGGTATTCTTTTATTTTACCTTTAGTAAAAACACTTATTACTAAATTATCTGAACCACTTAATATTTCTAATTCTGAACTTCCAAATTTGACAGAAGTTCTATACAGTGGCAATTTTTATGACAGATTTTTACCTTATTGCACTACAGAAGAATGGACTGATTTTATTGAAACTAAGGTAAGAATTTATTGTATGGAAATTATCTAGTTCATAGTATACATAATATAATTACTAGTTGTTAGTGTATAGTAGCTATTTTATTAATAAATTAATTTTTGGATATTATATTTGTTTGATTAGGTATATTATTATTAAATATTTAGTTAAAAAAAATAAAAAAAAATAGGAAAATATTAAGTAGGTAATGATTAATCTTGTATTTATCAAGGTTATTACTTGGATGAATGAATAAAATAACTATGGTTTTTTCGTACCTATTTATTTTTATAATATAAATTTAAATAAAATAGTCAATCAAATAATACTTACTTACTCAATAAATACAAAGTAAAAAAAACACACATTTTATATTTACATTTAAAAAATGTGTTTTTATCACAATCTCTACCTCATAATATTACAATAGTGCTTTTTAATTATAAAGGTGATAAACATAAAATACAAGTTCATAAATTATTTTATCTTGTTTACAAACAAAAAAGTTGGTACATTTACATTATGTGTAATTATATATGTATAATATATTTTATGCATATACATTTATTTTTAATATTATAATTTAAGTGACTTGCCATTAATTATTGGCAATAATAGGTAGATATTTGCTAACATTTGATATAGTGGTATTATATTTATATTATAAAAAGCTTTAGTAACAAAGCTTGGAAATTGGCAAGATGATTTTTGTATTTTTAACAATACTTAAAAACATATAAATAAAAAATCCAGCATTAAGCATATATCAATATGTATTATATATTTTTACTATCTTAGGTTTTCTGTGATTTTCCATTGATTGTCGGAGTAATTGTGATTTGAATTTTTTCCAGAATTAGATTCACTATTTTTGTGATTAGTTGGAAGATTTTCACTTAGTGAAGTAAGACTATCATTAACTAGAGATGGAGATTCTTCATAATTAAAACTATATGTCTTTGTGGGTGCCTGAAAACCTGTATCTGGCTTTTGTGTACTTTTGGCTATATATTTTAAATATGCATTTAGTTTTTCATTTACAATTACTTTTTTGCCTTTTGATTTTTCATCTGAATTTGAATACAATGTAGTATCAGTATTTTCTGACGACTCTTTTTGACGTCTTTCTAATGTATTAGATGGAGTTGTATGTGTATCTACAGGACTCTGAGTGTTGTATTGGGATTGTACCACATGGTATGAGTCTGCTGATGATTTGCCTAAATCTTGACTATTAGTATGTTCTCCATATGAATTTACAATTGGTAATTGAGAATTCGATTCTGGTAATGAAATAGAATTTGATATACTGCTGTAAGACCCTTGGATATCTCCATTGCCTTTAGGAGAACCATATGTAATTGATGGTAGACCATATGTAATTGAAGGTGTTGGTGCACTAAATTGAGTGTGGGAGTTAAATAAACTTCCTACATTATACGAGTCTGAATTGCTGTTTCCTCCAAAATGATTATTTTGAGAAGAACCAAACGAACTATATGATCCTGATGGAGCTCCGTAAGATGTCGAAGGTACCCCATAAGATGATGATGGGCCACTGGAAGGCGCACCATATGAAGATGATGGTGGATTGGATGGAGCACCATATGAAGATGATGGTACATTTGAAGGTGCACCATATGACGATGATGGACCACTGGAAGGTGCCCCATATGAAGATGATGGTACATTCGAAGGTGCACCATATGACGATGATGGACCACTGGAAGGTGCCCCATATGAAGATGATGGACCACTAGAAGGTGCACCATATGAAGACGATGGACCACTGGAAGGTGCTCCATATGAAGATGATGGACCACTAGAAGGCGCACCATATGAAGATGATGGTATATTTGGAGCACCATATGAGGACGATGGACCACTGGCAGGTGCACCATATGATGATGATGGACCACTGGCAGGTGCACCATATGATGATGATGGTACATTGGATGGTGCGCCATATGAACTTGAGGGGATAGAAAGTGAAACTGAAGGGGTTATTGAGATGGAATGACTAGGAGGTGCATAACTATTTGTTGGTACTCCATAAGATGTTGCTGGTGGTGATGGTGCCCCATATGATGACGATGGTTGTGATGGTGCGCCATATGATGACGATGGTTTTGATGGTGCACCATATGATGACGATGGTTGTGATGGTGCGCCATATGATGACGATGGCTGTGACGGTGCACCATATGATGACGATGGTTGTGATGGTGCACCATATGATGACGATGGCTGTGACGGTGCACCATATGATGACGATGGCTGTGATGGTGCACCATATGACGACGATGGTTGTGATGGTGTACCGTAAGAGGAGGATGGTGATGGAGCATCATATGTTAAAGATGGGAAAGATTTTAATGAAGATGAACCATACGAAGGAGATTGACTTTGTGAAGGTGCTCCATAGGAAGATGATGGTGGCGCTCCATAAGAAGATGATGGTGGAGCTCCATACGAAGACGATGGTGCTTCATATGAAAATGATGGGGCACCGTATGAAGACGATGGTGCACCATATGAAGATGATGGAGCACCGTATGAAGACGATGGTGCGCCGTATGAAGACGATGGTGCGCCGTATGAAGACGACGGTGCACCGTATGAAGACGACGGAGCACCGTATGAAGACGATGGTGCACCGTATGAAGACGATGGTGCGCCGTATGAAGACGATGGGGCACCGTATGAAGAGGAAGGTGGTGCTCCGTATGAGTGTGAGGGGGGGGCTCCATATGAAGTGGAAGGTTTAAATCCTCCTCCAGATGGTGGTCCATAAACTGATTTTGGCGGGCCATAAGATGGTTTTGGTGGGGGGCCATATACAGGTTTTGGAGGTCCATATTTTGGCTTAGGCGGTGGACCATATACTGGTTTTGGAGGTCCATAATTTAATTTTGGTGGAGGCCCATACTTTGGCTTTGGTGGTCCATATTTAGGTTTCGGCGGTGGACCATAAACTGGTTTAGGTCGTCCACTAGATTTTGGTGGTCCATATACAGGTCTCGGCTTTGGAGGGGGCCCATATTTTGAAGGAGGTTCTCGTTTTATTCTAATAAGTGATTCATTTTCAGCGCTTACTATATCGTAAAAACTTATCAATGTAGCGAGTAAAAATATCTGAAACAAAAATAAATATTTCCTTAATTAATATCAAATACTATATTATTATAGAACATTTGAGGTTTTGTTATATTATTCAAAATTCAAACATTTCGATTGAAGTATCGCTACAAATGGTATTTAAGTATTTTCCGTCAAGGAAATTCTAATTATTTGATAAATGCGGGTGATACTAACAGAAAACAGAAAAACAATTGTTTTTAATGAAAGGTTCTGGTTCCTCCCCTAAAAAAAAATAATTGTATTATGAATGCTATATAATAATAGTATAATTTAAATTTTTATCTTCCAAAATATTACAAAAATATATGAGTTACATATTGGTACAGTATAAAAACATTTTAGATTTCAATATATTTCTATATAATTTTACGTTTAAATGTTTGGTTTGTATCTTCGTAAATTGTAATGTTTCATAATTTAGTGAAACGTCTGTTCGACGCGGAAATCATCTTGGTAATAAAATAAACCACTTAACGGTGGATTTTTTTTTGTTTTCAGTTAATATAATATAATAATGTAATCTAGTTACGAAATCTTCTCGATAATGGACATTTTTCCAATCTCATCGATTGTTGACTGTACTTGTATACCTGTAGTTTCACTATGTATAATTTTAGATTTTATGAGAAGCGAAAACTCTTTATTTTTACATCGACAGCTATGTGTTTTTTTGATTTATTATTTGCGTTAAATACTTTCTGAGATAATTAATGTAGGTACTCATAAAGTATATAAGCATGATGTACAATAATTGTATCAGTATAAATAATTGAGAATAGAGTTCGTTATTCGAATTTACTATTTTAATAACATACTTAAACAACCCAAAAATCGGATAAACGGATAAAAAAATTGGCAGAGATCGTTTTATTCTTGAAAAGTGTTTCAAAAATAAAAATTGTTTTTTCAATGTTTTATTTGCTGCGTTAAAATAATATCTATGTAAAATAATATAGGTCAGGGGTGGCCAAACGGTCGATCATGATCGACCGGTAGATCGCAAATAATTTAAATGTCGATCTCCATTTTGTCGGAATTTATTTTTATGTAATTAATAGATAAATACAAATTTCTGATCATTTTTATCTTAATATATTATCTTTATTTTGTTGTAAAGTTATCAAGTAACATAATTACAACAATACATTTTAGCTTTATTATTTTGTACATGTATGTGTACTATAAATACTCATTAGGTAATTCATAATTATACGTTTTTGTTAGGAAGTAGATTCTTAAAGAAAAAAATATATTCTTAGTAGATCTCAACCAAAAAAAGTTTGGCCACCACTGATATAGGTAGTTAGGTACTATAATACCTACAGTATTATAAATATTATATCCCGAGATTAGCGGGTAAAAGTGAATTCCTACTTATTTAGTAAATATAATAATTTTGTCATTTTTATGAAACATTTGTGAACAATTTAATTTGTCAACAGGAATTTAAGAGTTTTATAGCGTGCAATGATGTGCTCTTTGACTATTTTATTTTTATTATTAGTATATAGACATTGCATAGAAATTTAGAATAAGTAGGTATCTACCTACTCTTTTTCTATTTTTCCAACAGAGGATTGCTCATATCGTATATCTTACATGTGTAATGTATAGATGATTGTTTTGTTTGAGTGAAAGGGGTTAGGTGCATCAAACAAATTCAATTATTATTGCGATTTTTTAACGAATGATTTTGATCGCGAGATCGGATCAACTGTACGGTACGTGTCTATTTCAGTTTTTGTCAATACTATGTGACTGTAAACTTCATTGGTTTTTTTTATAATTTTCAAAGGATTATTCAAACTGTTGGAGAATTCGGAAATAAACGTGACTTTTAAATTTCGTTATTTTCTGTTGTCTGTCCCAACAAATTGTTTTTAGAGGAAACAATATATCATACAAAATATATAACGTAACGTAAATATAGGTAACGTTAAATATTTCGGCCAGATGACTTTAGATTTGAACTCCGTTGTCCGGTTGAGTGATTCCCGTTTCCGCCAAAATAATATTGGCCGTTTCTGCCACAGCATTTTTTTACACACAACAAAAAAGGTAAGATATCCGTTTCCGCAAAAAAAAAAAGCGTAGAAACCAATGGTTTAAATTGGTATTGGTATAGCGTATAACATCTATAGTTTAATCTAGTTTAATGTAACCTATTGTAACAATTCAATATCGTTTAATCGATAATTTAATAATAATATACAAATATTTCGAAGAGCAAAAAAATATAAAAGAGATTAAAAACCACAGAAGAAGTATCTATAAAAAAAAATCTTAGTAGGTAAAATTTTGTTTAAACAGTTTTATTTAACTGTGATTTTTTAAATTTTTACTATATTAATTATAATAATTGACTGTTACGACTTATAGTATTATTATTATTAATTGTATTAGGTATTATTTTATTATGGTCTTTTAAAATATTTAATTATAGTAGATAATGTGTGATTTTTAAAAACATATTTTATTGTTTTATTATTGACTGTAACGATTTACATTATTATTATTATAAGGTATTACTTTAGGTACATGGTTCTCAAACAATATTTGGTGGAAACGGAATTCATCAATATCATTATATATTAATATAATTTTCTTTTTTGGTGGAAAAGGGCTATGCTCGTCCGGTTAAATTAAATTTATTAATCCTTTAAGTATGCGCATTACAAATTACTTTTTTTTGAACAGCAACATATATTTTGGCATTAGATTCGTATAGTGTTCTATATTTTTTTATTAAATCAACTTAGATTGATACAATATTTTTTCATCTCAAAAATTATCTGAGATACAGCCATCTATGGTTAAGAAATATGATTTTGAAATGTATATTGCATAACCTTAAACGTGAAAAAAAATGACTACTGTTTTATGAGTAAAAATTATTTGTTAAGATAATCATAAAATATCATATAATAGCATAATATATATATTATACATAATAACATACGTTTTTGAATTTTGTTGAAAATAATAAAAAATATTAATTTTTTTTATCAAATTTTGCTGGATAATTTTGCTAATTTTTGAGATTAAAAAAAAAAATGCCATTGAATAAAGTTGTTTGAAAAAAAAAATAAATAGGACTATTCAATTCTAGTGTGACAAAAAGGTGTTGATATTCAAAAAAAGTAATTTTTTACTACGCGTGCGCGTACTGAAAGGATTAATGAATTAAAATTTATCTTGTAAGTATGGATTTCAGTTTCCTCTATTGCTTCCCGAAAACGGAATTCAAATCTAAGGTCATTCAGCAGAAATATTTAGTGTTACTCGGAACGCAAAAACAATACATTTTTTTTTTTTTTATTATAATTAATTAATCGCAATAACATATTAATATTATATTAGAATAATAAAGAAAAAAAAAACAATAATAATAAGAAATAGTTCACAACTTTAAGCCGTAGTGTTCCGTAGTTTACCGGTAAATTCTAATTTTCGAATCGTTTTATTTATTTGATTTATAACCAATATGATATAAAAATAGTTTTATTTAGTATATAATATAAAGATGTAATTTTTGTTTAGCACATTCAATTTTATTTTTATAAAAAAAAAAAAGAAAAAAAAAAGGGTAATAGGCGACCGAAAGCGTCGTAAACTCAAATGAAAATTGTATAGATGGTATTATCTGTTCGAAAATATTAATCAGTGGCCACAAATTATATGAAATATATAAATAAAATGGAAACGAATAATAGTGTAAAATTAACAACACTCTCGCGCCATCTGAACCCTAAATGTGTTTTATTAGGTACACCTATTTAATCTATTCTGTCGGTATTTTTCTTTAATAGGCATGAAATACGAGAAAAAAAAATAGAAAAATAGAATTATATTTAATAACAGTGTTTACCTAATGTGTTTCAATAAGGGGTTTTTTTTTTATATAGCTATGCAATTGTGAAGATGTTTACTTAATTATGTGTACACACCAAATTTCTATCTTAGATAATGCAACTACTTTAAAATATGCTCTATGTTATTTTTTATGTTCGCTAAGTATATAGGTAATTTTTCCTTATTTACAGAGTTTACTGTGTAAAATTCCATACAAAGTGTCTGGCAAAAGGATCGGGTTTAACGGAAATTATCGTTGCTCTGTTATTAATAATCATTGTCATGTTGAAATTATATATTATTAACATTTGTGATATTTTATGTATTTTAGAGTTACCTAAATATTCGCTGTATAGTTTTCATTCTAAATATTCGTTAACGTTATGTTTCATATGAAAGTAGAATAATGAGATCGGGGCATCGTTATGAATTACAGCACACTGCAGATAGGTAGATATACCGGATGTTCAAGACAACATTTCTGACCACGGGTTCTAGTTGATGTTGTACTGACCTTCATCTACTGGCACCGATTCCGCGACCTATGTTTTATGACTCCTAATTTTTTCTTTCTAATGGAATTACGAAAAGTAATCATTGACGAGTTTAGATATTAATAATTTTAAAATTAAATTCACATTTAAAATAATATACTAATAATGCTTTCTAAAAGTTTTTTTTTTTTAAATTTACGATATGACATGTTGATAATATTTAATCAATTTAAGCTGACTATAGTTAAATGACTTACATTTAATTTAGGTTATTTAAATTATCATTGTTTTTGAGTATTCTTTTAGTATCTGCATTTTCTAATACGTAGGTAGGCAGGTACTAAATGAAACAAGACAGGTTATCATTGAAAATATTCATAGCTTATAGTTAAAAAATACTCTACAAATGGATATTAATTGACATATGTGTGAAAAACAGAGTCATACTTTCACTGAAATCATTGTTATTCATTTTTATAGAATAGTATATTCATATACAGCGTTGACGGACCACCTATTCTATTATATTCCGCTGAATAAAACATTTTGGAGTTATAATTTTTTAATACTGTTATCATTATTCATCCTAGCATAAGAAAGTTAAAGAAAACCAGTATAACACTTTTAGATTAGTGAACATAATAATTGCGTTTTCTTGGGATTGGTGTAATTATAAAGGTTTTTTTAAACCCATTAATAAACTGAAATTTGATATAAATCTGTAAATAAATAACTACCTAGGTAGGTAATGTACGATGAATGGAGAAATCAATTAATATAAAAGTACAATAATTCACATTGTAAGCAAAAATTATTTAGAATGTAGTTTGTTTTAATTGTTTGAACTATTATTTCATTAAGTATAGAAAAATCGTAGATTTTTAATAATGATAGTAATAAATTAATAATAAAAAAAGGTCTGATGCTGTTATTGGGCTGGTGTATTGTTGTTGTAGGTAAGAAGTTGGGGAAATAGGAACATAAAGTTACCTTTTTAATTTATATCCGTACGTAATGATAAACCATTGCTAACGAAATATTATACTAAGTGAAGTCAGTTAAACATGTTTTGGAATGTCGCGATTTTTACAATTTTCGACAATATTTGAAATCGAAATGCTTATTGCTTTTAAAAAATTTACCACATTGCGCTCAACTTTTTTTTAACATCAAATACAACTTAAGATTAACTTTGTGTTCAATTTTTCAGCTTTTCTGTTTGGCTAAAATAATTTTATCCACATAAAATAAAACAGAATAAAACAAAAACTCGAAATTTTGTAAATACCTATGTAAATGTTTTAAAAATTTTATCATGTTAAAAAAAAGCCAATAAAAATATTATGTAAAAATGTCAAGTCTCTACAACTATTTTTTAACTAAATTACACCAACAAAACAAAATCGAAATAAAACAGTTATTACTATCGTAAACTTTTCTGTTTTTCTACGTTTTACTTTTAAAGTACCTAAATATTACAAATCGAAATGATAGTAAATTTAAAAACGTTGAATTTTGTGTTTATTAACATTTCTAATCAAAAAATACAATTTTTTTTTGAAGGAGTTGTATGATTTTATGTAGGTTTAATAAGTCAATAATTAATATATGATGTTTATAATATTTGTAATTTCTTAATTAAATATGACCTTTTAATAATAAAAAATATAACGTTAGAAAATGATCAATAATAAAAACTTCTAGGAAACCGTGAAAGTATTATCCATAAGATAGATATTAAATTATTCCCACGTTTAACTATATGAAACCCGGGGTCTTTGTCACTATTATGATAAGTGAAAATTAATGGTTTACTTCATGTGATTTATGTGCTTTTATTATGTTGATATTTTTTTTTTATAGAATAGTAAAAATGTCTCTTTTTCATGGGTTGCTTCTCCATATTTTGCATTTTATTTTTTTATTATTAATTTGAAGATAAATTATGCAAGCATATCATTTAAAAAATGTATAAAATATATTAATAACTTAATGTTTATGATAAAATTAAGGTATTTATAAAAATGTTTGCTATTACTTAATAAACGCTTAATTAAAAAAAAAAGTGTATTGTAGTGTGTGTCCTTCACTTATTTCTATTTTAACAAATACTTTAAAAATTGAAAGTTATTCCGAAAAATATTTCAAATAAATAATTGCCGCTCTTTTTAAAATGTAGCGTGCGTGAAAAATGTAATGACTAGTTTAATTTGTATTTATCGAGTATCAAATATCTAGTATTTTACTACATAAAATTTAAGTATCGAGTATCTTGTGTTGCAATACTTGTTACTTGAGGATATTATATCTCGTATTTCGTACTAATTTTAAAGTATTTTGCCCAACTCTGGTGTTAAGGATAACTTTTGACAGCATATTGATTGAGTAATTTCAATAATAGAAAATATCATAAATTTGAATTTAAAATACATTGAATTTTTTTGATCACGTTTGTCATTTTAACTTTTAAAATACAAACTGGAATAATGCAAATTGAGTATTAATTTTTAGAAAAAAAAGCCGTAAATATCATGGATACACTATGGGTAGAACATTATTGTAGGTGGGTAGTTAGAAGGTAATGGGAAGATATATAAAGGTAACTTAGTTGATAATTGTACACTGCTGTTCCAATATAGTTTCTAAACTGTGCACTACAGCTCATATGAAAAATAAAACAAAACGTACATTTTAATTAAGTATGATTTGTTTTTGTTAATTTAAATTTGCTACATGCATATCATATCAAATTAATTTTTCACTTTTATAGTAGTTTTTCTACCTTATAATATTTAATTTTACATTCGGAGCGTAGCGAGGAATATATTGGTTTTACAATTCTTATTATTTTTTTTTATCTGTGAACAACTTTTTTACCAGAAATTTTGGTTTAATTTTCAAGTGTAGTAATTTTTCTGATCCTTTAAGGAGACTATTTTTTGATTTTCTAAACAGTTTTCGTAACAATTAAGAAAAAGTTAGAAAAGTGGGAAAATGTAATTATATTTACAAAAGAAACTTCGCTCCAAATCGTTTTTCGTTATAGAAATGATTTATCGGACAGATATAAATTAAATTCCCCTCTATATCCTATATTTTCCCAACTTCTCACCTATAACAGTGGCCCACACATCGTGCGAAATATGTCCGTCTTTTTTGATAATTTGTTTAATACAATCATTTAGTTTGGTTATAAATTGAAATATTGAATTAGTATTAATTTTTTATTCTTGTTTCCGGTGGTATCTATAGTAGGGCACCGCAGCCGAATTTGATCCGAAAAAGATAGGTCGTTTAAAAAGTTTGCGAACCTATTGATTTGATACCGTCCCGCCAAAATATAGTTTAGTGTTTATCATCGTCGTCTTTGACGGTAAATAATTATGTCAAATTTGTTTTCCTGAGATTTCTCTGTGACTAACTGGATGTGACCTTTTATTAAAAAATTAGGTATATTTTCGATATATGTCTGCGAGTAAGTACCAAACTTCCGAATAATTAGTTATAAGTGTTAAAAATTATACTATTTTAAGATATTAATTCATATTAAGTGTTGATTTTTTCGAAAACTTAATATATTTTCAATTTATAGTAACAATGCTATATTAATAAAGTCGCAATGCATTTCGTATTGTATTAAATACTATATAAACCGTGTAAAATTTAAAATCTAGTAAAACTATATACCTTCACATATAAAAGTATATAGACAATCCAGGAGAAAAATATTAAATACTGATTATTGTTCATTGTAATGACTTTTTTTAAATTTAACACCTTTTAATTTCATGTTAATGTTAGTTTCATAGTTTGAGATTTTGAGTGCAGTGAGGGCACCATTAATTTTACAATAATACGGGTTTTTTTTTTTTATTAGCATTTTGAACAGGTATAAAAGAAAAGCTGATGTTTTAAAAAATGTAATTTATCAAATTTATGTACTTATTATATTATTTAGATTTTTATGCAGATTGTATGTAAAATGGATTATTTTGTTTATGTTCCAATTTAGTTAAATGGGAAATTGTGAAAATTAATTTAAGAAAGGGTTTTCATTTAAAATACACCAACACCTAGAACAGTTTTCAAATGAGCTAATGAAATATCGAAATATTTTTAATTTGCTATGTTTAATCTTCTTAACCAATGTAATGAAGATATATAAATTATTGTTTTAACATATTTAAACATGTGTACAGGAAAAATATGAATTTTTCGTTTTTATAATTTAATCGATACCGAATTTTATTTAATTAAAACTAGTTCTGACATTATTTAGAGAAAAATCCATTTATTAAATATCTGCCTAGTACTATGTGTAAAAATTAGGTTTCAATTCACATTGATACCTATAAAAATATAAAAATGTATGTTTGAGAATTATTTATCTTTTAGTACATATAATATATCGTTTTGTTTTATTATTTATCACTAGGTCTTATATGTATTTTTTCTAATTACACCTTATCATGTCTGTTTTCTGTTCAGTACTCACCTAGGCTCAAACAAAGTGTAATAGGAAATAATGATTATTTAGTGCATGTTTAAGACACCTGCCGGTTTTAATTTTATAGTAAAATATTTTACGCTTTTTAGAGCATGAATTCATGTATTTCGTATGGTTTTAGGACATCCTTATTGGGCCGTTAAGTGTATAATTTTATTTAAGTGCAACATCTAGTGGTGATTATTGGCATCAGCCAATATCGTATATCGGCCGATATTGAAAATATCGGAATATCCATTCTGTTTATTTTTTTTTTTTTACCGATATTTTTACTGATATTTGACCCAATATTTTTGCGGAAAAATGTCTATAGTATAATGTATGTAATATGAAAAAAAAGAGCTGATACTGGGGACGAGTGTAGCCCCTGTTTTAGTTGGGAAGTTGGGAAGGTAGGATACATAAGGTTATTTAATTTATATCTGTAAGCAATGATAAACCATTGCTGACGAAAGACGATCCCGAGCGCAGTTCGGCAGTACATAATTTCAAGTGCCTTAATTTTTTTTGGGATTTTTGTTTAAATTTGATTTAAAAACGCTTACTAAAAAATCATACACATCATAATTATTAGACGAATGTAGCATTTATTTAGTTTTCTAAATACTACTATGGTTATAGGTTATCTTGATTACAAATATTGTAACGATAATGGTTATATTGCATAATGATAATTATTTGTTATAACTTTTGTATTTAAATAGTACTGTATTATAGTATAGGTATATTTTGTCTGTTTTGTCAAGATGTTATCGTTTTTTTTATTTTCCACGTGTTTATGGAAAACTACATTTGTAAATACTCTTTTTAACGGATTAAATTTGAAAATCATGTAAGCAAAAATTATGTTTCAAGTAATTGCTATAAGTTTGTTTTCATAAAAGATGTTCCGTCACCCGTTTATCCAGGTATGCGTTCAAAAAAAAAAAAAAAAATTGGCAGTATAGCGTGACAGAACAGAGCAATACGTGTACTTAACTACAATTATTTATATGTACATTTTTATAATTGTCGGTATTTTAACTAGACCGTTGGTATTTGAAAAATAATTGTTTTTATCTTTGTGGTATAAATTATGTATATATATATATATATATTATATTTTATATGCTCGGGCTTATTTTGAATTTATATGCATAGGTTTTTGTGTCCTTATTTTGTAATGATGAGGTGCTTCTTGTTACGACGATGAGATATGTGTTCCTACGTTATTGACGATTAAATAGTCACGGATTTCACGACGTTTTTATTTTTACGCTTGGACAATTTTTTAACTCGTTCATATATATTATATATGTTTTAGTCACACATTATGCATACTGGTCAATTTATGTCCAACTGTGTGCTAGTCCTACTAGGTATATGTTTTGATTTTCTGAAGAGATTAAGAACATCGGTCGGTTATCGATTGCTTTTATTAGAACTGCGTACTTTTGCATACAATAATTTTCTTTACTTCTGAATTTTTCGATATTAATTTCAATAATTATCTGAACACAGATCGATTATTTACGGTATTAATGAACTTCGCAGTTTTACATATTATAAGAGTTACTTTTAATTTGTCTAGTTTAATTGAATTGCACACTTGTATATGCCCGTTGTGTCTGTTACGGCTTTAGTTTATTATTCTATATAAAAATATTATTTAACTTTTTTATTTTTTTATTTTGTACCTAGACTCTTAGAAGTGACATTGTCTTTTATATATTGTTATTTATACTATTATTTCGTACGTTATATACAATTTCTTATAGAAACCGGTATTTATTTCTTGTTAATATGTCATTTTATTTTTTATGGTGTTTATTATTATTATTTTTTACTAGGATTTATATTTAACGAAAACTGTAAAATGTGAATTGATGAAAAATTATAAGAAAAATAAAAAAATATATAGATAAAAACTTACGTTCCAGTTACAATAATTATTGAACTTAAAATATTATAATATTATGAATTGATTACAAATAATACAAAACAGTACTTTAAAGTTTTGAAAACGTATTACAGTAAACAATTCTACAACGAATTGTTTTACGCTTACACTTTGAACTTTAGTTATGCATACAAAATCTAACCAAATCTATAACCGAAACAGAACTCACAATTTCTGTACCGATATACATTTATAGAAATATATTACGTTCCATCTGCTAGTTAGCAAGTTAGCCTACTCTTATCTATATAGTTTACTATGGTGATAATACGATCTCTGTGACGTTGAATATTGCTATCTTAATTTTGATTTATGAAATGTGTACATATTTACCTATATATATCTTTATATATATATATATATATATCCATGTATTGTACTAATATCTGTAGATTACGTATTAAAGTTATTTATTTTTGGATTCGTTCATTCGATGAATACCTACATGGCTACATGGTTTTACAGTTAAACTTATATTACTTATACGTTGTTTATAATGGATAATATAGAAGAAAATGTAAAACGTATTTTTTAATCGTTTATTATTAGGTTTTTTTTGTATGCATATGTAGTGGCAATTTTAGTATCTGTGTGTCCTCATGAAAGTTCAAGAATTATGCCTCTATACATCTATTCAATTGCTGGTTTATTTTTAATAGTAATCAATTTACTTACTGCTTGAGTAATGCGTTCAGTTATCATGATGATACTCTTTTGTAATCCACGTGTAGACAGTATTCTTAAAAAATTATAGACTACACCAATTTATATATGAACGATAAAAAAAACCAAACAAAACAAAACACAAAAATGTTAAAAAAATAACAATATCAACAACAATAACAGTAAACAGTACGTAACGAACTCTTAAAACACTGCGCGCACTAGACACAGTAGTTGGTATTGCGGCGTCCTGGAGTCCACTACTGGTTCAGAGCCTTCAATGAATGTCTTCTTCTCTCGCTAACATTCTATAGCACCCGGAACTTACTTTCCCACTTACACTCCACGAAATACGTATACTACGCATAATCCCATAAACCCACTGAACATTTTTTTTTCCCTGCTTAATTGATACGTAGCTGACCGTGAATAATACGCTGCCATTTTGTGTTCCTTAGTTCATTACTTAGTCCATGAAACTTTCATCACACCAAAAGAAAGCCACGATATTATGAGTCGCGTTAATTAAGATTGTTTTGATGGTGACTCACTGTGAAGCAGTGATGATGGACCCGTTTTTCCAGCACAAAAATCGTCTAAAATAATAATAATTCTCGACTACGTGTTTTCACTTATAATTATATAATATATATGTTTCCGTTCTGGACATTTTGGCGTAAATTTTTATACGGATTGTTATGTTTAATTTCAATAATAATCCTATTAATTTGACAATGAACGTGTTGGTCTAATATATTACATAGGTATCGTTTTACACGGTTTTGTGTTATAACGTGCTGTTTGTTTCAATAGATATAGGAAACAAAATCGAGTATTTACAAATATAATGTTAAATCATTTTATATTACATTACTTATACTAAAAACACGGGAATATCTATACATTTATCAATATCTTCATAGATAATAATATTAGGTGTTTAAAACTTATATTGGCATCAATAATATACCCGTATAAAAATTGTTGAGCGGTTATTTTATAAATTTAATAAATAAATAATTAATGTTTTAAATTTTGTACAACCATCTATACTGTTTAATGTTACATTCGAAATGTTTTAACTTAGTGCTTAGCCTATAAAAATAATTGTAAACATTTTATTTAACTATTATATTCTATTGTTTTAAATGTTGATGGACGGAGGGGCTATTGATTTGACAATTATTATAATAAATGTAAAAATATGTGGTTTTCCTGAAAATGTCAGCAATAGGTGTAGGTACATAATTTCTAAGTGGGATTATCTGTCGATAGACTGCGGGAAATAGAACACGGATGGTATTCAAGAATGGCGAGTTTTTGAATTTCCTATTAGTAATAAAAATAGAGCCCGAAAAATAAGAATGATCTTTCGAATACAATAATTGTCGCGTTGAAGGTATATAGTACTTTGTTGGAGGAGACCGTTGAAACATTAATTAATTGATAAATATACAATAGATAGGTAGTTTTTTTTTTTTTACAAAATTGTTTGTATTAATTATGTTTGATATAGGTTTGAAATTGAAATAAAAACAATTCATGTTTACAACAGTTTATGTGTATCGCTTGGTGCAACGAAAAAGGTCGTATTTCACTGTTTCCATTTTCTAATTTTATCTCTTCGGACGGATAAGACCCTTTTCGTTGCGGCAGGCGATATATTTATTTTATTCAAAAAAGTAGACATTTAAAACCTTTTTTTTTCGCGTTCCTACTCAACGTGTAGTTTTAATTTTATTTTATAAGCTGAGAGTTTTTTAAGACATTTAGTATAAAATTAAAATATTATAATGATAAGCATAACGAAATATGACTGGTGAATAATAAGTAACACATTATGTAAAATTCGTCATTTAACCAGATGCCTAAATTAGTCATAGGCAGTAAGTTTTATTAAAAATGCCTATTTTAAGTTAAGCTAATGAAAAATAAAAAAATATAATAATGATACATATTTTTAAGTAAAATTAATAAAATACAAATTTAAAATCAATTTATTGAGGTAAACATTTATATTTATAGTTATTTAATTATTTTCGTGTATAAATTCGTATTATTATATTTGTATGTGACATACGATATTAAATTAATTCCTTGTTACAAATTACAGTAATATAAAAAAATTATAAATACGATTTTTAATTTTCTATTAGCTTAAGCATAAAAACGTGCATTATTTTTATTATTGATTTAACTCAGTGCGGTCCTGTAACCTTTTGTAGTTCACAGGCCAATTTATACATTCATCGTAAACCACGGACCGCAGAAATCAAATAATGACTCTGGAATTATTCAATTTTTTTTTTGCTCATAAATTCTTCTTTAAAATCGATAAAAAAAATATATGTATACATATATTGTTTTTCAGAAGCGAGTGAATTAGTATAAAATACTGTGTGCAGGTACTTTCATACCGCCAAAGCCCAGTAAATTAAAATTTCACGGATTACAGATTGGATCTGCAGTGTATACAGGGTGATCAATCCTCGATAAGATACATATTATCTTGGAAAGTATTTACTTTTTTCTGTAGTTTTTTTTTTTGGAAAAATTTAAAAAAATGACGGAAATAGGTCATCCGTGGGTGGGCCACTATTGTAGGTGAGAAGTTGGGAAGATAGAGGGGAAATTTAATGCATATCTGTATGCAACGATTAACCATCGCTAAAAAAAACGATTCTGAGCGGAGTTATGTTAATAGTGTCAATAATAATTTGTCAACAATATATATATATATATATATATATATATATCATATTATGGTAAATTGATTATATACACATCATATATTTTCTTTGATAATATTTGTTTAATATTATACCTATTTTCCTGTTTATTTTACGGTTTTTCTCATTTTCTATGAAAACAGCTGGGAAAATCAAGAAATGACTATACTATAGTACCACCCCAGTTAGATTTATTTTCAGAAAAAGTGCTATCATTGTAAATTGAAGTAAAATTCTGATTTACCTAATACGTATAAAGCTATGTAGGGAAAGGATATACATGAATAATATGCGATCACCTATATTGTAAAATAATATTATTATGCACTGAAATATGCTTTTATAATCATACAAAATATGTATTTGTTTTTTAATGGCGCGTATTAAAAACGTTGACTTAAATGGAAGAAATTAAAAAACAATTTTATTATAACGTGAAAAATATTGCTAAAAAAGAAAATGGATGAAAATTGTTTTTGTTATTTATATTTTACGATTGATCAGCTCGGTGTTTCTTCGACAATATTATTTTTAATCTTCAAACAAATTCTACTTACATTTAAAGAGGTAAAATTAAGAACTATGTGGTTATTTTTCAACGAGTGATTTTAATTTGTATACAATTTGTTTTATATTTATTCTTATTAATTTTTTCTAAAAACGTAATTTGAATAATTTTCAACTACTAAAAATAGCAATCCGGGAAAATATAAAAGTATGCATAAACGAATTATAAATATGCATTAAATAAGCAAACAAGTTTAAGAAAAATTTCAAAATTTGCATAATAAAATTGGTGTCATTTTAACAGGAATGATTAAAATTGTGCCTGTTTCTCACCAGATTTTAAATACGAGTATTAGGTATTCTAATAAAAACACGCTTTTGCACACAAGTCCGTTTCCTACTTATTAGGTGTATGCTATGACTCATATGACATGACTAGACAACCATTTTAATTTGTGATTTCTTTGATTTCTTTTTTGATTTAAAATTGATTATCCATTAGGGTGCTCTCAGAAGATTAGAAATCAAAATTATTATCATTATTATTTTTAAATGGAAATAATTATAAAGGTAAAATTATAGGTAAATTTACATTTTTATATTTTAAACAAAAATTCTAATTTTCTATGGCATTTTCCGAAGTCTTTTAAATCTAAGAGTAGAGTTGTTCCCTTGTTCCTCCACGGGGATGTCCATGATTATTCTGCGATAAATTACGAAATGATACTGACGTATATTTTAAAAAAAATCTACTGTTCTGTCGTTATATAGACGGTGCAATATTAATAGTTGTAATTTTATTGCGTTTAATATATAATATTGAAATAAACTTTTGTAGAATTGTGTTTTTATTTTCAATAAAATTATGCAATTGATTACATCTAAACAACGAATTAAAAGAATGATGCAGTATATACTTATTATAGACGCAGTTCAGCAGAATAAGTATACCTGGTGTTTTACTTGTTTTTGACAACCTTCGGGTTTTAACCTGCACCATTTCCACTCTACTAATTGTGATAGCGCAACCCTTTTTACCGCGCAATTCAAATTATTAACGGTATTATTAAATATTTCTACAATAAGACGTTAGTCTTAGATTATTGGAAAAATCGTTTTGTAACACTGTATTCGACTTTGTTATGATAAAATTCACCCTGATTATATTACTTTAAATAATTTAAATTTAGCATGACTAATAATACAATTGAGTATAGAATATAATATAGATTGTAATACAATCTGTGTATTCAATGTTACTGTACACTTATTATTTGTATTATTTAAATTAATAATAACAAAATTATATAATTTAATTAAACGAGTATCTCGTTTTGTTGATTTATAATTTATACATAATACGTCATAACAACAGTTGTTCAATGTATATGTATTACAAAAATAAAATATACCAATTGATTTGTGTATGATACAGTGAATTTTATTCTTACTGAATCACGTAAATAGAAATAATAAATCCAAATTTTTTTTTCGGAATTTGAGCTGGTCGAGCTAAGTTAAGATTTTATTTCCAAGATTACTCACCAAACGAGTAAAGTGAAATTTGTACAGTTTTGTATCATAATGTATAATATTCCGATACTCGTACCTGCATAAATGTATGTATCCATTATTATTATTATTATCCATCATTATGTCTAGCGCTATGCAAGTTGTTTTTTTTTAAATTTATGAATCATAAAAATTATTAAAATTTATCTATTTGTACTACAGGATACGTATAACAATACATTTTAATATATTTATTGTAATGACTTTTTTATACATATTGTTTCGTTATTTATTTTCCTGTATTTATTATGGTATAATGACACGAATTTCACTACTAACTTATTTTAATTTCATGGAAATGAATAAAGGCGTACTTGTAGTTTTTTTTTTTTCAAAAATCCAAGACCGAATTTCATCGTAATAAATTTTCCTTTACATTGTAGACGATTTCGCCTTGGGTGTGAATACCGATTTTACAATCGCGTGTATTTTTTTTCAACACGAAAAGTGGTATTTTTATTGGTATTTGGTATTGGTAACGTGTAACAATATTTTTAGTCGGTTAGAAATAACATTTAGGCTATTTGTCTTTATGTTTATACATTTGTATAACATTGTTTATATACATTTTAAAAACAGTTCATTTTTGTAATTTAAATATTTTAAAATATATTATTTGTTGTTATAAAACTGACCATATTGATGAATTGTATGTGCACGATTATTTTGGATTAACGGTTTTGTATAAATATTCCTACTATAGCCCAATGTAGTATAGTAAACGGTTTTGTATAAATGTTAACCAAGTACGAAAAATTTACATACACATATTATAATAAATATTAAAAAAAATTATTCAAATATCAATTTATATAGTTTTTAAAAGAATATGAATATAAAAGTACCAACTAATAACGAGTGTAATAAAGACGGTTTTACACATCTGATACATTTATTTCGTTGATATTATAACGCTCTCTTCTACATGTGTTCTATATGAGTGTAATATTTTCATACATATTTTCAATACGAATATTGTTCCGAATACCATTGTCCGATCGTTGTTTTTCCATACGAATATAATATTCTTCTTTATAGGAATGATATTCGTTTCGTTTATTCGAATCCCATTGTTCCGATGTAACATGTAATTCTAGCGAAAGTGTTCCAGTGCAGCGTATACGGTATCATATACCTCCGTCCAAACATTATGTGCGTAATACGGCAAAGTCATCTTTGACGAATTTTCTATAGACAAAAAAAAAAATAATAATACCTAGACGTCAAATAGTATACGATCATATTTCGGCGTGGTTGAAATATTATGCAAAGTACGGCATTTTAGCAGTAACGGTATACTTACTATACAATCAGTTAGGGATTAGTACTTTATAGATGCTGCGTAGCCTCGCGTAATATTAAACTAGACGATATTGAAATATGATGGTTTCCTTTCACTGGAAAAATACGCCATTAGCAGTGGCGGCGGTGGCATATAATCATAACAATAATAATAATATAACGATGTGTTTCTCACGGTGTCTGGGCACCATTATCGACGAAGGGGTCACGAGAGGTTTCAGAAAGTGAAATCATTGTTTTTTTTTTTTGGCGGCACGACCCAAGTCCGATTTTTATTCGGGTGTAGCAAGTGGACACAAATTAATAGAAAGCGCATATGCTTACCTAAGTCTGAATCACACTCAAATCTAATAGAACAATCTCCGACAGTAATTTCCATCATTTTGGTTTTTGCTAATATACGCGCAGTTAATGCTATCTTACATAGTTATTATTACTTCGGAGCGATTGTATAATAATTGCCGCCGAGTATACAGTTTACGGCATTTGGCTAAAAATAATTAATCGAATTAGATTGAGCTTTTCTTGAAGAATTAGTTATAATATATTCGCGTACAGTTTCACCGGTCCCGCGAATTAGCATTGTGTTCCATTCACCAACACCCTCATTCTAGTGGAGAAATTCGCTGTTTGTCGTAACTGACACATTAAATAATTGCATGTTTACCTTTGACCCCTGGAAGATGTGTTTTAAATTCAAATCACAATGGGTAATATTCATAAAATGTTGTCTTGTCACACCCGTAAAATGGAAAGTAGGACAATCGCCTAAATGATTGATGTTGTATTTATGACGAATTGGTATTTTGTTTTTGTGCAGGTATCGGACCTTTGCAAGGATTATCGGCGATCTATGAACGCGGAAATTACCGAGTCCATGAACACATTTTGGGCAGAGTGCTACGAGTCCTACAAAAATGCCTTAGACACCAGGAGTAGACTTGTGGCCGAAAGTCGAAAAGCATTTCAGGTAATATACAAGTATAGAATGTATAATGCACTGTAAATATACATTATACGCCTTTTCTTTTTATATTATTATTATTATTCAAGTGGGTTTGGTTCATTATGTATTACGAACCTAATGCAATAATTTAGTTACATAATTTCCTAGTACAGCAGGTACTACATGCTTAAAATGCCTTCATAACTTTTTTGCAGTACATTAATAAATGACTTGTGTTTTCTGCTTAATTTTTGAAGTCAATTTTAAAATCGTAACTGCCGTTCACTTTCTATTTTCAAGTGCTAATCTAATTTTTTACTTTTGAATATGTTTTATATTCGGTTATTAATAAATACATATAATATATTATATTATCAATTAATTAGTGCGCGTACCCATACACTCTTATATTTTGTTGCGGTTATTAAACTCACTTTCTTTCGTATAAATTTAATATTACGTCTAATCATTATGGTAATTATTATTTAGACGTCAATATTGGAGCCCTATAAGAACAAAAAACAAGAAGAAGAATCACGAATATATTTAATGGAAAATCAGAAAAAAGCTCAAAGATTACTGGTTCGTGCTAAATGGAGACAGATCAAGGGATACTTGTGCGGAGAAAGGGGACCATGGAAATCAAGGTCAGTGTGAAAAATTAATGTTTGTATTGTATTAAGATATCCAAACACGTTTAGTTTTAACATTTTATAAAAACCCCATTGATTAAAATGATTGCGTTGATCGTAATAATACGTGGTTTAATAAGGTTTCGTATTGCAGACCAGTATAATATTAATCTAAAATTAATTATAAATACATCGAAATTATGTTGAGAAGGTAGGGTACATAATGTTATTTAATTTGTGTTTGTAAGCAACGATAAACCATTGTTAATGAAAACGGATTCTGAGCGAAGTTTGGTTATACATGATTTGAAAGTTTACAATGCTTATGATTTTCATCAAAATTTGATCTTTAAATCCTCGTAAAAAAAAAAAAAAAAAAATACTACATTTCACTGTGTATTAATTTTTCAGTCACTAAGTACAACTTATAATCTTCCTGTTAAACTTTCTGTTTGGTCAAACAATTATACTAAAGTAGTACCTACTAAACAAAAACTTATTGAAAAAATCGCAAATACAAAATGTTTATATATAGTTCAAATATCAAATTAAAAAATTTACCACGTCTAAAAAAGGCAAATATATAAGTTTGCTGTCAAAATTTTAATTCACTACGAATATTGAAACTGAATTACAACAAAACAACAAAATTGAAAATAATGATACCATTAATTTCGTAAATTTTCTCGTTCTTTCTATGTTTTTTCCAGTTTTGCTTAATTATTAAAAAAACTACAAAGATAATCAAAAAACGAATTCCTTAATCATCAACTTTATTCAAAATGCAACAAAAATGATATCTGTTCGTTTTTAGATTAGAGCAATATTTCTGGTAGAAAACATAAACCATACAAATTTAAAATATTGAAATCATAACGCCGTAAATTTGTCAATTTCTATTTTTTATTTTTTCCGGGTTTTTCCAATAATTAACTGCTTGAAAAATTAAAAGCGACTTACTTTATCACTAATTAGATGAAACATAAAACAAAAGAGGTTTCTTGTTGTTTTTCTATTGGAGTAATATTTTGTAGAAGAAATAAAAGTTTAAAATTTAAATTTAAGCAATTATTGATAATATGAAGTCGTCTAATACATTGTTCATAATATTATATTATCGTGTTCTTTTTAATTATATTTGTATTTCACATGTTGTAGAATCAATTATTTATTTTTCAAATATTATTTTAAAAACTGTTTCAAAATTACTCTTTGATGTAATTACGCATGCGTAGTTTTTTTGATTATGTGATTTTATATTATACTTAGAGGAATTGTTTTGCATGTTATAACGATACTAATCTTATAGGAAGGATAATCTGTAATTTGAGTACATTCACTGATAGTGCATGTCTTGGTTAATAATAGAATTTTTAATTAACAATTCAAAATTTAAAAACTGCATAATATAGTATAACATACATCATAGTTTTTTAGAAAAATTAAACCATTTGAGGCAGGTAGACAATAAAAAAAAAATCGTAAGTGATTTCGTTGGATGATTTTCAAAATGCACACCATATAATATGTATAGAAAGTCAAATTAAATATAAATGATGTTAATTAGAAATTAAAAAATACGTATAATGTCTTACTAAGTGAATAAAAGTTTTTTACAAAGATAAAAATGAGTGATAAAATTTATTGGGTTAAACTTAAAATACAATTTCCTTTATATTTGATTTGTAGATAAGACTAGTTAATTATTCGTTCATCAATTTTATGGTACAAAAGTTTTGTACATATATGAGAATATAATTATACTATACATAATTTATAAGTTATGACTCTCGATGATTTCAATTAGGAGTGGTAGAATAGGTAGGTATAATAATATTCACCATTGTGTTTAGTTTTAAATATATTTATTACAAAAAAAAAATGTGTACTTTTTTAATAGGTATTTATTTAATTAAATTATATTTTTTACAGTTTTCCATTTTTCTCTCCAAATTATATTAATACATATGTAAAATTAATTCGTTTCTGTTTTTTCACAAATTAAATTTACATTTTTAACCAATTATATACATGCGTAATGAGTATTGAATATTTTTTAATAACCAGTTTCGGGTTTGGTTTCTGGTGCAGCGAGCGTATTCTTTAACGGCTTTGAGCCCGAAGGCGCATACCTGGCTGGTTCGACTTCAGCGGCTTCTACTTTGATAGTTTCTACGTCGTCTGTTGATACTGATGGTACAAATACGGCTTGTTGTGCTTCTGATTTCTGTACGTATGCGTTGAATCCATTGGTCGGGTCAGCTGTGTAGTCTACGGTTCTCCTGCTACCATCGGGTTCGATTAAACTGTATCTGCCTTTCACGACGTTACCGTTTCGGGTTTCTTCTTGACTTTTGGAATCACCGGTTATTTGATCCTGGACTTGGTATGCGAATGTGTACGATGGGTCTGCCACTGGCTGCAATTGTGCGGGTAAAACTTGGGCGACTTTAGCGACCGGAACGGTTGGGGCGACAATCTTGGCGGGAGCTACGGCGACGACATCGGCCCTAGTGGCAGGTACGACTTGAGCCGGGGCAGTGGCAATGAATTTGGCTGTCGGCGCTGTGTAAGCTACTAGTGGAGCTGATTGGTAATACGGTTGCAAGTAAGCCCATGGGACGGGTCCGTGTGAAGTCAGTGAGGACGTAACGTAGGCCGGTGCTGGCAAGTAGATTTCGGCAGCGGAAACCATAGCAGCTACTAAAGGCAGAATGACGAACACCTGGAAATTATGGGACATTGTTTATGTTATATCGTTAGGCGTATCTCAGTTAAAAAAAAAAAAAAAAATATACAATTTATTTGATAAGCTAAAGAATAGGTATGTTTTACTCGCCTTCATGTTGATAATGTAGTGCGATTTTGTATTTCTTGTGATGATGGTACTGTTTGGAGTGATTGATTGAGCTGTGATTGAATCTTCGTCGACACCCGTTTATATATCGTTTAAAAGGTCCTCGTACCCCACTATTTTTAAGGACATCTCGTACGTGTAGACAGATGAAATTCGTATCGATGAGTACAATATTACAATTCTGGCACCGTGATTAGAATTAAATTATATTCATGTTTGTTTCAAATGACCATGATTCATCTTCGTCGTTTGAATTTTGCAATGGAGTAGATCATTAAGTCAATTTTGTTTTCGAGCCAAATGTGCAAATAGAAATTGACCTTTTTATATGCACTTGGGTAATATTACCTATACTATTTGTTTTTGATCGATTTATTTTATATTCCTATATTACTATTTACTAACAATAACGAACAGTTATTAAATAATAAACAATTCATACTATGCATTGAAAATTAAAATATATTTAAAGAAAATATAATTTATCAATTAAATAAGTATGGAAAGTAAACAATAATGATATCATTGAAAATTTGAAACATTTAAATTAATTGTGCTCGATGGAGTTGGTATAATATTCGAACTGTTAGATCGCATGTACGTGAAGATTATCCGGCACGCATTTATCGAGGACATTATTGTAGTTGAATATTATGTGTATACCTGATCGAGGCCTAGGCTTCATTTACATTTTGATTGGTGTAGAGAAGTTATAAAATAAATATTATGGATTATTTTGTAGGCTCCTTGGGTAGACGAATAATACTTGACTGTATCATTGAGAACAATACATGTCGATAAATATACATTACGGAATACTAATAAATTGTTAAAAGTATAAATTCATACAAATATGGTACTGAATTGTACAGGAAAATGTCCTATGCACATATAATGTGAGACTCAAATTACGAGTTCCTCGAAACTATTATCTTTTTTTTTTAAAATTCTATATTGAAATGGTTAAATTATTATTAATAATTTGATATCAATTGTATATGTGGTTTTTTACCGAAGATAGAGTTTCTTCAAAAATTAAGAACAAAGGGATTAGGTTTTAGCCGTTTTAGATGTATAAAATATAAACTCTTGTAGATAATTAGACAAACCATTTTTTTCAGTCGTTTTCGGGAAAGTGTTGATTATTTCGAATTTATGCCCAAAAAATTTTAAAATGTCATTAAAAAGTTATTATTGATTCAAAATTTTCAAATTGCATAAAATTATTAATTAGCTTGATATTTAATTGTTATTGTGAATTTAAATTTATAAAAATTGCTAAATTTTCATATCGTTTTACAAATCATTTCTAAAAAAAAAATGCTAATTTCATTATAAAATTATTAATAATCAACCAATATAATACAATATAGGAATCGGATTTTATTTTATTTTTAAAATTATAATCATTTAAGTATAGACTAAAATTAAATTGTAAAATGTATATTGCATAATATTAAGTACTTACTTAATTATATTAAAAATTTGAATGTTTTTAAGAGGCCTATACTCGCATGTGTTGTCTCAGTTCAACTAACTGACAATGTAGCCAAATCTACCTACGCAAACTGCGTAGAACTCCCTTAATTTTGGATTTAGAGTTAAAGCACCTATTATAAAATCAAAAGAGGACAAGAGAGCAATATTCCAGAGGGTAAGACGATGTTTTTCTTTTTATAAATTAATTTTTTGAAATATTATAGTCATTTAAAAACGATGAATTAGTTTTTATTTTTAAACGATGTATTGAACGTTATGTCCAGAATAATAATTAGAATAATAGGAAAACACATCGTCGTGCACTTCGGAATATTGTCCTGTTTTAATTTTATAATAGGTGATTTTACTCTAAAATCAAAATTAAGTGAATTCTATGCAGTCTACCTGAGGTAAATTTTCTTATATTTCCCGTTAGTTGGACCGAGACAGTAGATGAGGAAATGGCGTCTTCTTAAGAACATATTGCGCTTATAACAACGTTTTTTAGAGCTACAATTTACTAGCCTCAATAACGATAATATTTTTTAAATTTAATAATATCATCTAAAATTAGTGTTTGAATAGCAATATAATTGTTTTGTTTACAGTATGTTTAAAATATATAAGATAGTATTGTCTTGTATTATATTTTATAATAATAATAACAATAAAAAAAAAAACAATTTCAAATATAAAATATAATAATTCAAATTGGTTTTTATATTATAAATAATAATACAAATATTAATTTTAGAACAGTTATAATCATGTTTTATCCGATTAAATAATAATCGAACGACTATAATAATTTACTAGTAAATCTAATGGGAATTTGTTGTTGTACAATTTGACAAATTGTGTAGTACGAGTATAATATAGTGTCCGTATAATACAATGTGCATATTATGTTTTATTTACAATTCATAACCGTGTTTGATTTATTAAGCTTGCTTTTATTTATTTCACGAATTAAAAAAACAATCACGTTAAACTATTATTTGTATTAAACAATATTCTATTTATTAATGTACGTTGTTTTTAGATTCTGAGCGGAACGACGGAGTTATTTAATTTATAATGACTGTATGGCGCGTTTTCTTTTTTCATTTTATTTTTCTTTTTTTTTTTTTTACCTCGGACAACATTTTTCGGGATAGTGCAGTAAATTCCATATATATATATATACATATTCCATGTATACATAGGTTCCTATAGCCTACTGAAAATATTTTGTACAATAATTCTGTACAAAATAAAATAATAGTAATAATTGAAAAACCTTACGGATTGTACGCGCGTTCTTTTGATCATGAATTGTTATTTATTTATTTTTTTTCATTTTCCAGTTTGAAGTTTAAATACTTTAGACGAATATTGAATAATCGCTTGGGTAAAAAAAAAACCTATATATTCACAATAAATTCGGCTCAGAAACGTTTTTCGAATCGATAATATCATCGCGTTTGAACTAAATAATTTAATAATACAGTATTGGGTATTTCGCTAACTCGAAACTGATTCTTGTTTCAGTGTTGTAGACGAAGTTTAATCCTAGTTTAAAATATTAAATATTTATAAAATCTTGAAAAATGTAAAAATATAATTAATCTTACATCGTTATAATATTCTATGGTTTGCACACCTGTTAAATATTTTGTTGAAACTGTAATTATGTAGAAATATTTAAAACATTTCATAAAAGTAATAGGATAACTGTATTTAAACATGTAGGTGTTGATAAGTTTGCATTCAATTTACGTTTTAGCGATTTGTATAAAAAAAATAAGTATATTGAGACGTTGAGTAAAGTAATAATTTAATCCAGTTTTGATAATCGAACTAACTGTATGCACACTGTACATAATTATAAATATTACAGTTATTGTTAATGTCCCAGTTGCGCGCATTAATTCGGTATTTAAGTGGGCACGCGATTTAATGAGTCGAGTGGGTATAAAAAATTCAAACCATTTTCAATTTGTTGTCAAATATAATATTATAATTATAATAAAAATACATAATATTGTTATTATTATTTACCAAGTACGTTATTTTTTAAATGCGTATAACGGTTGTTATTAATTGTTTAGTTTAAAATATTTATCCGATTCAATTATTGATATAACAATGTTTCAATATTATTATTACATTAATTCTACTTGAATATATTGATTCAAATTTCGTTTTTTAACCGGTTATGTTCCACCACCATTATATATATATTATTTTATTCATATTCCAGTTTCACTAGGGTTGAAACGTTGTTAAGTTTCTGTTATGATTGGCCACGTTGTTTGGCGTCCCCAAACTAGTCGTGTTTTTATAATGTTTCTTCAATTCTGTTTGTATTGTTGTTACGTCCGGCCTTACAATTATCGGTTTTAGAGCTTTTAATAAATCTAATTTGTCGTCTCGATCGGCATTGTCTAGTTTTTGATTGCGGACAACTGCGCGAAAATTCGATTTCGGATTATCCGTGGATTGGAAAACATTCTTGCTTCTATCAGCCGATTCTTCTAAACTATTATAGCTCTCCGATATTATATTACCGTTTTCGCCCAATTCACGTTGGCCATTCGAATCACCAATATCGCCGTCAATTATTTTGTAGCCATAGCTGTACCGTAATTCCGGTTGACCCTCGACGTGTTTTTCTGAGTATATCGTAGTCGGGAGATTATATTTGTACTTAGGTTGATTTGTATTTTGTGCATTTGAATATGGTGTTTTTGGACTATTTTGTGTAGTAGACCGATATTCGTGACGTGTAGTTGAATCGTAATTTGATATTTGTCTGTTTTCCCTGTTCGGTATGAAGTATTGTATCGGAGCTTGTACCGGATGATTTATGAGAGGTATTTTTCCAGTATTTATCACTAGCGGTAATAACTGGTACTGTTCCACGGGCATCGGATAATGGAGTGCTTCGTATGAAATTCCAGACGAAGCCGGTAATAAAATAATGGGGTTTAGTGGTTCGGTGTTATGATGGTCGTGTAGTACTTGACAAGAGTGTTTTGCCAGTAAAGAGAACAGCGAGGAGATTAAAAAATGCCAAGCCTGTTAAAAATAAAAAAGAATAAAAAAATAATTCTTTGCATTTGAAATATAATACTAATATTTTTACATAATATTTGGATTACACTTTAAGATTTCTTGTGGAACGAAGATACTGATATGGTTTTACTAAGAAGTGTGTTTTGTCTCGGAAAACACTTTTTAGATTAGTAAAAATATTCTGATTTTATGTTCCGTACCTTAAAAGATGCAATTTTTTACCCGGTGGTAGTTTATTTGACAAAATATGCCAGATTTTCAGCAGTTTTTCTTGAAAATTTAAAAATCGATTCTAACAAATTTCGACACAACGGTTTTATTTTTGTTCATTTTTGGGTTACCTTGGTCACAAGGAGAAAAAACCACAATTAATATTCCTTCGCTCAGAATGGTTTTTCAATTGCTATTAATTATCGTTGCTTAATTTATGAAAATTATATTTTAACCTTTCAAACTTCGTACCTAAATAGGTACTGTACCTACCCATGGTGAAATTAAATACACGCGCATTATAAATGCATTATAATGTATTACGTGAAAAGGGTTGGTTAGGTTAAGTTTGGTATTTTTTTTTAATGGCGATTTATCTACGACGTCCTTGAAAACAATTTTACCGAAGTGTCGTTTGTGGTCGATTTAACAAAATGAAATTGATAAAAAATTATCAATTGGAAACGGCCAAACTTCTGATAATTTATGATAATGAGATTGCATATTGAAATATCCTGCTTGATGTATTTTTTTATTTTTTTTTTTTACACAATACTGGTGTATAAGAACAGACGTGAAATCGAGTAATTGTATATATTTCGCCACTGTTTCTTATTGAGAACTGAATGCATAATTTAATCAAAAACAAGTCGCTAAATCCGCGTGTCTAGAATCTATAATTTACACAGACAGTGTCGCTGTCGATTAATAATAAGTCGGCGTAGTCGCGTTGACCTAAGCTATACGCGCATTTTATATTGCATGTTTAAAATAGCCGTGTATGTTTATTTTATTGTACCAGTTGTTGGTTGACGTTCTAAAGATTCGTACAGCGCTGGAGTTTTGTGTATAATATTTTATCAACTCGGGTGTGAATGTATAATATATAAATATATATTTTGTATTCGTTATTTTTTCTTAATAATATGTCAAACTGTACATATCGTCGTAAAATTGTTTGTATATATTAAAAAGCGCAGTACCTATGTGGGTATTTTAAATAGATTTCGTTTTCAGTTTATGTATACATTATATAGTTGATAAATATCTCGTTTATAGTACAATACCGCATCATGTATAATCTGTGAACCCGGTACTCCAGTATGCAGGGTCAATAATTGCATATTTTATTTTCGCCGTCCTAATTATTTTCCACAGAGTAATCATATAATTAAGAATACCCATTTGCCAATTGAGAACGGCCAGTTGCCCGCGCAATTTGAATATTTGTGTGGTTTTTTACGTTACCGCTTCTCAAATAGTTCCGTATACAAATACGCATTTATTTTTATCGAGTGTAAGAAATAGTATTTGAAAACTTAAGTGCAATAAACCTCAAGACATCTTTTCCATATACAGACGTTTCTAACGGGAAATTTACAATTAAATATTTACCCGAACTGGGACGCCAGTTAAAATGTCGAGTTCAAAACTTTATTGCAAAGATTGCATGGGGATATAGGGAGGCTAAGCCCCTCCTCTGGAAATCATCTAAATACCATTGTACTATTTTAGGATCCCCTTTCAAAAAGTTATCAAATCTCCGTTTATGCTGAAGAAATAAATAATACATCGAAAACTTAATACAATTTAAAGAATAAATTCAATTTATTCGATAACATAATATAAAAATGCATGTATTAAATTTATTAAAACATTTCTTATCAAATATAAATTGTTATTAATATTAGATAAGAAATATATTATTTTTAAAATAAAGACTACTTAAAGAATTATAGATAATTTGTAAAACATAAAAAAACATTGTACAGGTCGTGGACAAGGGAATACTCTCATCGCCACATAAACCTTTCTCATAAGCGTGCCAGATTTGCGATGTTATAATAGAACTAGCTAAAAATGTTAAGACAAATTTTATATTCTGTATTTGCATTAAGAAATTTGTAAATTTTACGAAGATGCATCCTTATTTTATTATTTTCTTTGTGTATAAACAGTGTTTCTACTATAGATCTTGTTCCATTTAAAAAATACCGAAAAAAAAATTTAAAAAAAAAGAGATTTTTGTTGTATTTATATTTTATATATAATATATTTACTTTGGTATACCAAACATGGTCTGATGGTATTGCGTAGAAGAAATAACGGGCATGGTGTTATTACCTTTTTGGAATGGAATTTTCATAAAGAAAAAAAAAAGTAAATTGCCGTTAAAAAAAAAAAAACAAAGACAAAAAGAAAAAAGTAATTCATGAATCCAGATTTAGCGTTGAGTATATGATATGGTTAGGTTTTGTTCAAGTAGTATTATGAGGTCGTGTAGACACTTATTGTGATTATTATAATTTTGAAATAAATTATTATACTATATACAATATACGATATATAAACCGATCGTATTATTTCTATCATCTTTGTATAGTTCGAATATTTATAACAACATTAAATTGACTTTCGTCACACTATTTCAATTGAAATATATTTTAATTTCATGAATAAAATAAAATAAAAAAATATCGTGTGTTTTAAACTTAAGAACAAAAAGCTATCCTAGGAAAAATGGGGACGGGTGCAGCCATTGTTATAGATAATTTAATGTATACCTACAAGCAACGATAAACCATTGCTAACCAAAAAAACGATTTTGAGCAAAGTTCAGTTGATAGTGATACTTTGTCAACAATATATATGTCATATTATGGTAAAATAATAAAATAGGCATTATATATTTTATTTAATGATGTTTGTTTGATGTACCGATTTTCCCGTTTTTCCTACGTTTTTCTCGGTTTTCTCATGTTTTTTCCCTAACTTAACCCAACCTTTCCCATTTGTTGATAAATATCTAGGAAAACCAAAAAATTACATTTTTAATACTAGCAAAATTGCTGGTAGAAAAGTTGTTTATAGAAAAAACAAATTTTAATATATTACTAATGTATTTCGCACATTTTCATATTATTGCCCGCTTTTTTTCGGTGTTTCATATTTGACGAGAAAACTGCTCAGAAAATCGAAAAATGACCTTCTTAAAGTACCACCCTAAGAATATTTCCTTTTAGTCAAGTGTCTACACCGTATACACTGGAGTAGCTTTTTGGTAGAAAAAGTGTTCACATAAAAAAAAAAAAAAAAACAAATATTTTTGTAAAACTAATACATTCTTCACTCCATTTAAAATCTAAAATACTTTTTGTATTCAGTTTTAAGATTGAATGCCTACGTCAGTTAGTCGAAACTTGAATGAAAATCATAAAACTACGTTAATGTAGGTATGCAGATGACAGCTATATTATACCGATTAAATGTATTGTTTAATTTTAACGTTATGTACCAAGAGTGTAAACTGTAAATAAGATATATATATATATATATATATATATATAAATAAATAAATAAATAAAAATTTAAATGTTAAACTTACCAATGTTTCCATGATCCAAATGATTATTCTTAAGAGTATCGCTCTAATAAAACATTGCTCCGGGAGCTACGGAACCGAATGAATTTGCATGTGTGTGTGTAACGTATGTATTATAATATAATGGGTATTTTATACCAGCGTTCGATATTGATATATTCTAGCAATGCCGTAAGTCCAATTATATATTTCCTATGATATACAGTTAGATATTTCGGAAGGGGTTCCCGTATCAAATTAGCAGAACGATTCGTATTATTTTATTATAACAAAAATATGATATTATCGTTGACCGAAAAATGATTAAAATTTTGTTGATGCTATCATAACAGTAAACGAATGTATACATATCGTACATATCGTTCAATCTTTGGTCTTGGAGAAAAAGGGCTTTTTGTGTCAACTTTGTAAAAATAATTTGAAAATTACCACCAAAAATGGCGACATATTACGGAAATTATGGAAAACTGTAGAAAAAAAAAAAATTAAAAATTATAATATAATAATATTTTTTATATTGATTAATAAAAAAAAAATAGGTGTTTTCAATCAAAAAAAAAAAAAAAAAATGTTAAACCATCACTTAAATATAAGAATAATTAAACGAAACATATTTTATAGATAATATTATAATATTATAATATTACTTATTTACTATATATCCACAAATTGAAACGTATTTTTTTTTTAAAATTTAAATTGAATTATCTTAGATTGTGATATGTGTTTTTTTCTCAGAATTTTTCTGTTAATAAAAATGTTCAGATTTTTTCACTCCACATCACCAGAGATGTGTTTTTTTTTTACTAGTGATATTTTGTTTGAATCTTTTATCGAAATATTCGGCATTTCAACCCTTAGGTCCTCTTTTTGTTTTATTAATTTTTGTCGATTTCATAATTAATGCATTACCAAGGGGCAACCAGGGGAAAATACAATCAATGCTACCTTTATAATCATTTTCCGTGAAAAAGTGATTTATCATTGCATACAGTATGTAAACTATAAACTATTGTATGTATATATACAGGGTGATTTACTAAGCGTGCTAGCCCTATTTTTTTGGTTATATTTTGCATACATTAAAATTTTGATTTTTGGAATTTTTAAGTGTAGTTAAAGCCAACATTTTCGAATACTTAGATTCTTGACAGCATTTAAGAAATATCCAGTGTCGATAGCAGTTTTTGTTTTTCAAACAAGAACCTATTTTTAAAAATTCTATAAATAGAAGGAACATTACTTTAAATAAATTTTGGTGTCAAATTTTTAATTTCCAACAACCCGTTGACGAGATATTCCACTTTTAAGTTTAGGTATGGGGAGAGTAGTGGAGCACTTATAAATCGCTGCATTCCGGGTCACCACACAAATGATAATCCACTACTACAGGGCTTAAAACACATTCGATTTCAGAGAACACACTTCTAAGTTCAATTGTAACTTTTTGACAGATTTCCATAGTACAACAAAACCTGTGGGGGTTGTAACACCAGAAATTATCCCCTCTTTTATGTACCGCTTACCTTACACATTTATACTGTTTATATGAAGTTTGGATTAAAAATATATAAAATAAATATTAGTAAAAGTTCAAAATATTTACTGTTAATTACATGAACACACAGTCAGAACAATAATTACAATACAGCTGTTGTTATAATTTCGAGATTACTTGCATAGTACTTAGTATATTTATAGATACAAGATGTATTCGTTATATTCACGATTAAAGATAGTATATTTTGGGTATACGTATAATTATAATCGTCAACCATGTTTATGGTATATTTGTATAATATTGATAACGAAGAAATCTTTCTCTAATCAAAAAATATGTTTTTTTACGATTTGAATCTTGTTGGTACGCAAAATGATCATTAATTGATTTTCCATGTAGTTTTCTTTGTAACTGAGAAAAACGTAGAAAAGGCAGAAAAGTTTATGGTATTTGTAGTTTCATTTTTTTTTTTTTTTGTTGCAGGTCGGTTAAAAATAATTGTAGAAACCTAAAATTATCACAGAATACATAAATTAGCCTTTTCTATACAAGGTTAAATATTCAAAGCTATTTGTATGTATTTGAAATGTTCGAATTTTTTTAATTTATATTTGGTTTTATGTAGTTTTAATTGTTAGGGAAAATAAAAATACTTGATGTTTTAATGCATTCATGTATTCAGTGTTAAAAATAATTAGGCTGATAATATATAGTAGTTTTTTTTTTATAAGCGTTTTAAATTCAATTTGTTTTACGAAATTTTTAAAAATAACGGTATTCCAAAATATATATAACCATGCTTCACTCAGAATAGTATTTCGTGTGGCACTAATTTTTCGTAGCGTACAGATATTAACTAGACGTATTTCATATGTATTCTACTTTCTCATCTTTCCGCCTACAACAATGGCACACCTATCAGCATTATCAGCTCTATTGAAAAAAAAAATGATATACTTATGTAAATCATTAATATTTAATAATTATTTAAATTATATTGTTTTTTATTTTCATTATTTATGTCATAAATTTTATATTAATTGTCGTATGTTTTTACTTAATGTTTCTAGTTAACACGGCGTTTATCATATGCAATATAAACCCATGTAAAAAAATTGTAAATTGATTATAGTAATATCACGCCTAGTAAATATGTGATACAATTTTGTATGTTTTGGAGCAAACAGTTTGCCTATACTTTTTTTAATATAATAAAAGTATTTCGTGTGTTCATAACTTTACATAATATTATTTAATGATTACAATATATTCCTACGAGTGTAATATAATGTCGGAATGATAGTATAATAATAACAACATATAAATATAACTATTTACAAAAGCTCTTCTCCCATTCTTGTTCAACTTTTCAATTTGTTCATTTCATAAATTATGAACGATATTATTAATTTAACTAAACTGAAGTAAAACTTAAAGAATATTTAGCAGTTACACAATTAAGCATTTGTAACACATCCGTTCAAACTGATATTAAAATAATTAAGTCAGTGCCCTACAGACATCCTATTCTGCATTAGTGTAAAGTTTGGATTCAAATACTTTTTAGTTAGGTACTTAAAATACTATTGTAAACGTTGCATTCGTTTTGTTTTTTGTGTATTAGTGTATTCAATACAAAAACTAAAACATAACAGTAGAATGACAAAATAAATATAATAACATTAAAAAACGAAATTATAATTAATAAATGGTAATGCTGTAAACTTTCTCACAATTCCTAAGTTTTTTTCCAATTTTTAAGAAAACAACATGGAAAAACAAAAACTTGTTTACATCAATGATACACATTTATTTTCAAAAAAAATGTTTCTCTTAAATTTGGATTATGATTTTTCTATAAACAGAAATTTCAAATCATGCAATTTTAAATGTTGTACATTTTACCCATTTTTAAACGTTTTTTGGGGGGGTTTTTCCCTATTACATATTATTAAAGCTGCTTGGAAAAATCAAAAAATTATCAATCCTAATTAGATTCAAAACAAAATAGTAAAGATCTATTATCATTATACGATTGGAGCAAAATTTTTGGAAAATATTTGCTAACAGACCCAAAAAAAAAAAAAAACATTTTCATTTTCTAGACTTGGTAAAACGTTTCAAAACATTTTTGTGATTTTCGTGCTATTTATATACATTTTAATTTTGCGAGTTTTTTACGCAATTTTTATTGGTAGGTAGGTACTCTATCGTCTCTGTGAGTAAAATTTTTAGACTATATAGAAATGCTTGAAAATTTGACAGGAAGTTCATTATAAATCATAATAATGATAAAAAAAAAAAAAAGTTAATTGCAACGTATTATGTACGGGAGTCAATTTTTTTTTATAATGGTTTTAAGTTGTGGTGAATCGAAATGATTTTTCCGGTATTTGATATTCAAATATTTATTATCGATATAAAACCGATAACCAATCCGATATTTGAAATCAAAAACTGTGAGCCGACACGGAGATTAACATATATATTAAAAAACCGATATCCAATGTTTACTAGTATTATTCATGTTAATTTAACATAGTATCATTTACTGCGGCCACGAATGTGCTTACAATAAATTTGATTGGACGGCGACGCTCTCTGCTGAACAAAGCGAACTAGCGAAAGGAGGAATGTGTAGGTTGTTTACAATGGTGTTTATTTTTTTTTTTCTGTAAACAACTTTTCTACCTGAAATATTGCTCTAATTTTTAAGTGTAGCACTTTTTCTAAAAGAAAACATTATCTGGGTAATACATTTTTTGATTTTCTATGGAGTTATAATAATAATTGGAAAATCAGGAAAAAACGTAGGAAAAATGGGAAAATTTACGAAATGTATTATTTTAAATTTTGTTTTAGATTCTGAGTGTAGCGAAGAGTGTTTTGGTGTTTTTACTAAGATTTTTCTCTTTTTTTTTTAAATCTTCCTCCGATGTATACGATGTAAGCTTTTTTATATAAGGAAATTTTCTTGGAGTGGTACTTTAGGGAGGTTATTTTTTAATTTTTCCGGCAGTTTTCCCAATTAAAGAGAAAAAAATGTAAGGAAAACGGGAAATTCACGAAAATATTGCTATTATTATTGGTGGTTCAATTTTGTTATTTGTTGTAATTCAGTTAAAAATATTCGTAGAGACTTCAAATTTGTCCAGAAAACTTATGTTTGGCTTTTCCCAAGAGTTTTCCCAGTAAATGTGGAGAACCTGGAAAACACATGGAGAAACCGGGAAAAACGAGAAAATCAGTACATTATTAAACAAATTTTACTATAGAAAATTTATAATGCCTATTTAATTATTTTACAATAATATGACATAAACTTGTATATTCTTAACAAAGCATCACTATCAACTGAACAGCGCTCAGAATCGTTTTTTCGTTGGTAACGGTTTATCGTTTCTTACGGATATACATTAAATTACCTATAACAGCGGCTGTACCCGTCTCCATTATCCTAGGAAGTCTTTTTTTTATGATTCGTAGAAACTTGAAATTTGGATAGACAAATTTTGTTTGTCTTTTCTAGACGTGGTAAAATGTTAAAAACTAGCCATTTTTGAACTATTTAATTTAAAGAGATTTTAAATTGCGAGTTTTTTTAAAATAGTTTTTTATATGGTATTTACTCTGTGATTAAAATTGTTAGATCTAAACAGAGATGATTGCAAGTTTAACGGAGGTTCTTAATGATACTTTGAGGTAAAAATAAAAATAAAATTGATGATAATGTAGAATATTATTTTATATGTTTTTAAATATCAAATTTCGATGAAAATAGTAAATAATAATGTCTTTCAAAAGAAGTATAACCGAACTCCGTTTAGAACAGTTTTTCATTAGTAATAGACAATAGTGGCCATTGTGCAAAGTATGTCTGTCTCTTTTTTATATGTTTATAATTTATTTAATAATTATAAATTTTACATTTTTTGAATGATCCGATCCATTTTGCACATTATCCTATTTATACTAGGTGTCTTACCGTGTTTGAAAATTTTTTCTGGAGCTGTTAATACCTATCCAATTTTTAAAATGTTGGTTTCAATCAATTTTTCTCTGAGTGCGATATCTATTTAAAAAAAAATTAAATTTGTGTTTGCATACTTTAATTTTGTTAAAAAAAAAAACTTTATTTAATATTCACTAAAATAGTATTCTACAATCATATTTGATAGTTACTTAGTTATTGCCGTTGTTATTTTAAGAGAAAATGCGTGAAATACGAGACCACGTTAGGGAATAATTTGGTTTATTGTGTTATAAATAGTTGGAAATGTTAAAAATTAAAACGGCAATTACTAAAAGACCATTGATTATTATTTTTTTACGCGTTGGACAAAATATATTTTATGATTCTTTGCACGTCCCTTGGAATTAAATTACGTTATTTAAGTCGATCACGGTATAAGTCGTGGGCTAATTAATTAGATGCTATACATATTCTTATTATTTATACACAATTCTTGCATTTCATATACAATAGACATTAAGGGAAGGATGGTAAAAGAAAGAGTTAAAACGAGAAGAGGGGTAAGATGAAAAAGTTCATATTGGAGACGGATAACTGTTGTGGGTTGGTAGTTGGGAAGGTGGGATACCTAAAGTTACTTAGTTTATACCTGTAACTAACGATAAACCATTATTATTGAAAAACGATTCAGAGCGAAGTATATAAATTATAAGCGAAGTTATAAGTATTTTGAAAGGCCATAATATTTACGATTTTCGTTATGATTTGATTTTTAAGTTTTTTTAAAAAAAAACTACATTATACTTACTTTTTTTTGCCACTTAGTATGACTTAAATGACTGAATCTTCTATCGAATTTTCAAGCGTTTATATTTAAATTAAAAAATAATAAAATAATAATTTTCGTAAATTTTCTCGCTCTTCAACGTATTTTTCGGTTTTGCACAATTTTAAATAAATTATAAAGAAAATAAAAGAACGACTTTCTTACTCGCTAATTAGGTTAAAATTATAACAAAAAAGTCTCTTGTCGTTTTTATTGGAGTAATATTTATGATAGAAAATATAAGTCGTACAAATTTAAAATAATGAAATCGTTGTGCTGTAATTTGAAAAAAAAAGTTTAGTCTTTTTGGTTTTTCCTAATTATTATGAAAAATATGAAAAATAATTTAGATATTAAAAAAACGACTTTGTCTATCAGTGGCTATGTGTTAAAAGAAACAAAATCGATAATTTGTCATTTACGGATTGAAGCAATATTTCTAGTAGAAAACATCATTATAAAAACAATAAAAACGGAACGCCGTGGCGTGTTGTAAATATTTGCCGTTTTACCAATAATTTTCTTTTGGGTTTTCTCAAATTTTTTCGGAAACCCCTCGGAAAATCAAAAAATGACCGTCCCAATAGACCAACGAGAGAAAATTATGTTTCAGAAAACGTTTTATAGTCTATACTTTTCTGGTGGAAAAGGTGTTTACAGACAGAAAAAAAATTTCACCATATCATAGTGAAACCAATAGATCCTTCGTTACGCTTCGAATTTAAAATAACAAAACCATTCAAACTTAGTTTTATACATTTCAGCGTTCTTTAAAAAATTTAAATTTCGGCACTAGGTAGGAAGCTATCAATCTCGTCTTTGATTTTGAGCGTTGTATAGAATACCTCATTAGGTTTACCATGATACGAGTGATTTTTCTGCTGTAAAAATTCATTTTTCTACCAGAAATCTTGTTCTAATTAAAAAATGCCAAGGGAACTTTTTGTAGAATTTTGAATAGGGCCCTAAAAAAATAAATTAAACGGCATATTATTGCTTTCGGTGTTTGGTGTTGTGTGTGAATCATACCGATAAAGACAGTTTAGACAAGGAACAAATATAATATCAATTGTCGATGGTATTTTTTATTTAGAATTACGGATCTTGTATCTTTATACAGTTATATATTATGTTTAAAATAATAAATATATATTATAAAATATCAATTACGATAGTAATAAATATTAATATTAAATTAGAAATTATACGATTATAATACGCGTAGAAACGATAATAATAAAAACATAGAAATAAATATAATAAAAGTTGAATAGAAACGGAAGCTTAATAATAATTATAACACTTCACACCCATGTAATGTAAAATAAGTTCAATTACACGTATTCGTATTATAGTATTATTGCGTATGCGTTGGGCTGTGGTGATGAGCTGTAGGTGATCTCAGTGGTATACCGGGTACGAGTGGTACGTTGGAGCGTACGCTTTTATCGCCGGGTAAATGGGCGCGTACGCCTTGACGGCCGCCGGGTACACGGCCGGGGCGGGCGCGTACGCCTTGATCGGGTACACGGCCGCGGGGGCCGGCGCGTACGCCTTGACCAGAGGTTCCTTGGTGACGACCGCGTTGAATCCGTTGTGCGGATCGGCGGTGTAGTCGACGGTCCTCTTGGTACCGTCCGGGTCGACCAGGCTGTACGATCCGTGAACAACGTCGCCGTGACGGCTCTCGTGCTGGCTCTTGGAGTCGCCGGTCAGATGATCTTGCACATCGTACGCGTACGAGTACGACGGGTTCGGGTCGTAGTCGGCGTCGTACGACTTGGGCGCCACGGCGTACTTGACGTACGGCGCGGTTGAGTACAAGTCGGGCGCGTACGGTGACGGGGCGTAGACTGGCGATCCGTAAACGGCCGTTGCCAATACCGATGCTAATACTGCAAACTGAAAAACAACGAAACATAAGCAATTATTAGAAATTGACTATCGCAATATTTTATAGGGGCCCGCGCAAGGCTAACGCAAAACAGTGTTTCCGCCACACGGGATTTGGTGTGGTTCGGGACAGGCTCGGTGTGGTCGAGGTCCGGTTCGGGTAAGCGCGTGCTGCTGCCACGGGAACGATTAGATTTTAATTGCGCCGAGTTATCGGGAGTCTATTGCTCGCGGTGCGTATATTTAGGTTATGAGGCGGAAATCGGGATGATGCACGTACGATATTAGGGGACGGCCGGGTTTGACGGAAAGTCGCGCCGGGTTCGTATCGCGGGCGTTCCGAAACCTCGTGTTCGTGTCGCGTCGAGAAAATGACGTGCGTTCTAAGGCGTAATGCATTCTAGACTTACCCTGAAAGCCATGGCGGAACGATTAGTGTTGTGGGTCTGTGGAGAGTCGTGTGGAGTAGTTTTCGTTTCGACGATGCGTGCCTCGTCGGAGTGGATTCGTACTTGGATCCGTGAGACTGATGCGGTTTCGGACGTTGGGTGCACTATTTATACGTGAAGATCGTGGACCTTCCGAGAGACCACTCCCAAAAAAAAAAGCGCGCAGCGGGAGGCACATGTGGCGTGCCGTACAGGGCGACGGCGGCGACCATCGAGCGGGCAACGCATATTATTATTATTGTTATTATTACACGTCGTACGTGTCGTTATTATTGTAAAACATTGTAATAACGCAATAACGCACCGACGCGGCGTTACAATGGGGGAAAATTATCGCGGGCCCCCGGGGGCTACGCGCGTGCAGTGCGAGAGTGTCGGCGCCGCCGCCACCCCCGCCGGGCCCCCTCCCGCGCGTGACGAGACGGGAAACGGGCGTCGTTGTCGGAGCCGCAGACTGCGCGGCGTGTCGTGACCTCTCACCGAGGCGCGCGCGTCCTCGGTGACCGTGGCCTCCTGTACCGCGACACGCGTGCGGGTATCCCCGAGTCCCGTCCGATTTTCTCGACGCGCGGCGGCCAATTTTTCCGCCTGACGCACGCGTACGGCCGTCGCGAATTTTTCCCGGACACACGGCGGCGCACGTTGGCGGTTTTTTTTTTTTTTTAGAGGACGTCCGGTCCCGATGAAAAGATAACATTGGCGGCGGCATACGAGACGTTTTATTTTTTTCACTTATTTTTCGGGACGTCTTTTGTGCCGGACGTGCCATTGTGTGTGCACAGGACGAGACCGCAAACATATTATTATAATACGTTAAGGTTAACGCGAATAATGTTGTTATTTGATGTTATTGGGAGTTTTTTTTTCTTTTAAAAATTTTCATTATTTTGCCTACTCTTTGTCACGGCGGCGAGTCCGAGTTCCGCGTTTTCGAACTTCTATAGTGCCGCTCAAATTTCACTCGACACTTCCACGGGTATAACACAATAGTATAATGTAGCGACTTGTTGGAATATTCTGAAATTTGTCAAATTGGTCAGCTGCTGGATTTTGTCGTTCCTATAGTTACGACGAGGGGAAGCAATCTATGGAAAAAACATTATATTCGATAAGGAATCGCAATCGTTTTAATAAATAAGTAATCTATAGTATTTATAAAAATGCAATTTTTCTCTAAATATTTATAAACGGAGTATTTGTCAAAATTAATTACGGTGTTGAAGTTTCTGATTTATTTTCGATTATTAATTTCTTAAATGTTCTAAAAACAAATTCCGATAAACGAATTCTGTTTGGATTTCAATGAAAGTCCTGAAAGTATATAATATGTTTTTATTTTAAACTTGTTGAGCGTTTGTGTTTGTATTTACTACAATATTATTAGTAGGTATATCAATAGTATTAGGCAGTATTTAAAATTTCTCTTGTTTTGTACACGCAACACACACGTGGCGTGCTCAAACTTGACGTTTTATATCAACAAACCGTATTACAGTGAGTTCAATTTCTATTTGTATGATTTGTGTACACAAACTCGACGTACGGTTCGAAACACTTTTTCGTAATTTATCGATTATTCATCGATTGTTATCACACATATTATAAGATAAATATTATCTCACCAGTTTTTTAATCAGAATCCCATTGGATTATGTTTTTTAGATTCTGAGCGCAGCAACGATAATATAAATAATTTAAAATTTAATAACAATAACAAAAAAAAGTAGGAATTATTTCTATATTATCGTTACGAATTTATTTATTTTTTTGTGGTATTTTTATAAACAATTCATTTTCTGGTCGGAATAACTACAGTTATGACGTATACTATTATTATTCGATTAATTTTATTTCATACACTATTGTTTTAATTAACCAATTTCGCTACAGTTGTGCATTTGCTTCTTAAGGCCTAGTCATTATTTTTCATTATTATTTATCAATTAATTTAATCTACGTGAGTTATTTAAAATTAAACTAGGAGTATAAAAACACAACCCGTTTTTTGTCACGCATAATATATAGATTGTTTATAAAAAAAGTCTGTTTTCGTTAATAATGTTATTTTACGATTTTTAAGATTCTGAATGGTTTCACTATTATGTTACGGTGTGTGGTTTTTTTTTTTTTTTGTCTGTCCGGGGTATCACGATTTGGACTATAAGTTTTGTTCTAATCACCAACACTATGAGTCAAAAGGTTGGGAGGTGGACAAATTCTGGTAGGATTTAAAATCTAAATTCTAGACAATGAATTCAGGAGGTGCATATTTAATATTCCTAGTACTTTTTTTAATAATCGAGAAAACTGAAAAAAATAAAATAACATAAAAAAAAACAGTAAATATTCTATAAAAACTATGTATAGTACGTAGATATTTGAAATTTTGACTATAAGCAACATAACCATCTCAATCAGATTTTTAAATTTAATTTCCTCTTATACATAATTTTCGGACTTTATTTTAGCATTTTTTCCTATTGTTGATTTGTATGTTCCTTTGGTTAAACGGATCAAATGTTTGTAAAGGCAATTATGGTTAATCAAGTTTCATTTATAGAATAGGTTTTTCTTTGGAATGATTTGTCTGCCTTCTATAGTAACACTTCTCACCTTCAACAGTGAACCATCATAATACGTAATGGGTATATCATAAGATACAAATTATGTACAATTCTAATGTTTAATTTTCTAGTGTCAATAAATTATATGTAATATAAATAGATGAGCTGTAGTGGACTCAGACGTGGTTGTTATCAGTGATGCCACAACAGATGAATTAAAAAAAATAAGGATCATATTATAATATACTAACTGAATAACCCGGTATTTACCAGAATCTCCTTTATCGTATTATTAAATCGTTGTTGTCCGGTAACTTATTTTTTAAAAAATGTACATCTTTGTTCATGGCAACCAAATTAACTAACTGTTTTTTTGTCACCTGCAAATTAACCCATAAGTTAACAAAAAAAAAAAAAGTTTTATTTTCGTTCTGAAAATATCAAAAACTCTGTGTTAACCGCAGGTTGAATTTCGAGATAAAATTCAGACGGTGACCTTCCTCTTATTTTATACGTCAAGAGCACAAAGTTTCGTAGATTTGTATAAACACCCACATTATAAAATATTGAACTTATCGATTTCGTATACACGTATAGAAGAGAATACACTGAACGGGGGATTTTCTTCGGAACAATAATATATTTTATTAAACCACACGGTAATCGCCGTCTGTTCATATTTCTCGAGAGCGGACAAAATATACACGATTTTCTAACAAGAAACTAAATTAACATTGACGACACTACAATGCCAGAGTAGGTACAACACAATAGTCTCCCGTCGTAATGTCGAGGGCATCACGGACACCGTAAGCAATAAGTGTTATTCTTGGTTTAAAGAAATACGAACTCGAACAATGCGACGACGTCCAGAGGTCTATACGGAAAATCCGAATCGGATATATATAAAAAAAAAAAAAAAAACATAGGTTTAATGGGAATGCTCGTGATTGTGACGTCGGTGCACGTGAGGTGATGGCGTTCGATCCGCACACACGTCTTAGGGAATTGTTTAACGCCGTGTATTTTAATGATGCAGTTGTTTTGCAGCAATTCAGTTAGCGATTTAAGAGAATCGGTAGACACTTTAACGCTATAACGTCGCATCTGAATGTCAACATTCTCATCGGTCGTTAGTCTTATCGTAACATAATCGCGATGCGCATGTTATCACACATTTTAGATTCTGAACAGAGCGAGGAATGTGTTGGTTTTACAATGATGTTTATATATTTTTAAATTTTAAATTGTTTACACTGTGTTTATACAAAAATTCTACCAGAAACCTTGCTCCGAAGTACCGAGTATAGCACTTTTTCCGAAAGGAAAATTTCCTGGGGTGTCCTTAGGCAGGTCATTTTTTGATTTTCCTTTTGGTTTTAATAATAATTGGGAAAAACTGAGAAAAAACGTAGGAAAAACGGTAAAATTTAAAATTTAGTCTTTTATTAGGTCTTATGTTATCGTCGTGGTTTTATTATCAACAGAGATATCAGAATAATCAGATATTATAAATTATAAGTTATCAGTTGAATGTTATTAATTTTGAATTTCGCACTTATTCAGTTGTAAACTGTTAGGTTAGGTTGGAAATATATTTGACACAGCTGTTTTAGGTCATAGTTGTTATCGAATTTCGGGGGTTTTATTATGGTGATTTTAATAAATTTGTATATGTTTGCAGATATCTATTTACCCATAAACATCATAAACCGCATAAGCCAGATTCACTGCAATATCCCATATGTAAAGCTCGGGGTGTTATGTAGCGTATACTCGTAATCTCGACGAATTGCACACGATATTTATTTACTCTGGTCTAAACCTTCATTCTGGAAAAAACACACGGAAAAGTCGGAGGAAGTTGAAAATGAAATTTCTCGGCTACTATGTTTTCGAATTCAATTTCGAATTTTTCGGTCCCACGGGCTTTCGTAACAGATACCAATATGATATTATTATTGTTTATGATTCGATCGTTCGTGTTGCACAGACGTGGGATAAAATATTTTCACACCTTCTTTTTTTTTTTTTATATCATAAATACACAATAATATACAAACGCGTGTAGGATTGTTTTATTATTTACTCGATCGCGCTACGTACGAATAAAATATCTGTTTTTATCATCTACGAGTATACAGATATAATACTGTATTATCGTGTTCTCCAACAGCTTATGCAATTCACAAATTCTTATATTCTAATCAATAATATTATCTTTTTATTATCGTTTCAGGTAAGTCATTGAGAATATTATTACGATATATGCCCGCCGTTTGGGTTCGCGGACCATCGCACGTATACATGACCGCGGCCCCCAGTGATCGAGTGTTGGCGGTTGCGTAACGCATAAATAGGTACGTCGCTTTTTGTTATTATTATTATTTTTTTTTGGCATTCGGACGACTTTTCGACTCTGGGTCTCTTGCCGAAAAGTCTATAGTGTCGCTTAGCTATATATATATGTAATAACGACCGCGCCCGAAAGCCAAACAAAAATCAGACGAGATTCCTCTATAAATACGCGTGGGTACACCTACCCTAGCCGTTATTGTATAATATTTGAACGGCTCTCGACTGCCTATGATATTATCGCGATAACAAACAATATACTTGTTAAGGCTATCGGACCGGAAAAAAAAAAAAAAATAAAAATAAACATCGAAGAAATACTGGCGTTAAAATAGAGTTCTCTGCCTCTCTGTCTCTCGCGTGCACGTGTATTTATTATAACATTCATAACGCATAATACGGTCACTAGTCCTCCGGTACAGTGCAGTCGGTTGCATTTTTTTTTTCTCTTACAATAATCCCACGTGCGCGTAACCGTTCGGTTATACTCGACTAATTATTAAACATAACCCGCAAAACCCGACCCTAAACGGGAATCGGGGAGAAACCGCCGGAACATAATAATGCGTACATAACGAGTTCGTCCAGTCCGTTCGTCGTTATTATTATACGCGTGTTCGTAATTATACGTACACCACACCCTGCGAAACACATTTTACGATATTTCTTCACGACAGATTATTTCGCGTACGTACGCGGACAACCTATCCCTCGGCGCGGAACGGCTGGACGCGTTACAATTATTCGAAACGGATATTATTGCGATCGATTTACTGAAGTCTTATAGTATTGTTGCGCGGAGCGTATACGGGTGGGTAGCCTGATCGCCATCAAAGAGGACGGTGATATTGGAATTATTATTGTTGTTGTTGTTATTGTACGAGGCGTTCGGCGATATCTACACCGACCGCACATTATTATTGTTTATGCCGGCGACAAAACGAAACAAGTCTGTTTCGCACTATAGGTCTCCCCGAGTTCTTGCGCGCGCGACACAATCGCTCCGGTAAACATAATAGCGCGTATAATACAACATTGTTATGCGTCCGCTGTTAACAAATCGTTAGTCGCTATCATACGGTTTTATATATGTGTTATTATAAAAACGATATCGTACCGTGATAAACACTTCGGTCGAACCGAATCGCGTCCCGGCACGTAACGCGAGACGAACACGTCGGAGTACAATAGCCCTTTCGATCCGTTTTTATCAGATTGCAGCATTTATTTTCGTATTACACGATGCTATTCGGGAGTTGCGCAACGATACCATATTATTATAGGTACCGCACATACACCTACCACCTACCTTTGCTTTGGACAAATCCAGTGCGATATCCTAACCGATATACCTGTATTTAATTGTATAACACGTGTACGTAATGACGTGCCGTGATTTGAAATGTTGAGCTTGCGTGTAGTTTTTTTTTTTTTACATTTTAAACCTTCCGTTTCCTTTAACGTCATGTTCATCGGCCAATTAAAAGTCAACCATTTCTCCTTCGTTTGTTCACTATTAGTATAGCGACTCCATTATGCGAATACTACGAGATTATTTATGAGTAGTTTTCTGTTTCTTATTAAAAAAAAAAAAAAAAAAATTATAAAAAGAAAGATTTATCAGGTTATTAGTATTTTATACATATAAAAATGATGGATTGATTTATTATGAATAAGTTAAAAATAATTACACCAGAGAACATCTGCTGAACTAGGAATTTGAAATAGAGGGTAAAAGCTCCTTATAGGCACTCTTTCTTCCTTTGGATCCGCGTCTGCTAGAGTACGATACCGATGGCGTAACAAAGAGTAAAAATTCATTTTTTATTGAACTATTCGTCAGCATATTAATAATATTATTTTAATTTAATGAGAGACATGCTTTACTCGCGCGGAAAATGTAAATTACCAAGTAAAAATTAATATAATTACGCAGATTGATCCATTTATCACGTTTTAGCTATTATTTTAGAAGTGCATTTTAATTTTTTTCAATCGTTGTAGAATCTTTTAAAGGACCTCGTAAAGATATTTGTATTTTCTGTCCGGCTATTGAATAGCAACAAGGACATTCGGCATTTCGATGCTTGCCTACTCTTTGGTTGAGTTCGAGGCAAAGAAACCTATTATCCATTTTCTATTATAAAGGAGAGTATTTACTAAGATTTATTCGAAAAATGTTTTGAATATTTTTATTTTTCATCGAGATATGCGTGTTTCAATTTAACTTAATTTCTCTTGATTTTAACCGTTAACAGCTTAATCGGTAAATCCGATATTAGTGTTATCAGAGTGGGATTTATGAGAGGTGGACTGAGTCGGCTGTAACCTAAAGGCTCTCACAGTTTTGTAATTATTTATTGACAATTATAGGGAAATTATATTACTTACCGTATTTGATTGTTTTATAATTTATTATTAAGTAAAACTAAATACGTAGCAAGTAGAAAATATAAAATGTTATTTAATAAGTAAAAAAGTGCTGATACTAGAGACGGGTGTGCCAATATTGTAGGTGGGAAGATAGTATACATTAATAGTTGTTTAATTTATATCCGAAAGCAACGACAAACCATTGCTAATGAAAAACGATTCGGGGCGAAGTTTGGTTACACATGTTTTAAAAGGCCGTATAATTTGATATTTAAAATTCTAAATAAAAAAGACGGATATACTTCCGAGTGTAGTAGTGTAGTACACCCTTCATGAGTGGGCCACTGTTGTAGATGTAAAGTCGAGAAGGTAAGATATACAGGAGAATTTAATGTATACCTGTACGCAACGATTAATCTTTGCTAATGAAAAACGATTCTGAGCGGAGATCGATTATACACGTTTTGTAATATTTACGATTTTGTCAAGATTTGATGAAAAATTCTTATGACTATAAAAAAAGAATATTACATTAAATCAAATGTTTTCTTGTTCGACGATAAGTAAAACTTATAATGAACCCCCTGTTAAATTGTCACGTATTTCTGTTTGGTCTGACAATTTTGTCCACAGAGTATCTACCGAATAAATATTACATAAAAAAAAAACTCGCAAAATTAAAATGTGTAATAGCTTGAAAATGGTATATAGTGAATCGGACCTATCATCAAAATGTATAGTTAAGAACAATTATCTGTGCGACCGCGGCGACGTTTTTCGATGTTTGTTCATTTTTTTATTGCGGGATATAATCGTTTTTCAATTGCGACGATTCCGCGGCACGCTCGCTCGGAAATTAGAATATCGGCGAAACCTCCGCGGCGGCCCTGTAACGGTGTTCTTACCGTTAACGTTCGGTCGTTGGCCGACCCGCCGGAACGCCGAAGCCAACTGGCGGCACAACATTGTCCCTGTCGAACGCGAGTTCGCTGTGCCGTCCGTTTGTAACGCGCGGACCCGTCGCGTATCCCGGCGCACCCTTGGATTCGGCCGCGCGCGCGAAAACGATTTTCCCGTCCGTGTCCCGTCGGCTATTACTGCGCGTCGTGACGAAGTACTCGATAACGATTGTCGTGCGCGCGTCCGAGGGGAAAAAAAAAAACGATTTTACAAACTTATACGAATACGACGCGATAATAATCGTATCGAGTGGTTATGGCCATTTTTAGTTTCTACTTTGGATCTTATTATGGATCGGGGCGTGCGCATTTGCCGGCAAACTGGTAATATACCAGTTTCTCGCTGAAATCCCGGCGCGGCTGTCGTAAGCACGATATCGTCACCCCGAAACGCGCGCGTTATAATTCCGTATAAAAGCGTCCCGCCGTGACACGGATTGTCATATTCAGTCGTCAACCGCAGCCGTCGCAAAGTCTTCGAGTCGTTCAATAACAATTGTTATTATTATTACTGTCGTTTATCCGCGTGCAGTTCGACCGCCGTCACCATGTTCGCCAAAGTAAGTATACGAATTTGATATTTTATTTCATGTCGGTTTTTTTGTTTTTTTTTTTTTTACTCTTTGGACGATCGTCGTTACTGCACGGTCAAAAATGACGAATAAAAAAAACCGCGGCGATCTCTACGTCCGCATACGCTTTTATAAGTTTTTTTTTTTTTTTTCTCTCATTCCGTCCACGTACACAACAGGTAGCCGTTTGCTTCGCTTGCGTCGCCGTTCTCGCCGTACAGGCCCAATACTACTCGGCCGCGTACCCGGCCGCCTATTCCGCCGCTTACCCGGCCGCCGCCGTCTATCAGCCGGTCGTGGCGTCCAACCCGTCGTACGCGTACAAGTACGGCGTGGCCGACCCGTCCACCGGCGACTACAAGTCGGCCGAGGAGAGCCTGTCCAACGGCGTCGTCCAGGGACAGTACAGCCTGGCCGAACCGGACGGCACAGTCAGGACCGTGTCGTACACCGCCGACGACGTCAACGGTTTCGTCGCTCAAGTCAGCAAGGCAGGCAAAGTCGCCGCGGCCGCTCCCGCGCCGGTCTACTCCGCTCCCGCACCGGTGTACTCGGCTCCCGCTCCGGTGTACGCGCCCTCCGTCTACCGCCCGGCCGCGGTGTACGCACCGGCGCCCGCCGTCTACCGTCCGGCCACGCTCTATCACGTAGCCGCCACCGCCGCGCCCGTCTCCTACCCGTTCGCCGCCTACAAACGTCAAGTATCGACGAAATAATGACGCAATACCGCGTCTTCACGGGAATACGTCACTGTCATCGTAATATTATTGCCATCATCGTTTTATTTTTCATCAGTAACACAAATATTATTGGGCCGCAGGTGTTGTTGTCCTTCCCCTGTCCCGTTTCGTCTTTTCTATACGTTTCGTCACGCGCGTATGTAACTTAACGTCGTCGTTCTCGTAGTTTTCCACGTTTATTGAGTACACCTATTATATTATGTGTATAATATTTTTTTACTTATAACATTTTTTTCTCTCGATAGCGCTCAAACAAAGTCCACGTATATCATCGTAACATATACGCGATTCATTTGTCTCGCAGCTTATGTCCAAACATAAACATTATATTTTATATCATCATTGTATAATTTTTTACCATTACGAATATAATTATAATATAACGTACCTACGTTAATTATTATCATTATAAGTATACATTTTAAAGGACAATATTATTATTATAATATGTTAACAACGTCGAAAATGCCTCAATAAAAATTAATATTTTCGTTGTACAAATGTTTTATTTTCCTTTTGGATAACCCGTCCAGTTTCACACGTCCGCGGTGAAACGTATATAAAGATACATGTATATATATTTTTTTCCGTACCATTTTGGTGGTCTCTTTTTTTGTGAAGTACTTGTCAAAAAACGTCCGAACGTGTTCACCACTTACACAATAAAATTATTATGTGACGTGGTAATTTTCGTCGAGATGTTTTTTAAACAGTGACATTTTTCTCGCTTTACACACGTCATATTATTCTGCTAGCAATCACATAACGTAGAATACTTCAGTGATGTGTTAGGGTAATTTAAGGAAATCATTTTGTTTGGTTTATTTTGGTTCTGATGAATTACAGGCGTGTTTTGTCGATGTAGTTTTGAACAGCCCCGGTTAGGTGCTAGTTTGGCGAACAAACTGTTTCGGCCGTATTGTTTACTGCACTTGTCTGATAACTGAATTACCGGGTCGCCGGAATCAGCAAACAATTAAAACTACGTTTATACTGTCTTTGGTTACCGGTTATTCGTTCGTAAAATACTGTACAGCAATCAAAACGGTTGAAACCATCAAAGCATCAATGAAGCGGATTGTTTACCGAAAAATACGTCGCTAAAACACTCCTAATTAAGACAATTCCATTGAAATGCATCCAATACCCGTATATTACATAGTATGACGATGAGATATTATTAGTCATTATTATTATTGTTAACATTCTTGTGGCAAAAGCTGATTTGTAATTTTTTTTTTTTTTTTATCGATTGTTACGGATTATCATAATTTAATAAATAGGCAGTTAGGAAATCGTAAGTTTTAAGCGGTGGCAAAAAATAAATAAATAAAAGTAATTATATGTTCCATCCGTTTAAAATTCGGAAGTCATTATTGGATATAACACGTAGGATGGTCAACATCTGATATAATGTGTCTGTGGTATATAGATGACAAGTTTTTGAGATAAGGTATGTTAATAATAATATTTTACACGTTCTTAATATAAAAAAAATCTACCCATATATCTGTGTATGATGACGAAAAATTGCATATCTTTATTTTTTACATAATAATTATTTTTGAAAAATTAATTTTTGTATTTTTTACTTATTGTATGTGAACTTTTGATATTTTATGGATTATAGTAATAATAAAACAAAATAAACGACTTTTCAATCAGAAATCCTGTTCCTATTTGCAGTGTAGTACTTTTATCTATTTAAGAATTATATTTTTGGATTTTCTAAGAGATTTTCAAAACAATTGGGAACGAATCAGAGAAAATTAAAGTGACATTTTCGCAATGTTTTAGTATTTTTTATATCGTTTGTATGAAAATTATGCATGAAACACGATTCGGACAGACCCCTCTAAGAGGTGACGTGCAATATTGCAATTTGTATATTTATCTATTTATTTATTTATTTATTTTTTTTTGCATGCATGCAATTTTAGTGCAGTCGTGTTAAATTAGTGTGTGTACCCAACAGTTTTCGAGTGTTGAAAACGATATTTTCAAAAACAATAAAATGCGTAGGTTTCGATGACGGGGAAACGGGTTTTAAGAATTTCGGAAAACTGTGTATTATCAATTTAGACGCGAACTATAGACATATAATATTATCCGAACGGCCGCCGGTGGTTAACGCGAAGAAACGCATTCTACTCGAAATCATTTTACGCGCTCCCCTTCGATTAATAACGAATACACTTCCGATTTGCGGTTTAACCGGTAATAAGTGTAACAAATAAATCTCAGGCGCGCTGTTATCGATTCTCGTTTCCGGATGTAACAAAGTGTATATAGTGCAACGTAACGTTAGCGAAAAAAAAAAAAAAAAAAATAAAATACGATTTCCTATTTTATTTTATTTTTCTAAATTACTATTACCAACAGTATGACAATAATTGGTACTTACCTATCATTTGTGAGAAAACTTTTATCGTGCCGCCTGTCCACATAACAAACTATACAGGTATAGTTACTATTCGGTCGACAAAACTATATTATTCGTTACGGTCATTATACCCAGGCATAATAATTGACCGGACTCCGGTTATCGTGTTGTTGTTTTTTTTTTTTTTTTACGTAATCCTTAAAAAGAAAAAAAAAACCGCCGTTGGACAAATATTGTTGTATTAAAAAGAGTAAATCGAATAATGTATACGAGTATACCGCGCGGACGTTCCCTCGAGTGTTTTGATTTTTGTATATTTTGGTCCCCCTCCCCCGATAAATTACCGTCCCGCACTTAATTAACGCGGTTCGTTACTATAATTCTTTTGTATTGTACGAACCCGTTCTTTGTGTGAAGTCGTATTTCAATAATAATGTTACAGTCGCGTTAGTGCCTATAACGATTCGTGTAGTTATAAACGTAGGCAGCGCACATACCATATTATTGTACTGGACGTCGTCCTATCGAATAAACATCGGTTATCTATGTTATATATTTATATTGTTATCAATTGTCATATTTTGACCGTGATAAATTGGTTATTATAAAAAAAAAGAAAAAAAAAAAAAGAAAAAAGACCACGCGTCGTTTTGTTCATAACAAAACTCGTGTGATCGCCCGATGATTATTGTATTGACTGTTCCAAAATAATTTTTTTAACAGTCCGTCGGCTATTGTTTTCCGTTTTTGGGATGCTCTGCAGCGCGGGGAATATCGTCATCCCGGACCTCGATTATTCGCCGGCGTGTTCCGAGAAGATTTTGTTATTCGAACGTCGATTTCATTGTACTTTCATATCCGACGACTGTATAATATTTAATATTAGATGTAGGTTGTCCATCATCACTTTGAATCTGTGTGTGTACACTAATTCGTTTTGATAATATATCTTTTTTTACGATTAATGTTGTAAAATCGGTTAATGTCGTTATATTTTTATTTTTTGTATATAAAAACCGATTTTGTGCTGTTAGTTTTAATACTATATTGTATGAACCCATTGTCAAACTTTTAGGCAAGACCATTGTCCGTTTTTGTGCGTTGGTTTTTTCCCGGTGTTTTAATTTTTAAGTGAGTTACAAACATGTGAAGTATAAAAACATAAAAATCGCCGAATCTGGATTAAAAATTAAAATATCGAGAAAAAAATCTACGTACAAATACAAACAGCGTGCTTACTGTTAAGTTAGGTAATTGGCTAATACACTCCAATATTAAAACGAACAGCACAAAATACGTTAAAGTATAATTATAACGACATTAACAGAATTTACAACATTGACCGTAACATATATGGTATATAAACGGCGTTCAAATACTATTACAGTTTATAAGTCTTTTTATTGTACCAATGTCAGTTTCCATTAGTATACCCGAGGTTTTAAAAATTCGTTTTTAAGAGACCGCCACACTCGCATCTATTGCCACAATCTAACTAACGGGTAAATTTACGTTACTTAGAACGTAAACTGTGACGTTTAACCCGAATTCGAAATTATAGCTTGGATGCAAATAACAAAAGAGCATGATATTTTCGAGAGCTGTACTTGTTTAGATTATTTTCTAAAATAATGGTATCTAAAAAAGTTATAGCTATCAAAAATTAAAAAATAAAAACCACCACGGTCTTAACATTTGTGTATGGTAATTTTGTTTTAATAAAAACTACGTAATGCATGCGAAAATATTCTCCTTTTTAAATGTTGTTGTTTGCATTTAAACTCTAATTTCAACCTAAATGCCATAATTTATGTTCTATGTAACGTAATTTTACCAACGTTGCAGACTGAGACAGTAGCTGCGGGTTGGGCGTCCTCTTAAGACATATTAATTATAGACACGTAATATTTGTACGATCTTTGGTGTATTTAATTTTTTTTAAGTTGTCTTTATAAGTTGAATTATATAATTATATAGGTATCGAATTTCTTTTTTATAACTCTAGGTTTTAGTCGAACGTTTTAACTTTGATATAGTTTTATATATACGTGTTGTGTTCCTATTATATACTTTTTTTCTCTGGGGTTCGACCCCGTCCAATCAAAAAAAAAAAAATAAAATAAGTCTAGAAAAGTATTTTCATAATTATGCATTTTAATATAATAGTTCAAATAAAATTTGATAAAAGAAAAAAAAAAATTAATAATGAAATGATAATATATTATGTATATGTGTTGGAATATCTCGCGATTGTACTATGATATACATAATGTATACTCCTCTGACAGCTGCATCTTTCTAGGAGAATTTTGAGAAAAGACAGTAATTATATAAATTTCATTGTTTTATTTTTTTTTTTAACTCATATAATTGATTATTTTTAAGTATTTCTGGTGTCTCGGGTCTGTATAGGAAATTTTCTTTTGGGAATGACAGAAATAATTGATAACGTGGTTAATTTCAATCATATTTATATCTGCCTGGCTACATCTGTATAATATAAAAACGAAATTGAAATTTTAGACACTTAAGCTTTATAAACAAGCATAATAGCTCTACACAGCTTATAGTTCTTGTGGGAATCGTATGTGGAAAAAAAGCAAGATGTCGGCTGAGAACGAACTTCATCTCGCGAACTAGGCTTAAAATATGTAGAAATAGTAATCGAAACAAGGAGACAGAAAATAACGCGAAAGAACAATGAAAAGGACCGATACCATTCGGAAAAATGAAATATCCGAAAAGAAATAAGAAAAAAAAAAGTATATTATAAAGAAGTTTAAATAATATACTCACGTCTGGGGTAAAAACGTTCTGGTTCAGCCTTATAGGGCGTGCCCTATAACTCGTTGTTAATTTCGTAAAACGATCCCGAATCGTTCACTATCGTATTATAATAGTCTATATAGTAAACGATGCATAACTATATTGTATTACTGTACTTAATAACACTGCAGTCGACGATCGCGCACATGGCCGCGCGGAAAACGGAAAATAACTTTTACTCTCTATACATTTTGTTTTCGTCTCGCGACCCAATGCATTAGTAATATACTGTTGAAATATTGTGTTGTCGCCGCCGTTATTGTTACGAAATAGGATCGTTGGATTTCCATTGTTCGACACTATGTTATGTAGCAAAGTTGACAAAATAAACATCGTCCAAGGACCGAGATGTGTGCGCGTTGCACTTGTTGCGTAATAACGATTCAAATGTCTGCGACAATGGCGAACGGAAAATAAAATAATAACATGGTCGCCACTATCTGATAGTTGTACTACTTATCTTTACGGTATCGTGTTATCAACCGCTGACGAGGAGCGTGCACGCGAGGTGGAAACTTTGAACAATCATTTGTTTGAATCTCTCGAATCGATCAAGCTGGACGGGGTTTCGCGCATTATCGTACAGTTATTTCGTCTCAGAGCGAGATCATTTCGGTATTTATATTTGAAAATAATAACTCTCGATTTGTTACGAAAAACCATCACGTCGTCCGACAGGTCACTNGGGGGGGGGGGGGGAATTCAATTTTCACAAAACAAAAATATCGATCCCTATTCATCGATTCCAAACAAAATATGCAGTTTACTCTCCAGAAAAAGTAGTTTCAAATATTTTTTTTTCAATGATAAGCGTTCTCCTACGTCGTGACCGTTTCACGGGACATTACTCTCGGACTTTGGTAGGATTTATTCGTTACGAAACTGATATCGGTTATTGCAGTCGGTTCCGACGATGACATTTAAACGCCATGAAATAATAATTGTTTTTTTTTTATTGAAAATGAAATCAAAGAATTCGATGAAAATTGAATTCTTATGACTCCGTGTCCTTGCAAGGTAGGTAGTCCGAGGCGTGGTCTTCGCGCGTTATGTGTGCGCTCCGAAGAACCGACGACCTAGTTGTTTTTTTTTTTATAATAATTCTTATTATGTATACGGTGTGTACGTATTATAATAGAACTCAAACGATCAATTCCTGTGTTTTGACTGAGAGTTTTTTTTTTTTTTTAATCAAAATCTTTATCGTTTTGTTGACAAATCATCAAGGTAATACACCTATTTTGTACAGAATTAGTACTATACTGGAGTGTAATACTCTACACAAGTACAGAATATTTTTTCAGTATACGTTTTTCAAAAAAATAGATCAAATTTTTAACCAAGGTTCGGAAAATAACGTGGTTATATAGTATAATAAATTTTGTTGAGGAATTTAAAATTGAATAAGCGGATTACCTATAATAATACGTATTGTAGCACATAGCCAACAGAAATAATTAAATATTTTTCATGTACCTATATTTTATAAGACGATTGAAATGAATTTACGCGTTGAATTAGAATTTAACCTTTTGTGGGCATAAAAGTTTCCAAAAGACGGATTTTCTGTTATATTTTCATAATTTTGAATTTAAAACCCTTAATTGGTATCATCGAGTCAAATATAATGATACCCATGATATTTGGTTTCGGAATTTTCTCTTGCAGTTCACGTTTTTCACAATTGTATTTATCACATGGCCTCGAATACGTCTATCAATTCGTTATCAATCATAAAAACACGTTTTTCGTATAGCTGTTTCCATTTTATTTAATTTAAACACCAATCAACCGCATTTATGCGAATGATACTAAACATGTTTACAAACATATATTTTGTTTAAAAATCGAGTGTAGATTTCTGTAAAAACGTGTTACCATTGCGTGTTCTTTTTTATACTTTACAGTTCACACATAATATGCGATATTATACTCGGCTGATGTTTGGAAAAAAAAAAAAAACCGTGTGATTCTTGTCACTATGTAAGTATACGCTTATTTATGCGATCGAGTACGATTGACATAATATTGGTCAATCAATAATTATCATCGACTGACCTCTGCGACTCGTATATGACGTAAAATGCATTACACGCAGTTGTGTACTGGTTATCTGATCTCATTTCTATCGATGAACGTCGGTTATTATGGTATAGTTGCTTATCTAGCGAAGAAGAATAATGTCGAAATGAAAAGTCAATCCTTATACGTTCGTATATAAAAACACAATACAATATTGATTATTTTAATATTCGTTTTATCCGGACGCTATCGCATTATGATGATGATATTATAAATCGTTTTAATAATGTTTAAAAAAAAAACAAAACAAAACAACAACACGAGCAATTTATGTTTTCAATGCCTTGTTTAATTTTTTTTAAATATTTTCTCGCATGCCTAATACGGTTAATGTCGCTGTAAATATTTTAGTCGATTTAGAATCAAAAGCCAGACAAAACCGTAGGAATTGTGTTTCGCGGATTTCAATTTTTGATGGTAAGTATCGGTCAGCAAAGGAGTGTAAAAGTCTTATCTTTCGGTTGCTCATCAATATGTAAAAAAATATTTCAACATTTACTAAATTGGAAACAATTTTGACAACCGTCACCAATCTTCTAAATGTTTATATATCTATAACAATATGCCGGTACAGACTACGATTTAATGTAATATTGAATTCAGATTCGCCTATAACAATATGCCGGTACAGACTACGATTTAATGTAATATTGAATTCAGATTCGCGTTTTCTACATTTTAACCAAATACTTATAATAATATTTTCTAAACGTGGTATATATAATTTTCAAAAGATTCTGACGCTTTTAGTTTTTTTTTTTTTGATTTTTTGAGCGAACACATTTTGTCGGTATCGGTTTGTAGTTCATATTTGAATGAACATAATATTTTGTGTAATATATGGTTATAATCAAGATTTGGAACTTATAGCACTAAAAAGTACAAATTTGTACAAAGAAGTCGAGTATTAAGTTATAATTCACTTGTATATACCTAAGCGTTGAAAGTTCAAATTTTTGATAGGTACAGAACTCATTGAAGACGCGAAAAATTGTCATTTATTTCGTTTAGTTTTAAATTTATAATTCAATTTTCAATTTAAATCTATAAAAAAAAAAAAAAAACTTAATCAAAGTCTGTTCAGAATCGTTTTTTGTTTGCGTTGATTTTGCGTTCGCGAATAATATAATATTACCAATTATATTGCTCCATACCTTCTCAAGTTCTCGCCTACGACAATGATTGTTCTAACGTAGAGGAACAATGGCCGCAGTATTAATAGATAAAATATGTTCATATATTTTTAAACGTGCAGATTAACTGTGAATCATTTTCTCGCAGTAGGCGATTATTTTGAATTCGTTAAAACTATAATAATTTGCGGTACATAAATATAACACTATCTCTTCAATGGGCAACATCAAATTATATGTTTATCGAAATAACGCAAAGGTACGTGAAACGTTAAACACAACAATCGCGAGGTTAGTTTTACGCACACCCTTCACCAAGTTTCACCGTTTTTCCATACAATGATTTGGCTTTTTATTATTATTATTTTTTCGGGACATTGTCTTACTAAAATGTGGCTGCGATGCATGTACGTGTACATGCCAAAATTATTAATG